CATTCTTTCACTACAGAATACGAAGGAGAACTTTGGCCGTACACACCATCCAGCCTTTCTTTAATAATTTTAGGTGCTAAAGTTTTATCGTGATACTGGAGCTGTATCTATGTCAGGCCGGGAAGAACTTTTTCTGGGTAGATTCCAAAAAAAATCTTTGAATAAATTCTAATGTTGAACTAATTTGAACAGGATATTGTAGATTATAAATAAAATGTGCTCTAAAGACTGTTATTATTTAGTCTGGAAAACGATATTTCCCATATTTTTTTTATTTTATGTGTTTTCAATATTTTCATCCGAATATGACGCTGTTTGACTAAATAAACTTTATTAGTTTTTGACTGAGTAACTGTGTTTTCTGAATGTTCTCTGCAAAAATGTACCCTTAATTCATTTTTTTTTTACTAAAAATCGAACTAAATGCATATAGAAATGTTTTTTCCAATCTTTTAATGTAATTGTCTGGTATTTACAAAAATAACTATTTTTAGGAGAATGGACCTCTAACGTACTATGTTGCAAATATATAATTAAAGAATAAGAATAAATAAGAATTAAAGGCATTATACTTCGAAAACACCATTTTGCACTCATCGTACATACATCGAAATTTTGTATAGTTTTTTCTATGAAAATGCTGATGCAAATTGTTTTCTCGAACAGAAGAAAACTTACTGCCTCAAGAGAAACGGTTAAACATTGTACTTACCTTATAAGATTCGTAAACTAGGTAATAAGCCTATATAATCTTGTGAATGAGCAGTATTTTAATGCACAAACAGCACAGCAGCGGTATTATTACGTTTTTAAGTCGAAGAACTATAAAAATCGCATCAATGTGGTGATCGTTTTCCGCGTCGCATCGCGCATCCGTTTTCTGTATTTCTTACTACTACTTCTATATTTATGACAATAATTTAAATGTCATCACATTATTTTACAGATTCTTTTAATTCTTTACTTTATTTTAAAGAAAAATACACTTTACAAAGTAAAATGTTGTAAAGTGTACTAGAAATATTAATACAAAATAAAAACTTGAACGATATTGTAAAAAACACATAATAAATAGGTGGCGTATTATATTGTATATTTAAATAAAATTGCATGTATTTTTTACTGTGAAGAACACACTTATAGGCACTGAGGTGCTGGAAAAGCGGCCCGGGTGCAAACCTCCAGTGCGGTACGACCCGAGCGCGCCGCAACGTGTATACATCTATAATATATATGTATAGACGGTTCGACGCGTCGACGTTCGGTACCGCCGGTTTCGCGCGTCGTGAAAAATGACCGTGCGACTTACGACCAAATAAATCATCTCCGAGGCGGTCGTACCACTAAAAACCATGAATAATAATGGTAAGTTGATTACCGCCGAGTGGACGCCGCGGGTCGTCCGCAGTACCGGGAACCGCCGTCAAACGCCTCGCACTAATATAGTTAGTGTACCACGATCCGGACGTGATGCGAACCGATTACGCGGATAGGGACCGGCGAGTCGTACCAATTACTTAGAAATGAAGCTGTCCGCTTTATTTATTCGCGATCGGGGCCGTGCCCGAGGGGCACCTGCCGTATCTCTGACAGTACCTTTAGTACCTTTGATGTAAGCACTGCTTAGTTCCATATAGTAAAGCGCCAAGCTGTAATTTTGTTAATTGCTTCGTCCTCCTTTGGCTCGTTGAACGTTTCGGTGGCGCTGAAGTGTGGTACTGCCTTTCGTATTTCTGGTTAGTTGTAATACGTGTCTCTGCAAGGCACTCAGTCTTTATTGTCTCATTTCCACATTTATTGAGTACCCACTGCAACTTTCATAGCTTGTAGGATCTATTTATGATTAGATAGATAGAACCGTGGTACTAATTTTGAAATATACTGCCTTTCTTATCTCGTACTATATCTATAAGGCATGCAGCTCTGAGTTTTTGTTGCCTTACTCCTTTAGTTGTTAAATACTGCATCGAGGCATCTAGGATACTTGTGCAAGTGTTTTAGTACCACTATTCGTTAAAGACTTCAATCGCAAAGTTAATTGGAATGGATTATTTGGAATATTCGTTGAGTACTGCATTTCTGCAAGCTCTTTGTGCACCCGCCAAATTGGGGTACTACCTTTCCTAGGTTCTACTTCATTCTACTAGTGGCCCTGTAAGCCACGCAGCTTTTTATCTTACTGTATCCAGGTATCTTTTTGCGAGATCCGCTTGTTTTTCACTGCTAAACTGCGGTACTACCATTCGACGAAGCTGATAGCTGCGAATCTACCAGCTTCATTTGTAATACAACGTATTTGGATATATTTCTTCCTTTATTTTTGACGAGGGGTACTACTTGTCGCCACATCGCCACCAGCGGTACTACATTTAGATGCGAACGGTTGGGTGCCGGTTCTAATGCCGTCGTATTGCTAAACAAATTGTCGAACAACAATAACAGAGAACCGTTCCGAGGTAACCGACTGATCGGCCGGGCGCGCTCACATTATACGGAGTGTTCCGGACCCAGTTCCCACGTAACAATTTTCAGTCTATAGTCCGCTGGGCCGGTAAGTACTACTATATTAGCGGCGCGGCGACGCAAGGCGGTACGCGGCAAAGTCAGGTTTACGGGATTTTAAATGTGTACAAATGCACCGGACTTTCGAAACGCCATTGTGTCGGTTTTATTTTCATTCTTCGTCGTTGGTCTAGCGTTAATATCGTTTTACTGTCATGGGAATGGTGCGATGGAATGTCGGACGGTTGTTTACTCTATACACTTTCCACCTCCCCGTTTTCTCCAGTCCGAAGAACTCTGCCTGGCGATTTTTTTAGAGGCCATTGCATGCATTAATTTGCCGATCGAACGGAACACCACGCGTTGCCCCTTTTGATGATGGAAGAACGACATAAGCCTGATTGAGAGATATGCAATTTGTACCAGCACGTTTTTCTTCCATATTTACCCATTAACTTTTTCATCCTGATCGACGTTCTCGCCCAGCAGAGGAATAATAAAGTCTTCTGAATGACCTAGCAAGACGCGAGAAAATTCGTCTGACACAATTTTGGATGAATTTCCTCAAGAAAGTCCAACTAATGTCACAATTCCTGGAGATGACGCGTCCTTTTGCGTCTTCTTGAAATCGAAGAACCTCCAACGTCTAAACACTGATTTTTCGTAGACTTGTACAACATTTTTTTTAGGAAAAATTCCATAATTGGGTCGAAATTTTTAGATCAAAGATTTGGTACACAGGGGAGATGTCTATTCCCAAATGCGAGATCGGAGAAGTATTTTTAAAGATTCAGAAGATGTATAATGTTCACGACTATTAATGCCTTCCGTAAAGTATCTTTTCGACATTATGCAGGGTGTAGGAGTTAGTCAATTTCTTTGGCATTTCGATATAACTCATATCGAGAGCTAAGAATCTCGTATTTAACGTTTTTGCGAAGGGTGAAAGTTTTAATCCGAAAAGTTGAACGCAATCAAACTTTTAATAAGAAAAAAATTAGATTGTTCTGTTTCACGAACTGTTTTCTCGAAAAGCACTTATCCAATGCAAAAATGTAGAAGTGCAAAACGCTTGACTTTTAGGGATATAATCTTGTAGTTTAGGCAATTTTTGGGAATGTAATTCACGATTTGTTTCTACTATTTGTTCATTATAAAATTTGATCTACCAGCCTGCTGTTCGATCTCCTGGGGTCCGTATATTTTTCCATATAATCGACTCATGGTGCCTATGGCAGATATGCACACCTGCAGTTTCCACTGTTATCTCTAGGCCTTTCTTACGTATTGGCCTCTTCCTAGCTGCTTGGTACGGTTTTTCCAAGTAAGTATGGTAAACAGTTTTAATTTGATAGCAAATAGGCAAAACCTAAAAGTTCTTATAAATTGCTTTTTGTAAATAAATTAGAAGCATTAAAAAGCAGGGAAATTTGGTTTGAACACCTTAATGGGCTCTAATTTGATTGATATATGAATAAAATCTAAATTTTCCGCAGTTATCCTTTGGGCCTTTTTTATGTACTGGTGTTATCCAGGCCTCTTTCTAGATACATGGTATGGTTTTTCCATTTAAGTATGGCCAAACAGTTTTGATTTGATAGCCAACTGGACAAAACCTAAAAGTTCCTAAAAATTGCCTTTTTTCAGAGGTACATTCTTAGTTGTAAATAAGCAGCATTAAAAAACGCGGCAATTTGGTTTGAACACCTTAATGGGCTCTAATTTTATTGATATTTGAATAAAATCTAAATTTTCCACAGTTATCCCTTGGGCCTTTCTTAAGTATTGGTGTTATCCAGACCTCTTCCTAGCTACTTGGTATGGTTTTGATTTGATAGGCAAATAGGCAAAACCTAAAAGTTCCTAAAAATTGCCTTTTTAAGAGGTGCGTTCTTACTTGTAAATAAGAAGCATTAATGAACAGGGCAATTTGGTCTTAACACAAATATAATTTGATTGATACTTGCATAAAATGTAAAAATTTTCCAAAGTTTCATTTCATTTTGAAGTTAGGCCGACTGCTTATTGGAAAGATGGCACTTTTATAGGGTACATGCAAAACCATTCCATTCACTTCGCAAAAGTTGGAAAATGCTCCGTAGGAGCACGATAAAAAATGCCGCTTGCGGTGTCCATATTTTGCGAAAGTGGTTTAGTTGAAGCCATACGACTGAACGATGTAAATTTGGTAGAAAAAAAAACTGGCCGGTAATAGTTATACGTCGCGACTCTTCCAAAGGGACCGCACCCTGAAATACTTAATTTACGCTCGAAAATAACCTTAAATATTTATAAACAAATAATCTATTCGCCAGAGTGACCCTCGCGAGCGTCGTCCTTGGCCGCCGCCGGTCTCGGCGGCCGGGTAACCGCCAAAGGTCCCAGTGGACCGATGGCGGCAATCGTCATATCGATCGATAAAAACGTCTTTGACGACGACCTGTACGGGGCGCCGACGCGAGCTGCCATTTTACAGTATTTTTTCCCTTTCGTTTCAGATGACCGGAAAACGTTCGAGGAGTTTTAAATGCGCCGTCCATCACAGGGACCGAGAGGTTTCCTCAGAAAACGATTTTCACTTGCTTCTGAACGAGCCTCCGCTATTTCGCAGGTAAGAACTTGGTGTTCTACAACTAGTAAAGGTTCTAGGGTCTTTGGTGTTCCAGTGTTCCTACAGAAACACCGTTTGCGAGAACAGAAATAAGGTAGTGGCTGCTTGATGTAAACGAAGGAGTCAAATAGTCTGCCTACGAATCGTCTTGCAAAAGAGTTTATTTATATCGTTCTCTCAAATAATGGCCTCCAGCTCAAAATCCGTTCCAAACAGTGACACTACGTGTCGCTCCCTCATCTAGAAGAGCCCTCTCTTAGTCTTAGTCGGCTGCTGTCGGTTAGAAGATCAAATTGGAGTTTCCTCCTCTTCTAAATACATCCCTTATGTGCTGTCGTCTACCACTCCCATCGCGGTGCCGTGCGAGACTTTGAGATGTAGAGGGTCCCGCAATTAGATCACACGACTGCCGCTAAACTCACCTAATGCCCCCCATAGCCCTCCTGCAGCACACTATTCCAACGTGTTGTGATGCACTCGCTGCGATTAACAATGTCACCAACGTAAAAATGTGCTTGAAAAGTTGGTGTTCAGTAATTCATTTCACGAACTCTCTTGTTCATGGACATTAGGCTTCAGTTGTCATGAGTTTCTTGAATTTTGTAAGCAGATATGTTGTTTTAGAGAACTAACTAACTGCCCATAAGGAATTGAGTGCCCTCTATTGCGAATTCAGTTTCTTCGCGGACATAATTATTGGGAAAATTTTGGTTTTTCGTTATTCTGGTGCTTGCCGCTAAACCAAGGTGAAGTTGTCTCACACCCGAGTGCTTGGAGAAGGTCCTCCTGTCAAAAGGTAGTGTTGTGAACAACTGCCGACTTCAACTCCGTGAAAGTGAATGCGTTCGTGTCGCTTCGACTGTATGCGCGTCGTCCTCGAATTCTATTCCTGTAGCGACGTCGTTCGTATACGTGTCGTTCGTTTTTCGATTGTTTCCGTTTCACGACACTTAATATACCACGAATTTCCTGTCCGTTTTTTGTGGAGCCCGGTCGGCGCGCGATCCTTTGTAAATAAATATAGAAGAGCGTGTAAAACACGTCGGGTTCGTTTTATAAACCCGACGAAAGAAATTGTCTGATTATCATCTGATGAGGTCTGCATTTTTGCAACGCACGGTATCAGGGTTTCAAGCTCCAGGTTTGAATAGCTCCTTATGGATCTAGAAAAGCGGAGCGTTAAGAAAATGCGCAGTGCTAATTTTCGTTTTGCAGTTAGATAACGCCATACTGTGCACAACTGCAGTTATTAGTTTTCGTAGGTGGTTCTCCACTTTTGACTCTTTCTATCTGGTTATACCCCCTAGCTTCGATACTGGCTCTCTGGTTTGGTTCCATTCCTATGAAGCTCTTCAGTTGGCATTGGCCCGGCAGCACCGTTCTCCTAACAGCTTTCCTTTTGTAAGTTTGCTATAAATTACGTGGATGAGCTTCTGAGGAATTCCTGGTCGTTGGTCTTTCTTTTGCATAGTGTTCTGTTATCTCTTTATGGAAATTTTGGTTTTTCGTCTTGAACTTCATTTTTCCGGTTTCGAATTTATTTGTGCTGCTCTCCGTTGCTCTTGCTGCTGACCGTTGGTACTTTTTTAGCTAAAGTGGTGAGAGAACTAGCATTATCATAAACTATTATGCTGCCCGGTGGGTTATTTTAAATCAAATCAAATTTATTATTAAGATGAAAAATATTAAAGCACATTAGAAGCCCCTAGATACGAGGTATATCAGTGTATAAATAAATAATACATTCTTTAATATAATACTAGGTATAAAATTGTTATTAAAAATGCAGAAAGTTTTTGTAAGAATTTATTTGAATACAATAGGTAGGTGAAATAATTTCTTTAAAGGTGTTATTAAGAACATTTTTTTCATTACTTGTTATGAAATTGGAGCAAGTGCATTCAATTTCTTTGCAGTGCCTTTACTTTGTTGGATGCCGTTTGATAAAAGGTAGCATTTTGGACCTAAAAATATAGGGAAGGGTTGACTTAGACTCGATTCTAAGGCAATTTAAGGTATTCGTTTATATTTTTTACCCAATTTACAAAAAATTCACTGATCGTGATGGTAGTTTGATGTCGCTGGAAGTGGCAAACCTTCCTCAAGCCCCCGTGTATAATGTGTATACTATGTCTTTAATACGGATTCACAATGAAGTTCGATGAAGAATTATGCATTAAAATATATAAATTATTAGCGCATTTTTTTATTTTAACGTAGACGGGTGTTTTTTTTAAATTTAAATACATAGAAACAGTATGTGCAATTGTCTGATAATAAAAATAAAAAATTTAGCTTCCTATGCTCATAAATCGATTCTCTTGCAACACATATTCAAATGATACTTTCTTTTTGGTTTGTTACTCTTCTCCATTCTGTCTACTAAAATAAAAATATCTTCCTGTACTGGTAAATGTTTGTTGTAAATCTGTGCTGGACTATACTTATTGATGTATAATGCCCAGTACACACCTAGAAACAGTCCGTTTCTGAATCGTTTCGGAAATATTGACGATGTATGTACAATTTTTAGTAAATAAATGCCTGAGACAGGGATGTTGTATATCTCCCACTTTGTTTATAATTTACATAGGCCTTAAAGGAGTGGAAACGAAAATCTAATAAAATGGGTGTAATGATGAACAGTGAGTCCATCTACAGTCTATAATTTGCAGATGATCAAGTAATATTAGCAGAAGATGAGCGCGATATAAACTATATGTTTAGAAAGCTTGTAGAAGAATACAAGAAATGGGACTTGGAAATAAATATGGAGAAAACCCAGTACATGGCTATTGGAATAAACGGACAATATTTACACACTGATGTGGGAACTATTAAACATACAAACCAGTATAAGTACTTAGAAGTGACTAAAACATCGGACGGAAGAGACGAAGTGGACGAACAAAACAAAATTAATAAATAAAAAATTGTTATAGTCAATTACATCCAGTGTTATGGAATGACCTAATTACGTATGGGTCAGAGGTTTGGAAAATGTGAAAGGCTATGAAAGAAAAGGTAGCTTCTACAGACATGATGTATTTTGACGAAATTTTAAACAGAATGAATGTAGAAAAGAGACTTATTAGATACTATTGAAGGAAAACAACTAATGTGGATTGGACATATGAGTCGAATGAGCGAAGGCAGAATACCCAAGAAAATGTATGAGTGGAGGCCACCCCAAAGAAAGAAAAGAGGCAGACTACGGAAAAGCTGGAAGGCAAGATTTGATGAAGCTGTACAAAGGAGAAGTCTCACAAAGGATTTATACAGCGATCGAGACGCGTGGAGGTTGGGATGCGGTAAACGGCCAATGCTGTAGCCAAACCAACAAAAAAAAATGGTGTTTAAATCTAAGTTTCTTAGCTCATCCGGGAGACAAAATATTAGTCAAAAAATGTCAACTTTTTCAAAAAATTATTACAAATTCGAATTTCCCGTCCTCGAAAACCCCCCTATGCAGAATTTTATCCACATTTGAGAAATCACCTAGAAATCATATTTGGGGTTGGAAAATCGGCTCGACAATCGATGGTTAATTTGAAAATTATCACTTATTTATAATTTTGAGAATTTGAGGTTTATATCTTATACACCTTGGACCTTCCTCTATCCGACGATATCAAAATGTCTCACCCAAGTTGTACCGTTTATCGTGGGGTCGTGGGGAACGTTTTTTGCGGGAGGCTGAAAAATATTTAAAAAAAAAACTAATTACCATTAAATGGAGGTGGTTGGGGTGGTGGGTGGGAAGCAAAGTATTTTAAAAAAATGAAAATGAGAATTTTTGAAGAGTATCATAATATCCATGAAAATTATAAATTGAGAATATTAACTAATGATGGAGAACGTTGGAGGCTTATTTTCTGGTATTTGTGAATATACCTCATTGACTTCTTACTTCAATACAAATTTCAATCTTTTCGGAAAAACGTAGATATTTTTAAAAATCAAAAATATAAAATTTATGAGGAAAAACATTATAAACATGAAATAATAAATCTAAACTATTAACCGAAAATGGGGGGCTGATGGGGACAATATAGTATGTGCGGACCACTCGTAAGGTGACTGCCAGCCGAAAAACCCGCTGCCATCTCCCATTTATGAATCGGGTATTAAATTATGCCTATAATAGAAACCTTCTTCAAGAAACTTTCTCTTCCAACAACGAGTGATTTTCCATATTTTGCTTGGTCTGTACTAGGCTTAAACGACAAGCGCATGTGCATATATTTTGATGTTGGCTTCAACATCGACCTAGGCAAGCGGCTTGTATCTTAAATAGAAATGTTCGCCCCCGGTAGAAATGGATACCAAACAGCGGCGCGGAAAAGGTCGATAAATTCGCGGCCGTCTAGTCGAAACGACCGGAAAAGCCTATAGGGGAAATCGATACGTCCCAGAATAAAGTAGTCGGCTGCGGAAATGTTGGATTTATATTTAAAAGTGGCTTCGAGAGGTGTGTTTTCACGTTCGCTTCTAAATTATAACCGCTTTAAAGCTTGTGTGGCTCTGACGTAGCGGGCGTCGGACGATTCAGGAAATGAAATAAAAATGTAACTTTCTAGACTGGCGCCGGATTTATGCGTTTAATTGAATAATTTGTGGTACTACACCGCGCTTCTCTAGTAGCTGAGCAGCCGGTCGCGTGGTTTATTTAAGCGATGGTTTTTTCTTTTTGTACGTCACGCGTTTTGTTCTTTTTTTTATTTCAGAATGGTGACGATAGTGGCCGAAGAATTTTTGACGGACGACAGGGACCGGAAGTATTACGCGGACCATTACACCTGCTGTCCCCCGCCATTTTTCACGATCCTTATCACGCTTGTCGAGGTGAGTGGCTGACATCTTATTAGAGGACTGCGTCTCACGTTTCATTTTTAACCAAAACAAATGTTTCTTTTTTGAAAATTTTTCTTGGGCGTGTGAAAAACGCTCGGTTTGTTGATATTTAATTCTTTCGCTGTGTGCAAATCGTCTCAGATCAAAAATACTACAAAAAAGCTCTATCGCATACACATGATGAGAATTCGCTACAAATTAGGCGTTATTATCACCCAGTGTACACAAATTCTAAAAACAAAATATATTCGTCAGTCAGAATCTACGTATTTTACTCACTCGCTCACAGACTATTTTATTAAATAAGTACGTTGGTGTTTTGCTATGAATGATTTTTTGAAATTCACAGACAGAGATACTAAACGTAAATCTTAAAAATTAACCAAATATTTTTCTCGCTTTTACAATTATAAATGCTGCTTATTTAATAAATAATTATATATAACATTATAAATAGGGACGAGTGTTCTATATCTTATTCTAATTTTAATTAAATTAAATTAAATTAAATTAAATGTGCAAAAACGATCTTCACAAACATCAGTCAACCAAAATAAAAAACGATTTTTGTAGGTTGGAATTTTCTTCATCATTGTTTCTATGCTTTTAATCCGTGCCCGACCGACGAAACGAATCTTGGCGAATGATAGCCGAGAAGTCTAGAGAAATGCTTAGGGAGCAGCCTCGGTATGTAACGACGGTTTCTCTTCGCATCCGCATCTCTCCTGATGCCTCATTCCAAAACTTTTCTTTTTCGAAAGAAAACAGCTGGGACTTCCTGCTTTTATATATTTTTCGAAAAGATTCCTACCGGCACGTCGGAAATTTTATTTTTTATTTTAATCTACAATCTATAGGTCGGCAGTTGCAAAGAGACCGCGCAGCATAATAAAAGCCGCCGGCTTGTTTTCGTGGGGTTGTTTTCCGGGGACCTTATTTTTCGGCATATTCGCCCTAATTTAATGGGAAATAGGGGAGGATTCGGAGATAATAAACCTCTCGTGTTATAGGGGGTCGTCGAACGTTGCCAGTTTCTCTTGCGAAACTGGATACAGGGACGCCACAGTCGTCAGCTGCTGTTTACGTCCGAGTGCCGTTTTTCCCTTGTACTATCGTCATCGTCGTCGTGTTTTGACAACGCGGCGAGATTGTTAGATCGATAACCCACAAAAATAGCGGCGTAATCATAAATTGAGACGTAGCGCAGCCAAGGAAACATTAAAAAAAAAAACAAACAAAAAAGTTCAACAACCAAAAACAAATTACGACCCCTTGAAAACAAAATAATCAGTTCCCGAGAGATAATACGGCATAAATATTACAAGACATGCTTTTTGTAGGTCATTTTTCGCGATACTTCAGCTTCACTAACTGACGCAGCATGCAAGCTTATGATAGTCGACATTTATCTCTTTGTAACGCCTATATACCGTTCTCAACTGCAAATGCTTACCCTGGTCGCAGTCACCTAGAAAAATGGATATGTCGAAGGACGAGTGAAATATGTATAATTTTTCAAAACCATCCTAGTGGCAACTTTTGCAACGGTATTGTCGGGTGTGGGCAACTTTAAAAACAAACTATCTTATCGTGAATATGAAAAGAGGTTTTTTGCGTAGTATCCAGTGGCGTAGTGAGTTTTCATTTGAAACAAATATCACATAAGAGGTATTCTAAATACCTCATATATAGCATATATCTTTAATTTTTTTTTTTTATGACTATGAAAAAAGGTGTCCCTTTTCCTAAATCTCAAAGGGTAATTAATATTTTATTTTCTCCCTTCCTCTACATGTTAACCTAAATTATGACAATTGTAAGAAATGTCCTTTCTCCTCACGAAGGTTTCTTTCTTTCTGATATTTTTTCTTTATTTTAAGCCGAATTAATTCGTATCTCTCACCTTATCACATGACCTAAATTTTGAATTTTTCTTTCTTTGATGATGTCCGATATAATGAAAGCTTCTTTTTTTTCTGTGTGATGGTCTGGGCTCACAGCTCTCGATACAGCACCTTTTCATTCGGATTCTTATAAAAAATGTTTACATACTGAGTTTTCCTCACTTGTTCAATAAGGATCTTGAACAGAATTTTTAATATCACAAATACAATAATTTCGTAGTTCTATGTAATAAATATAAGGAATTAAAAATTTTTAAATTTAAATCTTCTTTGAAAAGTGCTTTCATTGGCTGTGACCGGTTGTGACGTCAATCCGCTCGTTAGACTACGCGCCAGCCGGACGGTAGCATAGAGAAGCCATTAGAGGACGATAACGCGTTCGTCTTGGTAATTTTAATTTTAATTTTAGTCTTGATAATGTCGCTTGCTTTTGTTCTCTTGTGTTTAGTATCAATAAGAAAGTTTTGAAAATGACCGAAGCCGATTTTTAAAAAATTCAATCTGATAATTTAGCTTTAGTAGATATGTTTATGGCGACATCTTACATACAAAACACCCAAAGTTTTTTTTTTGCTGAGGTTCGCGGTGTTAAAGCTAAGAGGTTTGTTCAAAGAAAATTTGGCCACTAGTTTTAATCCAATATAATATTGTCTGTAGATTAAAGTTTCAAGTATAATGTAAATTATTCAACAAAAACTACAAGGATTTTTTTAAATTAGTGGAAACCTAAATACTGATTTTAAAATATATTGGTACGTAGCTCGAGAATGCATTACGCTTTAGTTAGAGCTATGTGAAACCTGTCTCAAGAAGAAAAAGCATCGAAAAAAAGGGATAACCGTAAAACCGCTACTATTCCGACAACTAAGTTCGAGAGGACAAGTCGATCTTATAGATATGCAGACTTGCCCTGATGGTGATTTCTAATATATCCTTAATTACCGAGATCATTGAAATATGTTACGGCCACTAAAAACGAAAACAGCAGAAAAGGTCGGTTATTGTTATTGTTGAATAGATATTTTTTGCAGTTTTTTAAAATCGAAGACTAACCGAAAATAGAACTTCGCGTGGGCATAGTTCTTCATTTGGGTTTCAAAGATGTAACTTCACCAAAAAATGTACCACTAACTGTTTTAAATGTAAAAGATTAAAATTGTTATGCAATTCTAAGTGTCACCATTTGACATCTTTTGCTAATAAGTGACATGTATAGAATGTACTCTGTAAAAAGTAATTCTACCCAAAGAGAATTCTCTTTTTTGGCAAATACCTATTTTTTGGTAGTAAATGACATACATAAACAATACAAGGTGTATTTGTGATTGTTCTTTAAGATACAATAAATTATCACAAAACTAACCAAAACTGTGCCTTACACTTGTAAAATATATATACAATATTGGCAGTATGATAGTAACGCGGCAGCTTATTTCGGAGATTGCCTGCTACACATTTGTCGTACCACAGTGTAGGCAATGTCCGAAATATCTAATAATTTCGGACTTTGCCTAAAGTGGCCCGGCAATGCGGACTTTGCCTAGGCAAACCTAGGTATGACTGCATAACAGACTTGAAGAGTTAAACTCCTCAACATATTAACAACAAATAACGAGTTTTATGTTCTGGTAGACTAATAAAAAGTTTATCTGGCGTTTTACGGGTTCTGTCATCGTGTTTTGAAATATGGTTTTTGTGTTGCCTCCATCATTATCACTGTAAAGCACACTAACCACAAATTCAAACTGGAATAGATTAAATACAAACACACCTTTACACGAGGCAAAGACAAACGTAAATAATATATGTATGTAATAATAATAATAAATTGCCCTTATTTTTGTATATACAAATATACAGTAGAGAAGAAGCGAAGTCTAGCAAAGGCTACTCCACTTAGCATCTTAAATGTCTAAATGGATTAATTGATAAATTAAAAATAGTATAATAGATAAATGGAACAATAGAAAGTTATTATAATAAAAATAAATTATTTGAGAAGTTAGCAGTTTCAACCTGAAATATTTTTTAAAGAATTTAATTGAATGTGATTTTACTTAATCGTATATACTATTAAAAATCACAACAGTGTTATAAGAAAATGATCTGCGGAACAAACATAAACGATATCGTGCCTGTGATAGTCTGTAGGGGTGCATTGAAGCCACTGATTGAACATTACGAAAGTGTAGTTTAGCTCGTAGGTAGGACGGATTGGATGTGCTAATAATTTGCAAAATATAATTGTCGGCCTATAACCTGAGAATAAAACTATAACCATGTGTATCGATCGAAAAGCAGCGGTATGACGTCACGATCTTTCCCGCGCGTTTAGTGTCGTTTAAAAGGAATAGCGGGGTGTTACAACTTGAATTATTTATTGCAACATAAATATTGGGTTTTCAGTTTTGTTATTTGGTGTGCGTTATTTTCATAAATAAACGAATGGGTCAAAGAAAAAAAAATCACCCCTATTCTCGAGAGAACTTCGAGTTATTTATTTCTATTGTTTCTCCATCGGAATTGAATACAATAGGGGTGTATTATCAATGCGTATATAATGTTGCACACATACTAGTTTATTTTGACTGATAACTACCTTTTTGTAAAAAAAAAATTAAAGGTGATATTTTTGAAAAGCTAGTAACTAATCTGATTAATTTAAAAAAAGAACAAACAAGTTTTGTTATATATCAAGATTTGAGAGTATGAGACCAAAACTTACTGATTTAATTAATAAGTAACCCTATAAGAAATGGGACACACTGTACACGTGGCGACGTGGTTTTTCACTTTGCCGTTCTTTTGTGAGAAAATCTCTTTGCCTGTGGCGGATCGAAACGTTACGGCTTTGTTTTTTTTTGCGCTAGACAACGCGAGAAAAGAAAAAGGTCGTTTTAAAGGCTATAAATAGTAGCCGGACAATAACCGCGCTCGCGCGGGTTAATTTAAATAATTAAACACGTGTTTTATGCGTATACTTATGTCTATATAGGTGTGTGTGTGCTGTAGCGAGGGAAACGAACTCTAACCTTTTCCGACGTTAGATCGTGTGAAATGCGTGAGAAATGGCGTTAGACTGTCAAAGGAAGAAAAAATTGAAGAAGAAAAAAAAAGTGGGACGCACCATTGCGTTGCGACGCGCGCGACAGTTGCGCGTAAAATGTAAAGCCCGTTTTAGACGAGGTTGCGCGAACGACCTACACTTCAAGCCCGTGTTTCATGGCAAAGTGTGACTCGAAAAATAAACTCTATCGGTCGGCACCGAACTGAAAAGTTTTATGAGGATCCTCTGCAGAATTTTAACGATTAGACTAAACTAACGTGTAATGCATAAAGGCGGCTTTATGTGCCGAAATAGCGTACCTTTTTTATAAGCGACAACCACAGAATAACGCCATAAAGAAGCGACAGCCGAATAGGTATAAACGGCGGGTTTAAGGGATCTGGCGTAAACGGAATTGCCTATAGAGCACAGTAATACTCCTTCATAATCCGTAAAAATTGAAATATTTCTTTAAAATCGCATTAATCCGCATAAAATATGCGGCATTTTTCTAAAATCTGGAAATAAGTTGATACGTCTCTGCTCTAGCTACTAGTAATTTTGTATAGTGAGAGAAATGAATGAATGAATAAGAGAAACAATTTTTGTTGGCATAAAAATTCAAATCCTTTAAATTTAGTTTTCTTCGTTTTATACCGTCTCCTACCGTCTGGGGTTGGCGCCAAAAATGGCCATCTTCAACTTGAAAACCGGAGATCGAAATGGTTCCACTGATCTATTGCACCATTTCCTTAGATCCTTCAACAAGGAATCTCTTCTTCTACCAGACGCTCTTTTTCCTTCTATTTTACACTACATGATGGGTTGCGGTAACTTTTTTGAGTATTTCTGACTATATGTCCACAGGATCCTGGTTAAAAGCGAGTTTTTAAATGAGGAGTTGGTGCACTATCTCAGACATATGTTTCAATGAACTAACTATAAAAAAAAGCACAAAAACGAGAAATTTTAACACACTTTACTTTTAATTTTCCACACACAAGGGTATTGTCTCTATATATTAATAAACCAGTTACAAAAAGCAGTACTCTCGATAGATGCTGTCCGGAGGAAAAGTAACCGAGAACAACAGCATTTTCTATCTTGAGATTTAAGTAAACTGCCTGTGGAATAGAGTAGACGTTTAGTCATTAATATCAACAATAAAAAAGAAAATTTCGCCCAAGAAAATAGTAATACGTCTAAATATTTTTAAAAATTCTAAGAATTAAAATATTAAATAAAAGAAACAAATAAAATATTACATGAAAAGATTGGATTTTCTTATTCAGAAGGGTTTTAAAACCTATTTTAAACATTTTTTGATTTTCTTTTGGTTTATGTCAGCAGGAAGCATATTATATTATATTTGTCCGCAATGAGAAGGTGATTTTTTATCGCAATAGTTATAAAATGTTTTTAACTGAAAGTTTTTTTTTTGTTTCTTCTCGAGAAGGAATGAATGTTAGATCTTGTTCGAAAGTTTTTTTATTTTTATCGTTTAAGTAGATAAATTCCTGTCAGAAGTAAAAGATGTACTTCTAAAAACATCTCTGCATCTCTGCAGGTCTCAATTTACTTGCGGAGTATAATGAGGAATATGTAGTATAAACTTAAAAGAGAAGAAGGGGTGTTTAAGGAAGATATTAAGGTTTTTTGAGACATGGTTTACCTTAATCTTCAGCCAAGTTATGTGCCTAGAAATTTTGTACGCGAATTTTTAGTTTTACCTCACCAAAGTCTCAAAAGTCTAGTGGGATAAATCTTTTATCTTTTGATACCTTTGCCGACTTAACCAAAAACAAAAATCAATCGCTTCGGATCGACGAATTCTTCCCGAAATAATTTCGGAAAGGTGAACGAACACGCACTCCAAATTATACCGATTTGTCGACAAAAAGTCCGACATCTGTTTCCGAAAACGAACTCTCTCGGAGCTCAAGGTGGTGCGTGCCCTAGAGGAGGAAGTAATCAATCGTTTGGCGTCGCGTTTTTCCAAATTTCGGTGCGACGGGGCACGCGTCTCGCGTTAATTCACCAACCTCCTCCGCCCCCAGCCCCGTTTAACCCCGAAAAGGAACGCGCATCTGGCCGAGCTAAATTTAGAGAAATATCGTACGGATTTCACGTTTACACTCGAATTAAACAAATTGCCGCGCGATTCTGGTTTGTGTAACGTTTCGGAAAGTATATATGGTGTACACCGTGAATCCAGATGTTTTTTCGGAGTTATTTTGGCCGCTTTCGGTGATTGTTTGAACCCTTTAATCACAATAAACTAAAGAAAATTTGAAAAAGTAGTCTAGTGTTTCACAGAGCGTGACGATAAGCCAACTCCCACCCCCATCAACATCATTGCAGTCATGTAACCCTACGGCAAGGATAAATAATTAAACACTGCGTATCTTGAATACTTAAAATTTCTGAAGCTTCGTTTCATTTTTTTTTTTTTGGATTACGAATATCCAGTTGAGCGTGGCCGCTTCTTTCGCTAAACACCTTGTATAATCGGCGAAAAAATGAAATTACTATTTACATGCAGAGAAAAAAAAAGGAAATTATATTATAGAATAATATTTATGTTGATAATAGTAATACTGCTTTATTTTCCTTAGATATACGCATTATTACAGAAAATACCTAAAATAAAACTAAACAATAGAACAATAAATTTCAACGCACTGAATGTAATGCCTATCCAAAAACGAAAATTGTTCTTTGTAACAATAAAAAAAAATGAATTAATTACCCTTTCGACTACCTTTCCACTTAAAAGAACAGTGAGTCACACAAGGCAGCAATACCCTGAAATTAAAAAAAAACGTCAGCACTGCGTGAATTCTAGCAGAATAAACAAACGTCAAAATTCAATCCGTGCGGTAAAATTTCCGAAAACATCCGAATTGTCCGAAATGGCCCGAATGAAACTGACGTGACAAAGTGACGTGTTTTTTTACAGGCGGGGGTAGAAAAAAATATTTTATTATGACGTAAAACTGCTGATTATGATAAAGATGTCAGTACTCTGTGAGTCTGTCAATATGGAGACTTTAGACATTTATTGTGTAGATCAGCTTCTCAAAGCTATGGTGTTTAAATGTGTATCACTTGTAAAATTTGTTACCACACATATTCCCGTGCCTGTAGGGATTTTTCTATTAGAATTTTTATATGCAAAAACATTCACTTGAAGTTGTTTTGTTTTAAATAAAATAAATTTCCTGAATCCGAACTAATGATAGATACCTAATGCATATATTAGCAAAATATGGTCTGTTCATAGATATAAGAAAGTGACCAATTCCTTTTGAATGGGATTATCCAACGGTGGTCATTAATATACAATGCAACAAGATTATTACCTAAAGTTTTGTAATAGAAAATAATTTATAATTTATAATTTATAAATAATATTATTTGGTTTGGTATACTACTTAGTTTAAGTTTATTAGTAATCATTCTTACATCTGTGTAATACGGCCTGTGTTGAATCGTGTGTGAATTATGCAAAATATGTGATGTCGAAGTAAGTTGGAAAATCTAAAATCATTTAGATCTAATTGAAAACTACGTCGATTTACGCTAGGAGCTCAATTGATTCTTTTGTTCCAATTCAACGTAATGAACCTGTAAAAAAAAATAGAAAAACGAACCAATTTTTTTCGACCCCCATAAAGGAAGACTATAAAGAATTAGCATAAAAAACAAACTCCTTTAGGTGTTGGCCACAGACCGCAGACTAACCCGAAATTTTTGCTTTCAGTTGGGATTTTTCATTTACTATTCGGTAAATACGGGAGAAGTGAACCCGGCGGGACCCGTGCCCATAAGCTCGATATTCATCTACCGACCGGACAAACGCGCGGAGGTGTGGAGGTTCCTGTTCTACATGCTGCTGCATGCCGGGTAAGTCGTCGATGACGTCACGCGATTCTCGACAGGAAAGCGCGAATCGAGTCCAATTATTATTGTCCGTCGCTATACGAAAATCATCGCGTATAATGTAGGCGGCAATTACGTGGGAAATTGTTAATTTTACGATGTTTGCGGTGACAATAATCGACTTGTCTAAATATTGACCGTGCGGGGCTTCGCCGCTTAATCCGAGTTTGTTGTTTCTATACGCGGCCTTTTTATTGTTGCCTTTTTTTTAATAAAGTGATCTTGTAAAGCCCGCGGCGCTTTTGTGGGAAAAGGGCGCCGCCAGACGGGCTAAATGAAAACAAATTCGGTGTATACGTAAATATTTACTGATTTTGTTAAGGTGGCCTAATTTTCAATAAATATTCAATAAAGGTGAAAACAATTTAAAAAATAATAGAAAATTAAATAAATATACACAAAGCTAGATAGCACACAATTATATAATTCATGTGAATTCTCTCCTTAGTAATGTTTATAATGAATGAATGAATGAAAATATTGATGAATGTAAATCCTTGGCCGTTGACTTGCCCTATGATTTATCTTTATTTTGCTTCGAGTAAATACTCTTTATTCTGTAGGTTTCCCTTCTTGGTAACAGCAATTTTTTGCTTTCGAGATCGCTTCAAACAGTCGTTCTTACATTTGCAATAATATTTCGTTTTTCTTGAATACTTTATACTTTAAAAGTACACTGTAGTGTGCAACTCCTGATAATTTTTGATGTAATCCGTTAAAAAATAACTTTCTAAACAATTTTTCAAAGACTACTGTAATACTTTTTACAAAACTTCTGGATTCCTGCTGCGTTGGTTTTTGCTGGGTCGAACTCAACCTGTTGGCTGTTTCAGTGAAGCTCTGAAGAAGCCAACAGGTTGACTGGCAAAACTTTTTCAATCAAATAGTTGTCCAGTTGTACCGCAGGATTATGGTCCCATCCAATTATAGCTTCCAAAATCTTTGCATTGCCTCAGAATTTGTCCATCCACTTTGCTGTTAATCATTTTTAAGCCCATGTTTCTCCTCTGTGACAGCTTATCAGTTGCTGTTGGTTAATCTTATTAGTCTGATACTTTCGTTTACCATAGTGTATTACGATTGCTAGGGCTGAAATTGTTAACACCGGTGACGTAATGATCAGAGATTCGATTAATAGCTTACCTGAGTATATTAAACTGACGCTGAGCAGTTCTACGACTTACCAAGTGTACGAAGTTAGCATTACCCCTTGTAAATTTTCAATGGTTTATGTCGGCAACAGCTGTCGGTTTTTTTTTGTCGTAAAAAAAATCCGCCCTTTAAAAATGCCCCTGCCCATCATTCCTGTGAAGTCACGAGAAAGCAAAATGAGAATGGATAAGCTTACTGCCTATACACTTTCTTTTTTAGTCGCTACGTTGTATGATGCATGTTCTTGTGACCACTTCGTACATTGTTCACGATTTCTCCTGAATTTCGTATGTTTTCTTGATAGTTTTTTTATGGATGTGATTTCCACTGAGTCATTCATCATATCGTTGCATTTATTCTTTGTTCGGAATTTTTTTTTTTGCGATATGTCTGCTGGCAAAGCAAATCGCGTCACTCGTAGCCTAGGCTGGCATAGGATCGTCCGTTTTTTTCCAAAATTATTAAAATACGTTAAGACGTTTTCGAAATATTTGACTTTGTCTCAGCTTTAACTATGGTTATTGGTTATGGATAGTCAAGATAATGTTTACGCCCCCTGGTTTTCATTTCAAACCTTCTAAATTAATTTTCAACATTTCCTTTTGGCCAGTTAAGAAATTTCTAGAACCGTCCGCTTCCCTAATACCGCGTCTCGCACCACTTTCAATTTTCTTATAGTACTAGTTTAGTGCACGTATGTATTATGACATCATTGGTGCTGCCGGTGCGAAGTTTTCCTTTCTAACGTTTTCTTTTTTCATTAAGTTTTATCACGCCGGTTGATTCGAATAGGAGAGAAGTTAGTTGCCAATCTCGTCCGGCGATCGGCAATCGGGGCGCGCGATGCGGAATCCGAACTAGCCGCGCATTATTACCGATACGTATCTTTAATTAACTTTTTCTTTGTTTTCCCGATCATATACAACCGGAAGGCGGCGTTGACCCTGCGCGCGAGCGTGTGCGGTCCCGAAGGAACCGCTGCTAAATATTATTTTGCTTCATTGACGTCATAAGACAGGATAAATATATACCAAACGTCAAATGTAGAAGTCATTTGTTGTTGTTACAGTTTTTTAGTATTGACATCATCAATACGGCAGTAAAATTACCGGAATCACTAAATATATATATTTTTTAATTAAAAGTGCAAGGTTTCTGTTTTTTTTTATCGTATCTTGTTTCATTTTCCAAACAAAATGACTAGCGTTGAATGTGACCGCCAAGACGAGACAAATGTAGATAAGTGGTCAGGACACACAAAAGTTGTATGTTTAGGGCTGTATTAAAGATTATGAACCAAAAAGAGAGAGAGAAAGAGTAGAATAGAGTATGCATTTATTAATTCCTCTAAATAACAAAATATGCAAAAATATACCAAACCCAGTGTTGACTTGTCAAAAAAGAAAATTTTATCACAAAATATTACCGGTGGATACACGTTTACACTTATAAAGTTAAAGAATAAATGAAAAAAAAAATTATTCCGTCTTAAAAAGAGAAATATTCTAACATTGAACATTTAGGATACAATTTTAAACTTTGCAACATTAAACTGTCACGTCAGTTTCTAGGTATAATTTTTAAAAGATTTTTGTGTTATGTACTTATTTTAATTTGCAGGCATGCGATTTTTTAAATTTATAACTGTTTTTTGTAATGATTATTTCACAGTGGGAAAAAATTTTGTCTGCAAATCAATCTTTTACAATGTAATCATTTTTCAGTGCTTTATCAATGTGTTTAGTGCATACGTTATCCCATAGGATGAGGTTTTCTAATTTGTGAGGCTGTAATTTTGACATGCACTTTTTATGCGTAACGTTTCATATACAGGGTGATTCGTAGTGAATGTAGCAAAAAGCAATTCTAGATTAATCTCGTGGAAATACTGATATTGAGCTAAATATGCCTTAGTATAATATCGGTCATTAGTTTTAAAGTTTAGTTCCCGAAATTGTTATTTCTTTCAAGTTGATTTTGAAGAAAATTTGGATTCTGAAGTTTTAGGAGAGGAGGAATTACACTCTATTTTTTCACAATATATGTAGAGGGCGCTAGTTACATCCTAACGGGGGCCGTTTTACGCCTTATCTGCCTTGTTGTTGATACTGATTAAATTCACCGTTGTCGGTCACTATTCCAATTTGAATAATAAATGCAATTATTTCACTATTAGTTAAGATTTTAGAATGCAGTCTGAATAATTGTTCTACACAAGAACATGTCAGTAACTTAGAAAATATTTCTTTAAGTCTGAATAAAACTAAGTCATTGAAATTTTGGATGCTAGATTAAAATATGTTTTTTACCCAAGGTGTCCCGCGTGGAACGGCCCATTCGCTATCATTTGTTTCTCCTGTTGCGCTATAATTTCTTCTTCCTTTCGCGTTCGACCGTTGCGTATACTCGCGTGACGTAAATCGCGTCAGCCGTTCCGCTCGTCGCCAGCGTTTAAGGCTAATTGGCGGCCACGTTACTCGTTAATAATTGGCGGTCGATTGAAAAAAAAAAAAAGAAAACGCGAAATCCGCCTTATTAACTTAATAACTACGTTTATGGGTGCGCGTTAATTGGTCGGGTCTCGTCTATAATAATAATTGTCGCCATTAAATTTCCGCAATCGTATCGTCGTGTTTCCGCAACTCGCCCCCGATTTTGTACAGGTTTTTTTTTCTTGCCCCGCAGATGGTTACATCTGGGATTTAACCTGGTCGTGCAGCTGCTGGTCGGGTTGCCGCTGGAGATGGTCCACGGGTCGGGCCGCGTCGCTCTCATCTACATGGCCGGCGTAGTCGCCGGCTCCCTCGGCACCTCCGTCTTCGATACCGACGTCTACCTCGTCGGCGCGTCGGGAGGCGTCTACGCCCTCCTCGCCGCCCACCTCTCCAACGTCCTGCTCAACTACAACAACATGCAGTGCGGGATACTGAGACTGTTCGGGATATTCGCCATCGGTGAGTCACTTTTGACAGTTACCCGAGGTATTTCTATTCCGCAGGTCCAATATGCACGGTCATTTTCATAACACCCTGTATCAGACTTCGTTAATTCGCTAGCAAACAATCCAAATATACAGCTGCTCCTTTAAGAGACAGATTTTTTAGTATTTCGCATTTCAAATTCGACTCCGACTCATATCTTTTTAGTTTTTTTTCTCCTTACCTGTCATGACCATGTTTACTAAAGAGCGGCCAGCTTCCATTATAACTCAAAATTTCTTTAAAAAAAGGTATACAATGCTTACTTCTAACCACCGCAAAGTGCAAGCCGCCATCTTTTTATTAAATTCATTCAATTTAGATGTGATTAGTAGTTAGGTTTATTTAGGCCAACCGTACTATACTACATAGGGTTTGGGCTATATTTCGGCTGATCCAACAAAATCTAGAACGCGCTTATGAAATCCAAACACCGAACTTTGCATTGCTGGTTAATGGAGTTTGTTTTCAGTAATTGTGTTCCAATTGTATGTTTAAAGGAAAAAATTAAGCTTAATACGAGCGAACTCTGTTCTGTAATAACCGTTTGCAAAGAAATTTGTTTCTAAATAAAGAACGCTCCTCATATTGTCGAAAATAGGACAGATCAATAATGCAAACACATTTTCCAGGTCTCAGAAAATTTACACCAAATACAAAACCAACTTTTAACAATACCATTGCTGAGAGGTATGTCAGATTTGTGTGCAGAAAAAAACTAATTTATAGTGGAAATTCCATAAAAACGAGTTTTATTTCTAGCCGTTTTATTGTCATGTACCGTTCTTGGCAGTGTCTCATATAGCTACTAGACATATAGAGGCCCTGCCTATGCTTGTAGTACAGGACCTTGTGAAGCAACTATGAAACAAAATTTTGATAAGATCTGTTCAATATGCGCATGCGCGAGATTTGAAATTTCGTTTTTGACCAATGGCGGCTCCAATTACACATTCTGACGTTCGACCCATAAGGCCTTGCGGCTTTGAACAACCAACATGGCCGCTGACAGGTGGTCAATGTTTGGATGCTGCATTGTTACGGCAGTATTTTCTCAAAATATGACGAACTCCTGTTAAATTTTCAGGCAAAAAAGGAATTAAGGTGTGAAAAGCGTTGTTAAAAAAATTAGCGCATGGTTAGTAAATATTATGCTGAATTACAGCATACGGATCGGCGTCTTTAATATAATTCTGTAAGTAGTTTGGCGTTTTGGTCCCTTAAGCCCTATAGATACCAGCTATTTTTTCCCGAATTTGTGCCCGTAAATAGGCGCAAACAGTTTGTTTTTATAAACTTATTGGTTTAACCTCCATTGAAAATTTAAATAAAGTCGAATTCACCAAATGTGACTCTAAAAGTATAAATATAACTTTGAGGTACTAGATATCGCACTGGAAACATATAAATGGAAAAAATGTTGAACAAGCACCTCATATAGACAGAACGCCCATTTTTTCATCGCAAGTCTAGTAATCGCCTCCCAAATATATAATTATGAAAGGTAAAAATTGACGATTTCGTTAAAAAACTGTAGGTATTGGAAAATGTAGCCAAGAAAATTAAAAACTAGTATAAAACAAGTCAATAAATAATTAGCCCTAAATGGAACAGAATTAATATTACCAAATCCTAAAAAGCAAAAATTGCATGGCGGCTGTCGCAAAAAAATTCCCGTTAAAAATATATAACAGCAATTGTTAATTGCTAAAAATACATGCAGAAATTGCATTGTGTCTTGCATTAGATATTAGTATCAATTCACACAATGATTTAGCTATATTTTATTACAATTTGGGTTGTAAATAACCAAAAAGAGAGAATCATAACCACCAAAAATGTAAACAACGTCACAGACTGTTAGTATTCTCTGGCAATAGCAATTCCTAGCTCGGCATTGCCAATTATATTCGGATTTCAGGGACTGATTTTGCGTTCTTATGAAAATTAGTCCATTTTTTCAGAAAAATTACGGCAATGTGACAATTCGTTTAGTTGGGGGTTACGCATGCGCAAAAGATCCATATACCTTCTCGAGGAAAATGTCATAGCCACCTACAGCGCATCACTTTTTACCGTAGTAGGGCCACTATATTATCTTATAGCTATATGCAATGTCTTCACCTTTCTGAAATGCGATAGGTTTGTTGGTAGAATTTTTGCCCACTTCAACCAACAGTTTGTTAACTATAGGGTTCTGTGAATGAGTCGAAATTTCTCTAATTTTCAACCTAAACTAACAGATTATCGTGTTTTTTTGACATATGGAAACTTAGCTGCCCCATTTTTTGCCACACACATAATAAGAAAGACAAGAATAATATTCCAATTCTATTTATATTTTATACGTGAATAGTTACTTTTAAAAAAACTCGACCCTCTACAGATAAACAATTAAACTGCAATTTCAACAAATTTAATAAACCCTAAAAACACAAAAAACGCTTTTAAAATAGGCCTGGGCACATATGTGCCTTTGATGGACCACATAAAATCAAGAGGCACCAAATAACCTTTGTGTAATCAAATTTTCTTAAGAGTTTTAACTATATGTAAGTAACAATGATCAATATCTGTCAGTTATTCTGATCGTTGCCGAACGATTGATTGTGTTTCATATTAACTATTCCTAACAAAGTTCGCAACCCTAGTTGGATTAGAAGGTGAGGTTAGTTTTTTTTTTTTAATTTCAGCTTCCTGTGACGTTGGTTACGCGATATACTCGCGCTATGCGGAAGAAATGATGGGACGCCCCGTATCGTATATAGCGCACCTTACGGGGGCGCTGGCCGGCCTCACGATAGGCCTGCTCGTGTTAAAAAACTTCGAGCAGAAACTGCACGAGCAACTGCTCTGGTGGATAGCGTTAGGAGTGTACGCTGCGTGCACCCTCTTTGCCGTGCTGTTCAATATTATGAACCCCACCGTGGAACAGATCGAGAATCTGGGCGACGGCGTCAATAGCAAATACGTCTACAACAGGTTCGGCGTCTAACGTTAGGGATAAGCGTCCATTTTGTTTTTTTTTTGTTTAGTTCTGTATATAAGTGTAACACTGTACTGATCGCGTTTTTCTTTCGGGCCCCAATGGGCCCTAGTTCAATCTACGTACGTTTGTATATATGTAGTTCTTCTGTACATATCGGCTTATTTATTTAGTATTCGTACCAAAGACTGAGGATGAGTGTTAATTTATGCGTTATGTTTGAAATTATTGTCAGTATAGTTTCATTTCAGTCATTGATGCGACGGTCGTAGTATTAGAATTAATACTTCTATTCTGGCATGTTTGGCCAGCAACTAAAAAGAAGAATTACCTTTGTTCCGTGCTACCGTCAAAATTTCTTATGGCGTTTCGACTGTCGCCGTTTAGTATTTTCCATTGCACGATAATTTCAGTAATTGTTTAAGTTAATCAAAAAGGTATTTATCGATGTACCCCTCGTTTTGTCCTCCCTCGCAGCGGGAGGAGAATTATTTTACGAGTGATATTATTAAACTAGTCATAAAGTTTAAGTAAAGCAAAGCCTACCAAAGAATGTGCTAGTTAATCTTTATATTTACACAGATACGAACCACATCGCCTTACGGTAGACAATTTTTCACCTTAGAGTAATATATATCACAAAGAACAAATTGTATTTTTGTACGCTCTAGTAGATGCTTCACGATAACATCTGATCAACCAAAAAGAGAATTGTGTCTTTGGATTACTGAGAAAATAAAAGTTTTTCTAATTTACTGCGTGATTTTATTACAACCCACCTTAGATACTAGAAACTGATTATTTTAGGTAATGTCTAATATGTCTAATCGCGGGCCTATCTACACAAAATGACATTTTTTCATATAGCTAAAAGCCTATGCTGCCTATGTCGATAATACACACACAGGAATTTATGAAGTAACTAAAAATAATTTCGAGAAAGTCCATTCAATATACCCGGCGTGACATTAAAATCTAGTTTTTAACCAATGTACTTGCAACGTTCAATAACCGACATGTTTGGATGTTCAAAATATGTCAAGATCCCGTTAAATCTTTAGGCAAAAAGTAATTATGCTGTTTAGGAAGAAAATGTGGTAAAGTGCCGGTTAGTGGATGAAATATAGAAACTTGCAAGCAAATCTGAGCAATATCATTTTTTAAGGTATTAAAGCCACCACGCTAGTCTGTTTTGGGCGCGTGTTTTCTTGACGCTGCCCACCAGGCACGAAATGAAGAAGAACATTGTCACATAACCTTACTGATCAGTTGACAAATTGGATTTTGAGTTTTCCTGTTCTTTCATATGATTAAATTTTAGCTAATCTTAAGGAGGATGAATAGCCGGAAAATCTTGAAGCGGTGATTGTTTACAAAACAGCTATGTTTCGTAGAGTGTTTAGCACCATCGAGCTCGCTTTACAGAACCAGGGCGAAAACTTATCCTATCAGAACCCGTTTGGGGCAAAAGAAACTACGACGTTTAACTGGCTAGCTAACGTAGCCCCCTGTTTTCCTCTAAAAGCGGACAGTGTGCAAATAATATTGGAACCAAAACATTTCTATGACACCTTAATAGGCCTCTGCAAAAATGCAACTGAACGAATCAGTTTAGTTAGTTTATATTTGGGAACAGGTGAATTAGAAAAGAAGTTTGTTGATGCACTCTTAACCAATGAGAATTTCTTAAAGAAGCGCTTAGTTGTGGATATTTTGCTGGATTTTACCAGGGGGAGCAGGTTTGAACCCAATTCCCGGACTATGTTGCTGCCTTTGTTAAATAAAAATGACGTTACCTGTAATATATCATTGTATCATACCCCTGCTTTGCGTGGGGCATTAAAGAAATATCTGCCAAATAGATACAATGAGTTACTTGGGTTGCAGCACATGAAGCTATACATATTTGATGATACTTTAGTCATTAGTGGCGCGAATTTATCAAATGATTACTTCACGAATAGGCAAGACCGCTATTTTATAATAAAAGACAGAAATCTAACCGATTTTTACTGTGGATTTATAAATAGTGTACAAAAGTTTAGTTTGAAAATGGACAAACACAATAACGTCAGTTTATGTAAAGATTGGAATGTTTCTCCTTATGAAGGCAGCAAAAGTAAGTTTGTTGGCCAAGCTAAGGAACTTATTGAAGATTATTTATCACATTTCCAAAACAACAGTTGCAATAAGGGAAAAGGATATGGTAGGTTCTAGAAATAAGATCTCAAGAAAATTTGGTTGTTTGCATTTTAGACACCTGGGTCTTCCCTGTGTTCCAAATGGGTCAGCTGGGAATAGAACAGGACTCTATGGTAACCACAGCAATTTTATCAGAGGCTGACCCTAAAAGTGTTTTGAAAATTGCTACTGGTTATTTTAACTTAACGGATCAATATATGGAAACATTAATAGAAAATTGCAAAGCAAGATGTGAAATATTAATGGCTCATCCCAAAGCCAATGGTTTTCTTGGAGCCAAAGGATTGGCAGGAGGAATACCATTTGCCTATTCCTTAATAGCCCACGAATTTCAGAAACAATTACGTTATCGGGATCAACAAAGCAGAATAATATTGTTAGAGTATTTGAAAAATGGTTGGACTTATCACGCCAAGGGTCTATGGTAAAGGTTAGATTTGTTACATAATTATTTATTAAAGGGCATTTTTAGGTATTACCCAGAGAACAGCCAAATGCCATGTATGACCATGATCGGTTCGCCTAACTTCGGAGATCGATCTGTGACCAAAGATCTAGAGACGCAGGTTGTCATTCTCACAGAGAATAAAGAGCTTCGTGAAAAACTACATCGTGAGTGTGAGAGGTTATATGATCATGGGATACTTGCGCAAACTCATAGAAAGGTGCCTGTTTGGGTTCATACTTTTGTTACTCTATTCCGGAGCTATTTTTAATGGGCTTCAGATTCTTAATTTATTGTTTTTTGTTACAAAATCTTTTTTTTTATTTGTTAAAATAATAAATCAGATCGAAATTGGTGGTTTTTCATTGTTGATTTCCCACATGCAAAGTAGATTATTGCATGAACTTATTTATTTAAAAAAATAAGTACTTGTACTGTATTATATGTATATTAGTATAAAATATCTTCAGGAATGAATTATTGTTATCCTTTCTTGGCAAAAACCATAGAATAAGACTGAAAGAAAACAAACGAATGGAAATTTAGCAAAGTCAAAGTTGATTTAAATATTTATGTTAATTTTGTGAGGTTAATAATCAGCTATTTGTTTGGATAGTTAACAATTTGACCTTACCATCGAAGCTGATAAGAATATTTGTTAAAAATGCTCATAGAGTTGAACATTTGACATGTTCAACTTTTTATACTATCTACTACCGAACCGAGCTGTTCAAGGCCTTACTGCCGCATATTTTAAAGGTAAGAACTTAGTGACAAAAATATTTGTGTAATCTTTGTGATCTTCAGCTAAAACGTTAAAAGAGGTCGGCTTCAGAGGTTGCCATAGTTCACAGTCAAGCGTTATTCTACCGAAAATGAAAGTAACAGCATTGCCAGCTTTGTCTGATAATTATATGTACTTGGTAAGCGTTCATGTGATTGGAATTTTAATCCCTATTAAGGATATTGTAGATCACTGATGAAGTCACCAAGCAGGCTGCTATTGTAGATCCTGTGGCACCAGATAGTGTTTTAGAGGCGGTTCGTAATGAAGGCGTGAATTTAACAAAAGTACTTACCACTCATCATCACTGGGATCATGCTGGAGGCAACGAAGAACTTGTCAAGAAATCTCCCAATGCCTTGCAAGTTTATGGTGGGGATAAACGAATCGGAGCGCTTACTAATGAAGTCAAGCATGGAGATAAATTTTCCATTGGGGAAATTAATGTGGAATGTATAGCGACTCCTTGTCACACTAGCGGGCACATTTGTTATTACTTAACAGACGCCAAGGGACAATCCGCGGTCTTTACTGGTTTAAAAGCACTCATTCTGTAAGACCAAAGGTATAGGGTAATTTTGTAGGGGATACATTGTTTGTTGCTGGTTGCGGCAGATTTTTCGAAGGCACCGCAGAGCAAATGTATACAGCTTTGGTAGAAAAGCTAGCTAATTTGCCTGACGGTACTTTGGTTTTCTGCGGGCATGAGTATACTCAGCAAAACCTGAAGTTTGCTAAGCATGTGGAACCGGAAAACCAAGATATTTTGAAAGCCATAGCAGATGCTGCTGAGAAAAGAAGCAAACAGCTTCCAACAGTAAGTTATTTTGAATTATTATGGAATATGAAAACAAAAACATTTTCTTCAGGTTCCATCTACAATAGGTAAAGAAAAACAAATCAATCCCTTCATGCGTGTTATGATGCCCACAGTGCAAAGTCATGCGGATTGTGGTGATGCAATAGAAACAATGAGGACCATAAGAAAGGAAAAAGATGGTTTTAAAGCTTAATACTTTGATTTACTTCTTGTTAAATTTTACATTTTTAAATAAAATATACTGTTTTATGAGCCTTTCAATGTCTTACCCACTGACTTATGGTTTTTTTTGTCTCCTGAAATGTTATTCAATTTGGTCACAGGTGTTACCACTGTAGCCAAACCATTAAAAATATAGGATTTTTTTAAAAAATATATCACAGGTTAAGATAAAAATTTTCACTTTGCATTTTTGTATTCTTCCATTTCGGCAGCGTATTTCTCTTTCGATTTTTCATACCGATCCACATAGACTTTTTTATCGGGGACTGATAGTGACTTCCACTTAATGGCCAACTGTCTTGTAAGTTCCTGCTTCGTGGGTTCAACCTCTCCAGGTTTCAACTCCGCATTGATCTGTTCCAACAAAATTTGCCGCTGCTCCTGGCAAAACTGGAAAAATGGATTTGAAGGCCTCTTTGGGGCATTTGGATCCTTCTCTGCTTTGCCTGATTTTTTCTTCGGCGTCCTTTTAGATCCTCTCTGTTTTTCAGTCTTTTCTTCTTGCTTGTCTTCTGACTTTTCCTGTTTAATTTTATCTTTTGGTAGCAATTGCTGTGGTCTTTCTTCTTGTTCCACATCACTAAAGTCGTCGGGTGGAATAACGGACCAGTCTTCTCCATAGTTGTTCAGTAGTCGGTGTCTAAAAAATTTCACCTCCTTGTACCGGCGTTTGGTAATTTTATTGACTTCTTGTATGCGAAACACTAAAATCTCGTTGGATCTTTGTAGCTGGGCGCACTCTTCCAACAATAACTTGTATTTGTTGTAGTACAAGTCGTTTCGTTCGCTTTCATCGAACGCAATGTCATTCTCCGACTCGTCTGACATCATTTTGTGGACAATTTCAGATGATTTACAAAGTTTTTCATTTCAGAACACAATAGCACTACCTATTATTATCACTGGTTGCCAGCTCAATGGCGTAAGAATAGTAAGCACAGACCATTGACGTTCTCCACCACCACCACCACTTCGTTTTCTTTGTTTTTGTTCCACTTTTTGCCGAGGGTGAATTTTGTGCGTTTTTTCGGTTATTTAGTTGGTTAAAAAGTCACATTTATTTTCGCGTTTTATATTGCGTGAAAACTTATTGCACAATAGTAAACGTTAGCGCTTTGTGTGTGGAATATAGTGCCTTTCTGTTTGTATAATATCCAACCACCGTTAATTGGGGAAGATCGATAAGATTTGCGGCAGTCATTTGGCACAATGCTCTCCGTTTTTTAGCAGCGCTCTTACGTTTTCGTTACAGGTAAGTTTCCGTAGCATGCCTGGGTTCGCGGGGGTCTCAAAAATAGCAGTTTTGCAAAAAAAAAAAAACGTTACAGTCAGTGAAAGTGACAGTTCAACTAATGGCTTTAACCTCGTTTTTACGTTGCTTCCGTTTTGTGTTTATTCGCAGTGCACCAAAACAGGAGCTTAAAATGAGTACCAGACCGATTTTGCCCATTAGCCGTATAAGCACCATAATGAAAAGCTCTTCTGACGTAGAGACAGTGAGCCGGGAGTCTTCGGTTCTCATGTCCAAAGCTACGGAGCTATTCATAAAAAACCTCACGCAGGAGGGCTACAACAGAACAAACAAGGGCAAGAAGCTCGACTACAAACATTTGGCGCAGGTCGTCCACAACGACGAAAAATACAATTTCTTGCGGGACATATTGCCGAAAAAAATCACCGTCCTCGAATACAAGAAGATATTGGCTAGTAGGGACGCTCCCGAGAGGGCGGAACGCGAAGCCGAAGAGCTAAGCTCCACGGAGGATGATGAAGAGGCTAGTACTAGCGACACTAGTGCCAGTAGTTCTGGTGAATTCCAATCGAAAAACTAATCAAATTATTTTTTGCTTTGTGCGTCCACATTCGGGATACATTCCTGCCTCTTAAATTGTTAGTAAACGGTTAGTGATTAAAGACAACGCCCTCTACATTGCGTGTGAAAATCGAAAAGTGTTCCTTGAACTTCCTCCGCCTTTTCTTTTTTATGATCTCCCTTCCCTCTTCCCGTCTGCACCATCGTCTATATATTTTTTTCGGAGTGCAAAAAAACGGGATTTTTGGCAATAAGGCGATCTGGCATGCCAGTCGAAGGAAAAAAGCGACGAGCCAGGTTGCAGATAAACGCTTAGTGTTTGATCCCGGCGTTTTATCGGAGACACGCGCGCCTATGGCCGCGATAATAATTAATTGATAGTACAAAAGAGCGTCTACTACTCTCGGACGGTTTAGTTCTTATTTCTTTGGCGTCGTTCTCTAGGTTAAGGTTTATCTGTCGTCATGGTCGGTTGACGTTGTCCTGTGAAAAGTGCCACAATTATGTAGTTTTTGTGCGAGAGTCCGGCAAATAGTCGTTTAAAAAATAACCGCGGCAGTATTTTGTTTTCGCGAGTAATGAAGGTGAGTCTCGGAAAAAGAAGCGCTTCTTTTGGGATTTCTCTATTCCCATATATTTCGTTGGGTTAAATTACGTGTGCGCGTGGGAATTTATAACTAAAAATTGCGGTCCGATTTGACAGTGCGGTCGGTTACGACCGTTGGACAAATTCGGAAAGTGACGTGATTGTTCTCATTGTCTAAGGGGTTTGGTAGATGCGTCTTTGATAGCGGCGGCAGCCAGCAAATTGCAGTTTAAGGAATCCTTTGTTGTGTAATAAGCGCGGTTATTGTGCTTTGGATCCATTATCGCGAACATTGTACATGACTTGTACGAAAAATTGCAAAGCCTCGCGTGATTTTCTACGGTTAACTTAACATACAATGGGAGCAGATAAAATGTAACCATTTTGTGTTTATTATTCATTCTTTTATCTCTGCGGAATACTCAAATCGTTTAAATCCCCGATAAACTATTATAAAAAGTTGATTTTGTCACGGTCGTACCTATTATACTTATATATTTTAAAACTCAGAGTAAAATTCACATGTTGTATTTTACACACTGAACCTGACGTCAATGTTTAAATTAATTTAAAAAACAATCAGTTTTTATGTTCATACCTGATCAGTAACAACCAGATAGCTACTATAGCCGTGTCCATGCTTTTAATACAGAAAAAGTTATTCAACATACCTGTTGCATTTTCTTTTTTCCCGTATCTGTTACTAATTCACTTCGAAAATAAAAGATCAGCTATAACCGGTAGATGCAAACATACGATGCGTGTAATAACATGGCTGCTGACATTCCGTCAATCGTCATCTGTCAGATCGCCGTTTAGGAAGAAAACATCGCAAAGATCATCCCCATCTCTACGAAAATATCATAACCCCCATTCGGCCACTAGGTTATTTAATAACTGTATGGTGACATCGCTCGAAATGTCCAGTTCAAAAGACTATATTATTACCTCAACCGCTTTACGGTGACTACAGACTATAGAAATGAGTATCATCCCGAGACGGTGAATACTACAAAAAAGATAAGCAAGTGTAAAAGAAATTGTTTAACAAGAATCGAAATCAACATGCGAGTTCAGGCATGTACCTCTTAACAATTGAAAAAAATAACGGTAGTCCTGCTTTACACCCGTGAATATTTCTATTTTTAAGCTACCGACGTCACACCATTGACGTCATGCGTGATTCTAGTAGGGAACTTGAACATTTCTTTAATATATTTTATGAATAGAAAGAAGTTGTGGTACCCGGTCTACCAGAAAATAAAAGCCGTTGATTTTTGTTAACATTATGTTCAGGTGTCACTTTAGTCTTTGGAATGACTTCCTGATCTATATAAAATAAAGAATACTTTACGTTATCAATGCCAATATACTTTAAAATCAGTATTCAGGTTTCCACTAGTTAAAAAAATATGTTTTGTTTTTTTTTTGTTGAAGAGTTAATTATAAGATTGACCTCATCGGCTTCAATTATTTTCAAAACTTTCTTTTTGATACTAAACACAATATTACAATAGCAAGCAACGATATCAAGACTAAAATTAAAACCAAAACCACCAAGACGAAGGCGTTGTTCTCTAATGGCTTCCCTATGCTACCGTCCGGCTGGCGCGTAATCTTTTAAGCGAATTGACGTCACAACCGATCACAGCCAATAACAGCGCGTTTCAAAGGGGATTTAAATTTTATACTTACACTTACAATATTTGTTACATAGAACTGCGAATTTTTTTTTGTGAACTGTGGTTCTTTTAATAGTACAAACTTACCTACTTTTATAATCAATATTTTTAAAATTAAAATTTTGTTCAAATTCCCTATTGTTTAAAATATTAATATTAATCACCTAAACAAACAAAACAATGTGAGTTAGTGTGTTTTTTATATAATTAGATTTGGATATTCATTTATTTTAATTTTAATATTAGATACCACAACCAAACCCCAAAAAATCTACTTAGTGGTCAAAAACAAAGCCCTGTAGCCTCAATAATCTTACAAAAGTTTGACCGTTGTTGACATTCCTCAACATTGATGCTGCAAAGTTTGGTAACGAATAATTTGTCCTGATGAAGACTACACCTTCTGTGATTCTCATAGTTGTATTCAGACAGTCACTGTAAAGTAAATTCGCTATTGTCTGTAACCCATCACAGACTTTTATTTTTACTTACTGCACGTAACTACGAGCGTCTTTCTATAAACACGTGACAACAGATCCGTATTATATCCCCATTTTTTGATTTTTTGTTTGTTATTTATGTGTCTGAGTAACTGAGTGTTTGTGGTACAGTTTAAGTGTGAAAGTCAAAATGTGCCGTCATTGGAAATTTACCCGATGTTACGCCACTGGTGCCAGTTTAACGAGCTTAGCTCGTCGTTCAGTCAACATTCGGTATCAAAACGATACACATTTTGATTGTTGTACGCGATAACGCGTTTATGGGAATTTCATCGGGCAACATTTTTAGGCATTCCGTTGCAGCTCACTGAAAATCACGTCACATGGCTTTATGTTATCGTTTTCCGTGACTTATCTGTTAACCGTGCCACGATTTTAGTTTCCTTAAAGTTCGGAGTTTCATTGTCCGCATGTTCTGCTTAATTGCTTTCGCCATTTTAACGAAAATCAATATGCGGTCGGGACCCACAAAATCCTGTTTTACACGGTGTTGTTTTATGTCGCAGCGAATTCATTGGCGCAGGACGGAAATTTGCTAGAGGCTAGCTGCCAGTTATGAGGAAACTGGATTATTCTTATTCTATGGTTCTTGCATTTTATGCTATCTTTTTGATATCAACCGACCGAAATTTCTTCTTTGCTCTCAATAAATTTTATTAGGTCTTATACATAGTGGTTCAGTCAATTAAAATGTTATTAATTTTATTGCTATTTACTATAATATGGAGTAATATACAATTAATTAGATTATATTTGGACGTTCGAAATTACTAAGGTGTGACAGGTGTTGTCTCAGGGTTGATTGCGAGTCTAACTATTTATCTTAAATCGCACACACTGTACCTACTTATTACAGTTTTCAACTCAGTTTTGCTTTAACAGGTCTTGGGAATTTCAACGCGCGGTAATGTGTCCGCCATTAATGTGGGAGGACTCAAGTGCTTCAAATTGTAATTAAATTCAATAATTGTGTTATTTCTGACCGTGGTTGCCAGACCGATTTTTCTCGCAGATGTCTTAAATTCATTTTTCGAGTATATATGAGTTGCAGACCCAAACATATTCTACCGGTGTTTCGTAAGTGTTAGCCAAAAATTATAAACGTACTTCTAAGTAAAGTTCAATCTTAATCTGCAGTCATTTTACACCAAGAATTTACGACTTGAAAGATTCGTATCCAAAATCGATACGATTCGGTCTTATCCATCTCTGCACTCATCACATAACCTCATTATATTTAAACAAACTTTAACGAAATGGTTCCGATCTTAACTTTAGAGGTCTTCCAACATAAGATGCAAATTGGCAGAAAAAAAATTGGGGTATTTCATCATCTACTGTTAACTTTCATCAAAAATCCTTTTGTTTTATAGCTTGTACATCGAAACATAAAGCGTTTTTCCGAAACCTTGTTGCTTTTTGTCTAAAAATCACCCAAAGAAAAACACGTTCACGTTCTATATGAAAATTTAATATTAAAATAAATTAAAACTTTTTAATAAAATAACAGGGACTCAAAGAGAGTAACTATAGTTTTTTCTTCACAGTCTATTATGTCTGGTGTTTCCTTCGAGCAGTACCTATCCCAAAAACTACCACGTACGGGTGCAGAGTTTTTTGCAATTACCTCGTACATAGGAACCTAACCGGTTCTTAATGCTTATCATTTCGTGTTCCAGAAGAATCGTCACCAATCGCTACCCGATCCGACCACGCATGGCCGAGCTGCCGGTACCCGCTGATCGTCGCAAGACGTCGCACCGCACACAACGGATGGTACTCGGTCTGTACGGGTACCGTCGTCTCGCGTCGCTACGCAGACAGTTCTCTAGGGATTTGCAGGAATGGCCCAAGTTACGGACACTAAACCCGATACCATGCGCCAAATAATAAGTGAGGTTAGTGGCGGCGGTACCGCTAACGGAGCGGTACCGCGGCGGGACGGTAACCCGGGCAAAAAAAATTACAATCTCGAGCACTACCTGAACGAGAAAAACAAGCCGAAAGTCGAGGTGAATCCGTTGTACGACGGCGGTACCGGGAAGCCGGAAAAGTTGATCATGACCACCGAAGACAAACCAGTATTACACGTGCAGTTCGACCACCGAAACAGCGACTCTTCGATCTCCAAACAGCCCTGCCCGTCGCCGTCACCACCGTCGACAGATTCTTCTTCTTCGTCGTCGTCGTCTTCGAGCAGTACCGACTCCTTGGAGATATCGGAAACGCGTCCTCCGGACGGCGGCTGGGGTTGGGTCGTAGTCGTAGCTTCGTTCGTAGTTAATTTGATCGCCGACGGGATTACTTTCAGTTTTGGTGTCATATTTGTAGAGTTTTTAAAGTACTTCGGCGAAAATCGCGGTACAACCGCTTGGGTGGGCAGCCTGTTCATGGCGATGCCTCTGCTGTCCGGCCCGATAGCTAGCTTCCTCACCGATCGTTACGGCTGCCGAAAGGTGACGATATTCGGCGCGATCCTCGCCTCCATGGGCTTCGTCATCAGTTCTCGCGCCAACAGCATGATGGTACTGTGCATCACGTTCGGTTTGCTGGCCGGGTTCGGTCTGAGCCTGTGCTATGTAGCGTCCGTAGTGATCGTAGCTTATTATTTCGACAAGAGACGTTCTTTCGCCACCGGTTTGGCGGTGTGCGGCAGTGGTATCGGAACCTTCATATTCGCTCCGTTAATTCAGCTGTTGCTGGACGAGTACGGTTGGAGGGGTACCACGTTGATACTGGCCGGGTTCTTTCTCAACTTGGTGGTGTGCGGCGCATTGATGAGGGACCTGCCGTGGACGTCCGCGAAACAAAAATCGCTTGCGAAGGAGCGTAAACGCACGAGGAACATGAAACGCAAGAATCGACTGATGTCGGCCGATTCGTTTTCCGTCAGTACCGGCACGTGTACAGCGAGCGTGCTGCAACCTATTATGGAAGCGTGCGAGGAGGACGCGGAGGCGCAGAATCGCAGGCTGTGCACCTCGTTGGTCCACTTGCCGACTTATATAAGGGAGGGCGAGAAGATCCCCGTAGAGGTGTTAGAACTGTTGGCGGGCAACAAGAACGTCTACAACGTGCTCGTCGCAAATTATCCGAATTTGTTGGTGCCGTCGCGCAGTTTCAGCGACTCGGGCAGGTTGAACGAGTCGAAACACGCTAACACGGTCACTCAGCTCGCCTCCACGCCCCCAGCGATCACCCGTAACCCGTGGTGGTCGAAGAATACCTCGGAGTCACCGGAAAAGAACGCACCGCCCCAGCGAAAAGTGCCAGCCGCATTTTTGAAAGACCTGCGCATCCATCGGCTTTCGGTGACGTACAGGGGCGCCATGTTGAACCTGAAACGGTACCGGTTGAGGGCGAGCTCGTGCCCCGACATCTACCGGAACTCGATGACGACGATCGCGCAGGAAAAGGTCCAGTGGTATGCGGCGCTATGGGACTTTTGGGATCTGCTGGTCGACATGTTTGACTTTTCGCATTTCGCCGATCCGAAGTACCTCGTGTTCGCTCTCTCGAATTTCCTACTCTACACGTGGTACGACGTGCCCTACGTTTATCTGACCGACAACGCGAGCCAGCTCGGGTACTCAGATAAGGACGCCTCGATTCTCATCTCCATCATCGGTATCATTAACATGGTGGGGGAGGTAAGGTTTCAATTTTATTTAGCCTCGAAAATCCCATCCAATCTGTTTGACTTTCTTGATATGTTTTAGTCATTGGTTTGTGGGAGACAATGTTTCAGTGCTGAAACTCAAAAAACTTACTTTATTTGACTAATGCCCGTTATCAAGTGTTAATTGAACTAACGCTTGTTAACGTTAGATTTTACATTTTCCAGTGATGTTTTATATGAATAAACTGCTCCTCTGACCATAAAGTCAAATAAAGGTAAATTCAAGTTTTCTTGGTTTTATTCACAATCATTGGTCTATTTGCTCTTGGCACATCATATTGATTACATCCTTTAGGTACGTTCATTCCTTAACTTCAACTTCCAAACTTAAGAGCCATAGGAAAATATTTAACCATAGATAAATTATTAGTAATGACAAACTTTTCGAAACATAAATATTTAGAAAGTATTGTGTCTAATTAGAATTAGTTTAGACTTAGAAATACAACTTAGAAACCAAGAAAAAGACGAACAAGGACGTCGACAATAATGTAACTAGCGCTAGCTGGCTGCACCCCCAATTGTGAACCAACAGGACTTGAAACACGGAAACTGGCAAAATATTTTTCATTTGAAATATACGTCAGACTTTCATCTGTATGAATATTTTCTTCTAAGCTGGAGTAATAAGGAACTTTACAGGCTTACCACTCTCCCCATCTTTTTCAAATTCTTTGGCAAAATTTTTCGCTGCTTTACGTTCACACAGTTCATAACGGGAAAGGGATTAAAAATTCCACAGCGTCACTAGCTGAAAATACAACGTTATAGCTAGTCTGAAGTAGACAACTTCGTGAGTGAGGCTTCATCTTCCCAACATTTTGCTTGAGTATCGCTTTAACAACTTTTAGAATCTTTTAGAAAGTATTTTTGGAGCCCATAACTCTCTATACCATCGGCGTACTTGCAGATAATCTTGGGTTGGATCGGGGACCGAGCCTGGGCTAACGCGGGCATCATCTACGCCGCGTGCATGGTACTGTGCGGCGCCGTCATCGCCCTCATTCCGCTGATCACCAACTACACGTTCTTGTGCATGGTGTCTGGGGCGTTCGGGTTCCTTATCGCCGCCAATTATTCGCTGACCTGCGTCATTCTCGTGGAACTGATCACGCTGGACCGGTTCACCAACGCTTACGGATTGCTGTTGCTTGTACAGGGATTTGCCAATCTGATCGGACCGCCGTTGGGGGGTGAGTGTAGAAAAAACTTGTACATTGAACGAAATTCCCCCAAATGTCCTAGATATCTTAGAAATACATCGAAATACCTTTAATTTTCTTTATTAACATTCCCGAAATTCCCTAAAATTGCCCGCAGTTTTTCAAAAAATACGCTAAAATTTCCAGGTCCATTTTGTGATTTTGTGACGTTACAAGCGAATTCTTGTGTCAAAAGAAAAAACAACTAACAATTTAACCATAACCCTGCCTACAAATACATATTAACTACTTCTCTCAGCAAGAGAAAAATAAACTTTCCTTTTGTTGAATACATATCATCAAATAGCAGCAGAGTAATATTGTTACTATATTATAATAATAGTGTTTTCGAAGTTAATAGAAAACTTTTGAATATTTTCCAGAAATGTTTCATTAATGGTGTTCCATGTGAATAGATAAATTTTAGATATTCATTTGTATTTGACCAGGAACCAGGAACAATTCCTGGAACTTTTTCCTTGCAATAAGATAACTCATGGATCATAAATACCCAAACTTAAAAATAAATTGCACTTTTTTTATGGTTTTGTTTTAGCACAAGGTTTGTCATTTTATTTATTTATTTATTTATCGACGGGCAATTGTCCAATAAAAATGAAAAGGTACAAAATGTAAAAATTACTAAAATTAAAAATATATATAAAGACCTAACATGTTTCGTACACTTACAATATGTGGTATAATCGCAGTAAGGTCGGTGTAAAGGGCGTGTACTTGGCAACCCTTGGCATTCAGTACAAAGTTCGTGAACGTGAGCAGATTGAGTTCAGCTGATCGATGGGATATCAATTGGTGGTCAATAGAGCTAACCCAATACTGACTGAGAGGAAAAATCTTAGAAATACAACGGAAGGGTCAGTTGGTGGTCAATAGAGCTAACCCAATACTGACTGATAGGAAAAATCTTAGAACTACAACTGATGGGCCCGATTTCCGGATGGGGACGATGAATCTTGTATTCCAAAATGCTAGAAATAATCCGTTTTTAAGGAAATATTGAAGATAAAGTAATGTGAATGTGCCAATAAAACTAATACACTCCGATCCTTATGCTATAACTTTTTCTTCTGTTATTAACACATCTCCAGAATTTCCCCATATTCGGCATCAAAGAAGACTATACAACTCTGAATTTTTAAGGTCCTTGGCTCTTGAAGTTAAAAATATGTTATAGTTCATCCTTTTATGAGCTTTTTTCTTTTCAATGATTGTCTCCTTAAGCTCATGAGAGAACCAAGCAGGAAAGTTCCTAGCAGAGTACGTCTTCAAGGGAACAAAAAACAAATACTCTCACAACATCCAACTGTATCCCAACGGAACCGAGAAAGGAAGTCAAACACTGTAAATCCACCGTTGTTTTTTAAATGAATGTTCTCACATGGCACACTAAATGAAAGTGGAGGGTGATGGACGTCCATCGCACTTTTCAATCGTATAGAAATACCCAGGCCAGTCGAGTTTACCTGATGTGGGTTACGAAAAGAACACAAATCTTTAGTATTGGCTTTGATATATCAGCTTGTATGTCTAAGTAGTAATTGTACGAGTTACAGAAACTTATCATTTAACTTCGAAAAAAATCTACTAAAATTTTGCAATTCGTCAAAATTGCATCTAAATTTCCAGAATTTACCCCGAAATTCCTCATAATTCCTCGAAAAAAACATTAGAATGTTGTAAAATATCATTAAAATTCACCTGAAGTTCCTGTGAATTTTACGACGATTTCTACCCCACAGGGTGGCTGTACGACATCACCGGTTCGTATCACCTGCCGTTCTACCTGGCCGGGCTGTTCATCGGTATATCCGGTCTGTTGCTGGTGGTTATACCGATCACCAAACGCTACAGGCGGTACATGAAGCGGCGGTCCTCGTCCGAAGACGCCATTAAGGACACTTCGCCCGGAGACGCAAAGGTCACCGTCTTTTCGTGCTGCGTAGGACACGAGGACGGCGTAGAACAGGGTAGCCGTATTTAGAGGTGAAGGCGAGTCGGAATTCCGGCGTTCAAGATTTTATTTTTTTTTTGCTTGCCGTTGTCTGTCTGTAGCGATAGCGAACTACCTACCTCTATGAAATATGATATTGAAAAAGTTTGTAAATAGTTTTCTAAATTTCTGGCGTAGCCGGGGGCGTAGTTTATCGTAGACAATTTTTTCAACCCGGCCGAGGCCGTAACGGTTTTTTCTACCATCAAAGTCATGAACGTGTTACTTGGACTTGTGTGCGAAGATGCCAAACGGCGTGAAACAAGAAAATGAGGTTAGATTAGAAAATTTATTTTGCAGTCGACAGTTTCTTTTTAAATCGTGTTTTTTTTTATGGGAGCGGACTTCACTGTGAATAAAGTTAGTAATAAAAAATCTTTTCGAAAACTCCCCGTACGAGTCTTTCGGGTCGTCTTCGTCGTTTGGCATCTGTATAGATTAAGGCCGCTTTACGGATAAACTTGATGATGATGAAGATATTCTAAGCTGTTTTACCAATTTTCACAACTCTCCCGTTCTGAAATGTTCAAAGCCAATTAGAGTCTAATATAAAGGAGCCTTTTTAAATCGTAGCCGTAGTCTACATCAGTGAATACGGCCTGTTTCCTGCAGTATTCCGAAATAACAATTTCAAGTAGTTTTCGTTTGTAAATAGTCTGTTCGAAGTGTTATACTTAAAAAAATAGTTTCAATTATTTCGTTCAATAAACAAGTTTCATTTACAGCAGATGTTTTATTTTAAGAATTACCATCAATCATTAAGCAATTTTTTAGAAAAATGTAGAGATTTAAAAAATATTACCGTAGACCCAGTATAGTAAATCGGTAATATTAATAACAACCCTATAAATTTTCCAAAAATACGTTTTTTTTGGGCTGATGACATAAAACGTCATATCGTTGGAGTTATTGTTCTCGAAAATGTTTTAAATCCTTGAAATAATTTCAATATTCTTTTTTTTAAATTTTTGTGTGAAAGTTTCAAGATTTTATTGAACCTTAAGAATTTTTGGTGGTTGTACTTGTTAAGGAAATTGAAAAATGTCAAAAGACATTGATGAGCCCTTGTAGTGGAACGCGCTGTATGTTATTTTGTATTCTTATAGGTCTTTCTTTTTATTTCAAATATTAAATTTACATGTACGACTTTTCTTTCATTCATTTTGAAAATTATAAGGGTGCAAAGTTTTTTAAAAATGATATTTAAATCTTAACACGTAATATGTATTTTTTTCGATTCTAATTAATTGAATGAAAAAGAAAATTTAAATATTTTATTATATTTTACAGTATAACCAAAATTATGTTTAACATGTTGCATAAAATTCACTCAGTCTTGAAACGCAAAATAAGAAAAAAGACCTGTAAGAATGATGTAAAATAGTATACATTAATTGGATACATACGTATATTAAAAAACAATTATCAATCTGTAATTTTTTTTAATTTTTTTTGACACCCCCGATAAAAAATTCTTTAAGTTCTATAACTTTATATTCTGTATCTATTTTATTCTGTTCTGTATTCTATACTTTGGAAACCTAACTCAATATGCTCTGACAACTAACATTTTAACTACTTCTCTTGGCAAGAGAAAAATAAACTTTCCTTTTGTTGAATACATATCATCAAAAAGTAATAAAAAACTTTTGAATGTTTTCCAGAAATGTTTCATTAATGGTGTTCCATATGAATGGATAAATTTTAGATATTCATTTGTATTTGACCAGGAACCAGGAATAATCCCTGGAACTTTTTCCTTGCAATAAGATAACTCATAGATCATAAATACCCAAACTTAAAAATAAATTCTATTTTTTTTTTGTTTTTTTTTTAGCATAAGGTTTCTCATATTATTTATTTATTTATTTATCGAGTGGCAATTGTCCATAAAAAATGCTTAAATTTCTATAACTTTATATTCTATATCTATTCTATTCTATATTCTATAATTTAGAAACCTAACTCAATATGCGTTAACAAAATTTCTTGCTAATACTTAAACATTGCCCATTAAAATGAAAAATAGTAATTCTTTTAACAATAGCGATGTGGTTTGTAGGAAATGTATTTTTTTAATTTTGACAATGTTAGAACACCAACGTATCCGAGTTTTTAAACTTAATTTCAAGTGCACGTTGTACTACTTGTAATTAGCTTGCTTTGTAAAAAAAGTGACATTTTGAAAATGAAAATGTGTTACTATTTACAAAACTTTTGGATTTCTCCTGCGTCGGTTGTGGTTGAGTCATTCAAAAATTAATAAAACTAATCAGTTTCAGTTATGGTCTGATGAAGCCAACAGGATGACTGGCGAAACGTTACCAAGTTTGCTTCAACAAAAACCGACGCAGAAGGAATCCAGAAGTTTTGTAAATAGTATTACGGTAGCCTGTGGAAGTTTCTTTAAAAAAATAGGTTTTTTTATTTAGTTTTCGGTGTGTTTTCAAAAATTGCTATTACAAATATTAATAGCAAAATTGCCGCAATACTGTGCGTTTTGCAAAGAACTACGAAGTTTTAATTCTCAAGTGTGCGGGTGTACTTATTGTCTTGTTCTCGTTCTCGTAAATCTATTGTAGATTTACAAAAACAGCTCAAAGGCAACAGATCCGATTTACATTGTCTCTAAAAGTGTGTCAAGTTTGTTTAATTTACCTATTTGTAGTGTATTTGTCAAGATTTTAATATTGTTACAGTATAATTCCCACACGCCAATGATTGGTTGTCTCTCTCGGAAACTATTTTCCCCCACCTTACGTAGTTCATATTTAAACAACAATTCGCCCGCATTAATCTCTGAATAAACGCCTATATTGGAATCATAACAGCAATTTTATGAATGACTTATACAGTATCTTTTAGTTGGACTTCTGTGAGTAAACCATTCTAAATTAGGTTGGTTATAATTTGCCATCAAAAGCCGCAAGGATCTCTGATGACAGTTATCTGTCATTACTATTAACGTGTATGGCAAAGAAAATAATACTTTACAATTAAATAAAAACAACTAAACTCCGTATTCGAAATAAAAACTCATAAACTTCGAATTTTACTAAAACAAGTTTATTACTATACATATATATTACACATTAAAAGGAAAAACAGTCTCATTGGCGACGGTACCGCCCCTACCCGCACAACTTCCTCGTTTTCGTGTAGGGAATGATGCCGATGAGAAGTCCCGACAGCGTAATCCAAAACGCTGCCTGATAAAACGGCTGACTGTAAGAATTCGTCAAATCAAAAAGCATACCTACAAAAGGAAGCCGATATCAATAAATATGGGCAAACCCGACCTGGTAATTTACCAGCAAGGGGCGGTCCCGTTAGCTTTCCGATCCCCTGGCACAGCAAGCTCAAGCCGTACGCTTTGGCGAAGGTATCGAGCGGTACGAGTTTCGCCGTAATGGCCGGAGTTAGCGAATGACAACTCGCGTAAAACAAACCGAAAGCTGCCCCTGATATAATGAGCAGAACGTAGCTGGTAGTGAACATTTTCATGACGACTATGGAACCTCCGCTCATTATCAGGCACAGCGTGTACAGTTTGGTGGTTTCTATTTTATCGCCCAGCCAGCCCAGTATCACCTGGAACAGTAGTTGGAGTATTCAAACGTTCATCGCATGATGATGTACCTGTGAAGCCTTACCATTCCGAGAACGTTGGTGCCGCCTATGATCGAAATCACCAGCGATACCTGGTAGTCCTCGTACTTGCACTTTACCATGTGATCCGCGAGATAGAAGTGCGGTACGACGAACCAAGTGTTCATTATTATGGTGGCGATGCTCAGGAGGAAAAAGTGAAAGTCAGCAAAGAGGTCGAAACTGGTGAGGTCTTGGAGTACCCCCAGGAATTCGTCGTACCACTTCTGGAAGTAACGAATGCCTTGTCGTTCAGAATTGTAGTAAGGAAGGAGCAAGCTTACCTCTGATTTTGGGGGCGTGTCGATCTCATCCTTCGAAAAATCCGGACAGCTCGACGCGGTCAACTTGTACTTGTGGATATTGAGCATGGCGCCATTGCACCCCACAGATCCGGTCTTGGGCCTTATGTTTTTGAGGTAACTGTGGTGTAGGTGCTGGCTGGACTGTATTTTCGCTTTGGAGGAGATTCTTCTTATGAGCGGTGCGTCCACACCATTATGGTTGGCCGTTAGCTGTCTCTCAGGTTCTTGTATGGGCTTCAGTTTCATCGAGAGTCGCACTGGTACCCTAGTGGTCACCAAAGAAGCGTCGGCTGCCAAACGATCTGGACCTGTATCTGAATGACTGCTACTGGATAGCAAGTTGGGGTAGTTCACCAAAATGATCTGGTATAGGTGCTTGTCGTTGCTTAGGTTCTTTAACACCTCCAAGGGTATCTGAGAAGACAGTTGTATCAGTGGTGATTTACGGTTTTTGTAACACTCTCACCTCCGTTTGATCATGGAGATACGTGGGCAAGTTGACTACCGAATGGAACCTGCCCTTTTCATTGATGTTAACCACGGTCTTGACATTTTCCAAGACGTACTTGACGTCGCTGACTTTCTTGCCACGTCTTGATTCTGGGTCCTTGTTTGCTCGTTCGGCAGCCAATCTAAATGCGGAAATGATGGGAATGAACTAAACTGTAAATTTTCTCCCAACTTGAATTTCGATCCACAATATGTAAAACCATATAACTACGCGATGACTAAAAACAGTTAATGAGGTCATCATGTTACTGAACTTCTGTATCAGTATCAACATTTTTCCGTTATGGAACTTCATATCGTTTTGGAAAATATTTCTTATTGATATTAAAAAGGGGTTGTTATTTCGAGAATTTAGACTTTTCCTGTCCTTTCGGTTCTTCAAAGTCATTTTTTGGAAGCGCTTACAGAAAGAAATTATACCATGTTTTATTATATACTATGGTGTTAATTATAATTATAGTAAAATGTGCATTTTTTGACGCATTTAATTTTCAAAACTTTGTTCTCGTGCAGAATCCGGGATCAAAAAATCTGAACTATATCTAAATTATAATATCTAAACTATATTCTATAATTCTAATTTAAAACTATAACTCACAGGTAGGGCAACTACTCTACTACTAACTGTCACTCTCGGGCCCTTGATAATCATCATAGCTATTTTTGGATTTACTTGCCGCTCTGTCGAGCTTATGGCCTCCCCACTGACATTGAATGGACTGTATATTTTTCCAACTTTACACTTTAAGAAGCACAGAGCTCTACGAACATTTCTTCGACTTCAACGCATATTGTTCGTCCCCCTTTCTTGCACAGCTGATCCAAATCGGCAGCGCCATGCGCAATATAAAATGCAGTGTAACTGGTAAAAACTAAAGAAAATTAATGCCTAAGAATAAGGCGAAAATATTTTAAACAGGTACCATCACGCCTATGGAATGTTTACAGTTCAATAATGATTTATTTATAACTCTCTCGCATTAAGAAAGCTTTTGACACAGTACCACTTTGTTGTCTAAAAATACTTCGGTCCAGATCTTCGTTAACGCTTAAGCCTCAAGTAATTATTTGTCCTTAGTTTTAATCTGACTTCTTTTAGCGTATAAATATGATGTTTTTCTGGCTGAATTTAGAAGCATTACATAGTGTGTCCCACTTAAGAAGTTATAATGTTCAATACAGGATGTTTGAAATATTGTTTGCGCCCCGCCTAAGGCTGTACATCATTGTAAAATCTTCGATTACCTCATGTTTCTTATTACATCAATCTGAAGTCATGACTAACTGGGATTAATTTTTAATGTCAAATATCGGGCTATTAAGAATAAAATGTCAACGAATTCTTATTCAGGACTGCCATTAAACCTAACTATACTAATTTCCATGAAGTTCGAATACAGGGTACTCAAAATATGGCGAGCGCCTCGCTTAAGCATTACTTCTGTAGAATGTTTGTTTTTCTACTCCCGTCTGTAAAATACCCAATTACCCACCGATCTAGCGTGCGGGACGCGTCACTTTACCACGTCAGTTTCACACGAATCCGAGCCACTTCGGACATTTCCGGGATTTTACCGCACGGGTTTGGCAGCAATCGGATGTTTTCGGAGATATTTCCCACGCTTTAAATTTTGACGTTTGTCAATTCTGACAGTCATGAGAGTGAATGTATTCGTGTTTTGCTAAAATGTACCGAAAAACTAACGGTCGTAGAAAAAGTATAGTATGCAACATGTTCGGTAAACTTTTTAACTCACTCGTTTGTTAAAAACTCGCTCCGCTCGTGTCAAATAAACTCGTGAGTCAAATGCCGTTTACCGCACTTGTTGCATAATATACTATTATGGCTCAATTTTGATAATTCTTGTTTGTTGGATAGATTTCACTGAAATATTCTAACGATATTCTTCAAATTTGGATTAGATATGAACTAAACAGATTTTATAACGCTGTATTTTTTTAATTAAAATGGATTTTTAATTCTCATCTAATAATGAAAATAACAGAAAAATAAAAATTGATAGACGTCGGCATACTGCTTCCTTTGTAAAACCGAATTTGCCATGGAGAAGCGATTATTCAACAATCAAATTTACTCGCTAATTTATATTTTAATTTTGTTTACATTATATCTTTCGAGCATTAAGATTTATTAATGATGTTATTTTAAGATGATAAAAATTAATGTCCGTTAAAAAGTATTTTTTATTTTTATTTTTGAAATTTGTATAATTAAATTTTGTAACATCTTAAAATCACATACAAAATAATGTTATTAACAAGGTTTAAAATATTTTTTTTTTTAGGTAGTCCTGAACACGAATAGTAACATCCATCCAGCAAAAAAGAATTATCAAAATTGAACCATAACATTCTACAGCAGTAAGGCTTAAGCGAACTTCATGGAAATTAGAAATTAGCGTAGTTAGATTTAATGTAGCCCTGAATAAGAAAGGGTTGACACTTCTCGAAATTTGACATAAACAATTAGTCTCAATTGGTCATGATCTTATGTTGACGAAAAAAGAAACATAAGGTTTTATTGGTTCTTTGAGAGATTTATTCAATAAAAAAAAATCTAAACCAAGACGTACATAGTGTGCAGTTCTTAAGTGGGACGCACTGTATATTATAAAATATTTACGCTCACGTGCCATTAAAAAATACCATTTTTCGGAATGTAACCCTGCTGGGAAGACAAGAGGGATTACAAAGTAATCATATGCAATAATCCAATAATGCAAATGGACACACTTGGGCTCCGAGAGCATTCATCTACTTTACCTCTCCTTCTCCTGTTTTATAACCCAATCCGGATCCCTCATGAGTAACCCGCACACTATCATATTGGCGAACAATCCTGCCAATATAAGTACGGTACCCCTCCACCCGTACTGTCCCGAGAGTATGGTAATTAGCGGCGAGTAAATGACGGTACCAAAGCCGCAACCGCTAGCGGCCAACCCCAAAGCTAACGTCCTCTTCTTGTCGAACCAGAACGCGATCGACACTACAGCCGTAACGTAGCACAAAGCCAATCCTATACCGCCTATGAAACCGAAGGTAACGTACATCACGACGATGTTTTTCGCGAAAGTGCTTAAGATGAACCCCACGGTAGAAATCACTGCCCCCACCACTGTCATCAGTTTACACCCGTACCTATCCACCAAGGCACTACCTATCGGTCCCGCCACTAGCGGTACCGCTACGTAAAGGCTTCCGATCCAAGCGGTCGCTGAATTAGACGCACCGAACTCATTCAAAAAGTCTATATAGAGAAGTCCGAAGGTGCACGTGATGCCGTCCGAAACGCAGTTGATGAAAGTGCAGGCTAGTACCACTAGCCAACCCCAACCGCCGTCGGGGATTTTGGTGTCGTTTTCTTCGACGTAGAGGCTTATCCTGGAAGCGAGGATAGACTCGCGCCCTTGGAAGGTCCGCGGGTGGCCGTTTTCCGAGTGGCCGTGCGAGTGCGGGTTCCCCTTGGGCAGTACCATTGCGACTGTTGTTTTTTTTTGCTCACCGTGGTCTGCACAACAACATACCGATAAGAGTCGAGCCCGATGTGCTGGCGAAACGGCGACTAAATGGGATTCGATCGTATGTGGCGGCAGCAAAACGTTCGTTACTGATAACGATACATATTTACCAGTAATCCCAAAGTAATAATGTTATTCACGACGATTTTTTATTTAATTCCTGGAATTAACCCGGCGGAGATAGAAGAACGCAGGCGAGCATCCATCCGCCACGTATTTGCTATCGTTCTAATCGATAGATAGAAATAATTGGACTCTGAAGACGGACTATTAAATTTGGAACACTCTCGTAGATGAACGATATGTTTCATAAAGAATAAGTCATAAAAATGCTAATCTTGTGACACTGTCTTCCAGGATCGTTTTAAAAATCTGATAATTTGTATTGACATTATTATTTTCGAATTTACTATACTCAGTAATTAGGGATTTGTTACTTTCTATTTATCGTTCGGTTTAAATTTAGCTGAAATTTGGAATACCCTCGTAGCTTTATTAAATATTTAATGAAGAATGAGTAATAACAATAATAAACATCTGCGTTCCATTTTACAGACTTACGTGTCAGTTGGAAACAATCTTCGGTATTGTACCGGGTGATCATTTTACTTTTTATTTAACGTTTCGGAAAAAACGTCAAATACAAAAGTTGTTAAAAAAATAGTAAGCTATTTGCAAAATATATTTTTATAAATACACCCCATATATTATACGCTTAATAAAATTCCATAAAAATTCTATACATTTTTGGTATAATATAAACATAACATAACATAAAAACAACATTCAAAAATCAAATATTCTAGAATTTTCTAATATAATATATCTTAGGTGGCTGTGAAGTAGGTCGTCACTAAAAAACGAAATGTTTGTTTGTAGCTGACATTGAGACTTACAGATTTAGCAAAACTGCTATTTTTATCATATATAGAGAAAAACAATGAATTTTGGAAACGTATATTAAACCAAAATTAACCCACGTTCCAGACAAAAACTCTCATCGAATCTATGAAAAATTTCAACAAACATCCAGCCTCCATTTCGTATAATATATCCTAATACATAATTTTATACCAATACGAAACATTAAAAAGTGTTCTAGAACTTATATTTTAGGTATAATATAGTAATAATATAATATATAGGCAATTAGTGTTATAAATGGAATTGTTCAACTGGTCTCCCAGTTTCCATCTGATGTATGTTCTCTGTAGTCTTTCAAAAGCGGCAGTTTGTGAATATTCTTCATTTAAAATTTGAACTCCTGTTCTAATTAGGTTTTTTAGATGCTCCCTGTGTTTTCGATGGTATTTGCGTTTACACGGTTTTTTAGAGTTCTCCATAAAATGCATTCATCGGTGTCAGGTCAAGACAAGTAGCGATTTTATTGTTCCATTCCAATCCATTCATTAAACCTTTGATTTAACACACAATGAGGGGTCTTGTTGCAAGACAAGGTTTCTATTGTTCCAATGGGAGCTCGTCCATATCGTTTTCTAATTCGTTCTGAAGAAAATTTAAATAAAGAATTAGAATAAAGTCGAAGAATTGAGAACCTATTATCCTGTTGTTTAAAATAACACACCACACATTTACAGTTTGACATCCTTGAAACTGAAATTCTCTGTCTGCTGTTTTTTTCGATTTATCATATCACTGGTTGAAAACGATGACTCTTCGGTCCAAAAACATTTTTTAAATAAGCATCATTTTCGTTAATTTTTCCCAACATTATATCGCAAAACTCAACCCTTTTTTCTCGATGTCTGGGCGTTAATTTTGCGTTTTCTTATCATGGGATTTTCTTCAACATTTAGAAAAATCCGTAAATCACTATTTTCATTTCTTTCCAATGTTCTATCCTTTCTTTCTAGACTGGATGTTGAAATTTTTCATAGATTCGATGAAAGTTTTTTTTTGCCTGGAACATGCATTCGAGGGTTAATTACACGTAGTTTCCTATTAGCCAATTTAACAAACGTTTCCAAAATTGATTGTTTTTCTCTTTCAGAATAAGGCATTTTCTAATAAAAATAACTTTAGTTTTATTGAATCTATAACCGGTAACCGTCACTGTCAGTTATAAACAAACATTTTGTTTTTGTTTTTTTGGTGACGGCTTACTTCACAGCCACCTAAAATATAAATTATAAACGCTACAATATTTTATTCTTCAGTATTGCTTTTATGTTAAAAGCGCATATATCTCAAAGCACATATTGTACAACAATAATATACCTTTTTTTTCCAATACGTTAAATTGGTCTGGCAGCGCTTTTGCTAGTTAACGTATTTTTTTTGAATAGTATGACAATTAATAAGTTATCAATTTTAAATTGGATAGATTTTTGTTTTTTACGTACAAACAAAAGTTTAACATTATTTATAGAGGGCACCACTTATAACGCGTTGTGTCCAAAACTTCTCCACGGCTTTGTAATTTTTTGATATTCAAATTTGATTTCAATAAAAAAAGAAGTGTCTTCTTTGAAAGCGTTAATATTGCTTTTTGCGACGTTTTACATTATTTTTAACTATTTTTTTTTGTTCACAAATGTATGTCATCAACAGTTTTTGCACCAAAAATATACAGGGCCTTTAAAAATGACCAGGCAATATTTAAGAGGGTGATTCCTCGGATCGTTTTATGAAAAAAGTTTCCACTGATGTAGGTCCGGAAATGCATTGTTTCCAAGATACAGTGAGTTAATGTTCTTTAAATTAATACAAATTTTTTTGTCACGGATTTATTTGAAACTTGGCAACGTTGTTTCTAGTGATAATTGGACGGGAATTTTTACCAGGACACGCTCTTTCTGGATTTCCGTTGTCAAAAAGAAATGCAATGCGGTTGATCCACGATTATGCAATATCGCATTTTAGTCAGCTTAGTCGAGCCACTTCAGACATTTCTGGGATTTTACCGCACGGATTTGGGAGCAATCGGATCTTTTCGGAGATATGTCCCACGCTATGAATTTTGACGTTTGTCAATTCTGATGGTCATGTCAGTGCATGTATTCTTTTTGTTTTGCAAAAATGTACCCAAAAACGAACGGTCGTAGAAAAAAAGAATAGTACGCAACACGTTCGGTAAACTTTTTAACTCACTGGTTTATTAAAAACTCGCTCCTCTGCGCTTCGCTCGTGTCAAATAAACTCGTGAGTTAAATGCCGTTTACCGCACTTGTTGCATAATATACTGGTGTGATACATGGACATGCAATAAGAGTTTTTATTTTTTATCTCTTAAACGAAGAACAGAGAAATTAAATTCATTTCAGTGGCATACATTTTATAAAGTTACCCGGACCCCCCTGTTTAATCTTTATTTAGTTAGGGCCAAGTCAGCCCCTTACCACTAGATAAAACGCTTCCCAATTTCAAACAAATCCGTGATTTGAGGAATCAGCCTTTTAAATCTTGCCGCGTCTTTTTTAAACACCCTGTATATTGCAATATCGAACAGTACATTGTTTTTTATGGAAAATATAACCGTCTGGCACTGTTGATAGGTTGTAAGTAACGCCAATATAAAAAACAAAATTATCAAATGTGTAATATAAGGTAATATAAGGTATACCGACGTTTTCGTACGGACTATACCAGGCAGTTCGCCGACATTTTTATCTCATTCTTGATTGGCAGCGGCCATAAACTACTGATACATAAGATACAATTAGTAGTGAAAACCGAGGCAAAAGTTAATCTAAAATTTTGAGGCGGTAGCAAAGGTCGATAAAATTCCTTTGTATCTCGCCGTGAAATTGCATCACAACCAAAACATATTAAATCGGTTGATCAACAGGTCGGTCCAAAATATAAATTCATGAATTCTGTCGAAACGCGCGCATTCTTTTTGTTTCGTGGTAATACTAACGTCTATTGGGAAATACTTAATCAACGACATACCAACTTGTCGTTATTAGTCGGTAAACGCGATAAAAACCCATTTAATTTGTTGAAAATAATAATTATTTTTTTCACTAACCAGTTTTATTTAATATTTAATCACGGAAATTACTAAAAAAACTTGTTACACTCATTTGAAATTACAAAGTATAAAAAGGTAAATATCTCAAAAATAGTGAAACGTTATGTATAAAATTTTTAGGGGAACTGAATCAATGAATCACCAACTTGACATCCATTTCTCGTATAACCGAAAGTGACACCTTAAAAATATTTTAACCAGATCAAAAATAATAAGGTATCTTTAAATGGGCATGTTAAATCTCGCTCACGTTCAACTAATAACTGGAAATATCACAATCGACAAAGGCAGAAAGAGTGTGACTGGAAAATGTGTCGAGAAAGTCATAAAATTCATTCCACACATGGATGTTATGTCTAGTTTGTCCGTTGTTTATTTTCATTATCTGTTTTTTTTTAAACAACCCGAATATTATGAGCAAAAAAAGATTATTCATTTTGTTTATCTTTATTTAAAAATTTATATTAAGTGTTTTTTCTCGTTTCCTTAATTCCTGTTATTGTCAATTTTTTTCTCTTTTTAAGACAATTATTTAATATAAAACTATTTAAAATTGCTATTTTTTTCTAATTAATTTATTTATAACCGAGTCCAAAACAGTGTTAAAAACTTGTACCGGAGCCTTAAATTACAATAAAAATTTAACAATTATATTGTATTGTATAGTATTTTATGTAAGTCTTTTTAAATAGAAAGGGTAAATAGTCACTGCGAATATACTTGTAATTTCTGACAAAATTGTTTTATTGCTTTTGCTTTACCAATCACTTTTGGTATACAGCTATATAATGGCGATCTTCGTACCTGAAGACTTTTTGAGAAATTAGTTCTGAAGTCACTTGCACTACTTTTATTATGAACATGTATTTGTTTCACTTGCTTTATATCTAAGTTACTTTTTAACAGTTAATTTTTTATGGAATATATATATTTTACTTGTTCAAAAGTCACTATTTTTTCATATCCCATTGTTGTAAATATGGTTTTTACTGCCTTCTTTTGAGTTCTGTGTAATTTATTTTTTGCAGATAGTTGGGAAGACTTCCCCAGCATGGAACTAATCTTATCTGAGGCGCATTGATAATAATAATAATAATAATCAACTTTATTTCACATTGTGTCATAAATACATTACCTAAAAATAATGTTCCAAACACAAAGGAAAGAGCACTAGATATTGTTACCAATTTCAATCACATCGTATTAATTAAACAATTATTTAAATATTACAGAAAAAATCTTCTATGGAGTAAGGTTCTATCTCTATCAATAACTTTTGTATTGTGTATTTAAAGATTTTTAGATTTGCAATTTTTTTTTACCTCATTTGGTAATTTATTATACAATCTCAGGCGCATGTAATAAGCACTCCTTTCAGTTAAGGTTAAACGGTGAATAGGCTAATTTACATTTAGGGTTCTGGTATTATATCTATGAAATATCTGTGGTTCGAAGTCCTTTCGATTTTTAAAAAAAAATATCAATGCTTCATAAATATATAAAGCGTATACAGCAAAAATACCTTCAGCCTTCAACACCCCTCTACAGCTCTCTCTAAATTGCATTTTTTAAGACAGTGCGAAGAGTCTTCTTTTGAATCACGAAAATTTTCTGCAGTTGACCACTACCCCCCCAAAACATAATTCCATACCTCATGCGCGACTGAAAGTTTGCAAAATACATAATTTTTAAAGTTTCCTTATTCATATAATTTGCAACGACTCTAATTCCATAACAAATTGAATTTAATTTGTTTAGCAGATAATCAATATGTTCAGACCAACCAAGAAATTCGTCAATTTGTAAACCTAAGAATTTAGTGCTATTTACAATACTAATATTTTCTATACCTCTCCCTATTCCTAATTTTTTTAGTTCTAAACATAATTAAATTCTTTTTCTCATTGTTTAATATCAATTTATTTCCTAGAAACCAGACATAAGCCCTTGTAAACTATTATAAATTAAAAATGTAGATTGTTTGTTTAAACTGTCTATACGCCGTTTTATTGCACCACAATTACGACCTCGAGCCAATAAATTATCAACATATATTCCTACTTACCAAGATTTCCGGGCTATTAACCAGTTAAACAAAAAAATAACCAGAAGTAACTAAAAATTTTCTTGTAACTACGCCAATGGAAACGAAGAAAAACTATGTCGGCCGTTTAAACAAATCGAATCTAATCAGGAATGAAAGGTGTTTAATCACGTGGCCGCCGGTCGGAAAACGCGAATATTCAACCGTTTTCGCGAGTTGCTTGGCGTTCACATTTTTCCCGGAGCGGTGTCGACGGCGTTGTGGCCGCTTTCCAGTTTCGGCGGCTTCGGAACGGCCGTTTTTTTTTTGTTGACAAAACAAACCGCGTGGTAAAAATTAGCGACTGCCGTTGAAAAATTTCGTCAAGCGAAACTCAAACACTGACTGCGTAATTTCGGAAATCGTCTCTTAATTAGATGTTAATGAGCTCCTAATCGCCATTTATTTCGTGGTGCGAACATTTTTTGAGTGGCACAGGACGTCGAGACACTTATTATGTACGTATGATTAAGCAAACCGATCCATAAGAATCCAAAATAAAACTATTCAAACCGTTTTTTTTCCCTTAATTATTAATTAATAAATTACAACAAAAAAAGTGGCCATTGCCTGGTCGTTAATAATATTTACGAGCCGGCATGTATGTCACATTCTAAACGTCATTTTGCTACGATTCCTTAAAATTTGAGCCCAACCGATTTGAGCATTTAATCCCGTATTATGTTATGCAATGCTATTGTATTCTGTAACCTAGAGGTATCTGCAGCAAATGCCTTTATGCGTTTCAAGGAATTGGTCCATTTGCATTTAGAATTTGGGACATGAATACTCAGTACACCCTTTTCGAAGACTTGTCGAACAATCTCCTGTTGTCCGTGTACGGTATCGCCATCACCAAAAGCCCCGAAAGTATCACCCAGATAGCAGCCTGGTAGAAGGACTGCTCGTACGACTTGGTCAAATCGTAGAGTAACCCTAGAACGTGTAAAGCTTGGCTTAAGGAAAAAGGGCTGATTCTATTGCGGTACCTGCGATTGGAGGCCCTGCCAAATTCCCAATCCCTTGGCACAGCAGGAACAGACCGTAAGCCATCGTGAATTTATCCAGAGGTACCAACTCCGCGAGTATGGTGGGCGGTAAGGCGTAGCAGCTGGCGAAAAACAAACCGAAGAGACCGCAGAAGATTATCAACACGACGTAGTTGTCGGTAAAGTACATCAATCCCCAGCAGGTGAAGCCGCAACATATCAGACAACCGGCGAACATTTTCGTACAGTTCAACCGGTCACCTATCCAACCCAGTAGTACCTGGAAGAAGCAGAGTTAGCGGACTTATTTTTGGTACCCGATATCCGTACCATGCCGATGATGTTGGTGAACCCGATGGCCGACAGAGCAAAGGACGCCTGGTTATCGCTGTATCCGAACGTAGTCATATGAACCGGCAAGTAAAAGAACGGCACCACGAACCATACACACATGATTACCGTCGACAAACTAAGTATGAAAAAGTGCAGATCCAAAAACAGAGAAAAGTGTGTTATGTCTTTCAGGACGTCGACGTATTCGTCGTACCATTCTTCGTCCTCGTCAGAGGACACCGTTTGGACAGAGTTCCGTAGAAAAGCGGGACAACTCGAAGCGGTTGGCTTGTACTTGTGGATATTCAACATTGCGCTCCTATATCCCATCGCTTCCTTCTTGAACTTGATGTATCTGAGGTAATGGTGCGGGTGCGTTTTGGGCTTCGTTGATTCATCTCTACTCAACAACGGCGCTTCTTTGTCCGAATCGGAATCCTCTTCGATTTCCTTCACTTTCATGCAAAACCTGACAGGAGCTCTGGGGGGAGTTTTGGCAGGGTTCACGCTGAATTTGTCTAAGCTCGAATCGGACGTACTCTTATACGTTCTTATGTTGGGGTAGTTGTCGAGGATGATGTTGTAGGCTTCCGCGTTTTCGCTCAGATTCTTTAGCACTTCCAGGGGCACCTGGAAACGTTTAAAATAGAAAGCGTGTTTGCAATAACAAGACTGTTCCATTATTCGCTGACCTCTTGGTTTTCTTGAAGGTAGGTCGGTAATACGATATCAGAGAAGCACCTGTTGATATTCTTTGGTGCTTTGGTCGAGTGGTCGCTTCTTTTGGAAAACCCGATAGCTACGTCTTCCAATAAGTAGTTTCGGTTTGCCCTTCTTTTCGTCGATGAGTCCGTGTTCTTTGTCGTTTGCTTGGAGGCTCTGAAAGTAGTAAATACAGTGTGTCCAAGATAAGGATGCACAGCATGGGGATCTCGGAAACTATAAGAGATACAGTGTCGGTTAAATTAGACAAAAGTTGCGCATTTTGATACCGAACAAGATCCCGTTTTACAAATTTGAAAATTCCAAGCCGTTCCGGAAATATCCGAGAAAAACCGAAATATTGCGATTTCGTTTTTATTATTTTTTAAAGCTATTTGAAAAGATATGAAAAAACGGAAAACACTTTTCCATTGGCACTTTTTAATCTCTCCAAATTGACGTTAACAAATTTTCATTCCAGCGTTTCGATTCCATGGAACCACCATCAACTTTGATTTTTCTTATGGGACGGAAAAAAAGTACACACAGTATTAGGTTGTGCTTTTCATTGCGAATTCAACGATGTACGATACAATACGGTTACTTATGTTTTTATCCAGAAAAATGGCTTTTTAATACATTTCTAGTATTTTATTGTAGAAGGCCATGAGATCCGAACGATGAAAGGCAAAAGAAAATGGTTGACAAGTTCGAGTTAATGTGTTTATTTATTTACTAACTCTAACTGTTCATTTAACATAACAACTAAATCCAACAAGTTAATGAAAAACAAATTCTATAACAAATGTTCGAATAAATGACCTCCATTTTCTAGGCATAAGTACGCCCGTCTCACGGTAGACTCCAAAACACGACTTAACATTTCAGGAGTAATTTTATTAAACGCTGCTCGTACTGATTGACGTAATTGTTCCTCGTTGTCAAAACATTCTTTGAATACCTCATTTTTTATGTAGCCCCATAAGAAAAAGTCCAAGGGAGTTAAGTCCGGGGACCTTGGAGGCCAAGGAGTTTCACTGTAAGTCCCAATGTATTTTCCATCAAACCGTTCAGTTAAATATTGGCGAACTTCTCTGGAGTTATGGGCTGGGGCACCATCTTGTTGGAACCAGCAGCCTTGCACAGCGCCTAGCGGTAAATCATCTAAGGCATCTTCTAAATCGTGCCTCAAGATGTCAAGGTACCGCTCGGAAGTTAAGGAATTATTATAGAAAATAGGGCCTATAATCTTGCTACCAAAAATCCCACACCAAATATTAAACCCAAAGCGAACTTGATGTCTGGATAGTCTATTAACACGTGGATTTTGTTGCGACCAATAGTGTGTATTGCGCCTGTTATAAATACCGTTATTGGTCACCATACTTTCATCAGACCAAATCACTTTATATGGAAAATTAAAACTCTCATCACACATCCTGGTATACCACTCACAAAAATGTCTACGTCGTTCGTCGTCACCCGGTTTTAATCCTTGACATATTCTGAATTTGTAAGGCTTAAATTCATTTTTCCTTAAAATAAACTGAGCTGTAGATTTAGCTACCCCATTCTGGTCTTCAATTTCTCTGGTAGAAGTTTGTGGATTTTCGATAACAGATTGTAGAACAATGTATTGGTTTTCTTCATTGGAAGGTTTTTGTCGGGATAATGCAGGCTTCTTAAATGATCCATATTCTTTCAGATTAAATAACAAACGCCGAAAAATACTCTTGTCAGGTTGTCTCCGCTCTGGGTATTTGTTAGAATACATACGCTCGGCTTCCACACAATTTCTTTGGCATCAGATGTAGCAAGACAGCATATCACATTTTTCTTCGTTTGTAAAATTACCTCCCTCCATTGTAGAACAAAATAAATTAGAAAAAGACAACAACAATAAAAATACAAAAACAATAACTAAAGGAATAAACTTATGATCGACTGATAACAAAGACAAATAACATTAATGTGTCATTGAAATTGACTGGATGTCATTTTGTCATGGCCTACTCCATTTAAATGCTGAAATGTATTAAAAATCCATTTTTCTGGATAAAAACATAAGTAACCATATTGTATCGTACATCGTTGAATTCGCAATGAAAAGCACAACCTAATACTGTGTGTACTTTTTTTCCGTCCCATAAGAAAAATCAAAGTTGATGGTGGTTCCATGGAATCGAAACGCTGTAATGAAAATTTGTTAACGTCAATTTGGAGAGATTAAAAAGTGCCAATGGAAAAGTGTTTTCCGTTTTTTCATATCTTTTCAAATAGCTTTAAAAAATAATAAAAACGAAATCGCAATATTTCGGTTTTTCTCGGATATTTCCGGAACGGCTTGGAATTTTCAAATTTGTAAAACGGGATCTTGTTCGGTATCAAAATGCGCAACTTTTGTCTAATTTAACCGACACTGTATCTCTTATAGTTTCCGAGATCCCCATGCTGTGCACCCTTATCTTGGACACACTGTATATATAGGGCTAAACGTTTCTGATGCCGGATGGGTGATGCTCTTTCATCCCTGCAACAAATTAGCGAGGGGAGGTAATCAGATAAGATCTCGCTGCGATGATATCGATGACGTGGTTCGATAATAATTTAGATACACCCTATTGTCTCATTATAGTAATCCGCAATTTTTAGCCTTCGTATGCTAATAAGTCGTTAATTGATTGTCGATATTTTCAATCAGTTGTGTCGTAACCGGCGATTTCCAGCTATAATGAGAAAAATCCACATCAATTTTTTCTACGCGAAAATTACAAAATTAAACTGCACTGCTACGTTTTAGCTATTTTAAACGGGCTAAAGGATTCCATACACAACGTGCGAGTGCTAAAATAGAACGGGACGTCCTTGACGAGTTCGGTAATCACCCACACCGTTTTCCTTACCGATCTTCTTCGAGAACCCAATCGGGGTCCCTCATCAGCAACCCGCTGACGCACATGTTGGCCGACAACCCCGCCAATATCAAAATCGTACCCCTCCATCCGTATTCCCCCACCAGAAACGTCACCAAGGGGGAGTATATGACCGTACCGAAACCAGTACCGCTAGCCGCAATGCCCAGCGCGGTGGTCCTCTTCTTCTCGAACCAAAACGCCACCGACACAACCGCGGTGACGTAACACAAGCAAAACCCGAACCCGCTCACGAATCCGAACGTCACATACATTAAGAATATCGATTTCACGTAGGAGCTAAGCACCAGGCCCGCGGTACTGATGACGACACCCAAGACCGTCATGTACTTGCATCCGTATTTGTCCACCAAAACGCTACCCAATGGTCCGGCCAATAGGGGTACGGAGAGGAAGAGGCTTCCTATGAGTGAGGTGGCCGAGTTGGACGTTTCGAACTCGTGAAGGAATTCAATGTTAAGCAGACCAAACGTGGATCCGACGCCGTCAGAGACCAGGTTGATGAAGAAGGACGCGAACACTACCAGCCAACCCCATCCTCCGTCTGGAATTTGATGCTGGTTATGTCGTTTGTGTTCGCTCGGCTTCGTGGTTCCGTTTTCGATAGGCATCGTACGCCATGTGCCGCAGAGGGATCGACAACGTTTCGAATCTAATTTTGGGGTTTATTGCGATAAGATACGACGATAAGACAACCGATCGCTGATCCTCCTTATTCGATTAATTCTATTATAAGCCCGGGTATGCGACTAGCGATGTCGATGATGTCGTGGTAATGAGTGGTCGCGGGAAAAAAACTTGTTTTACGGCATAATGGATGTCGACAGAATCTCGGTATTAGCAATTAGCTATTTTTCATTAATTATGTTAATTGAACGTAGTCGCAACTAAATCGTTTTCTTTAAACATCAGTAATGTACAGGAGGAAATTTTCATCGGCGGTGGATAGTTTAAATTCGGTACTGCCTTTGGTGTAAGTTTTAGACGTTTTATCCTGAAAGGATGGGGTTCACCAAGGATTAGCTACACTTTATAAAGTAATTTCTTTTAATTTGTTGATGATTGGGCCGATTCTTTGTGGACCAATTTTATGCTCCGTTCTTTTGAAATGGGAAAGAATGAGGTTTTTCGAGATCAGCAGTATTACAGACACTGCAACGGTATCCCAGTACTTAAGGTTTGCTGCACTTTTGATATTAGTAAAGTATTCCAGTGAAGTAACGGAAAAAATATACGGGCTAGCAATGTCCAGGAGAAAATTACAAAATGATACCCAAAAAAAAATGTCAGTGATTTTGCTAGCTAACAACTGACAGATGAACAACCAGATTGATTTCCTGTCCTCCTGCTTGCAGATAAGGAATGTTTCTCTTAAATAAAACTAGTCTAATGTTGATAACTGGATTATATTGACTAAATATACAAACAAATATTGGAATTGTGCATCTATTGCGTAAAGAGCGAGGTAAACATCCCTCAAGTATAACTTCAAAGATACTGGTCCGGTATAACAAAAATCTAGTTTAAAAATTACGTCAGATAAGTCACTATCATGTAAGCGACAAGAGTTAACATTATTACCAAAGCGATCGTCAAAAATATTAAAAATATCACGTTGTTCTCAGACTCTTCTAGTTCCTTTTCTACTGCTCCCTTCCCCAATATCTTCTTGTTCCTCGTATACGGTATGTAGGCTATAAAAATGCCAGAGAGTACTATCCAAATGGCCGCCTGATAGAACGACTGTTCCCAGCTGCTGGTCAAATCGTACAAAAGACCTACAACGGTCAAAGTGTAGCTGAGGTTATACTTAACCAGGTTAACACCTACCCGCAAAAGGAGGTCCCACCAAGGTGCCGATTCCCATGCATAGTAATTGGAGCCCGTAGGCGATGGTAAACCGTTCCAACGGGAGCAGTTCTACCAAAATACCGGGCGTGAAGGAAAACGAGCTCGATAAAAAGAGACCGAACATGGCCGCGGATACCTGAAGCATTATGTAATTGTCGATGAAAAATATGATGCCTGCGCAAGAGATTCCGCACAGGACCAAACAGACAGCGTACGTTTTCGTGATGTTCATCCAATCTTGGTCACCTGCCCATCCCAAAAGTATCTAAAAGTACATTTTTAATAGTTACATTTTACTAGAAAATACTCAAGCCTAAGGACTTAGTAAAAATTACTGTAGATATTTTTTTTTAATTGAAGGAAATGTGAAGGGTTGGATCAATGTGATTTTAATCATCTTGAAGCAGCAAAATGCGGGATTATGGAAAGTCAATACAGTATTCTTCATTTCACTGAGCTCTTTTTTGTGCCAGCTTTTATCATCTTCTTTTTGTCTATTTCTCCTTCACTATTGACCATATCCATTTTGCTTTTGACTTTATTTTTGGGACTTGAAACATTAGCGATCTTGTAGGTGGTATTAGAAATTCCAAATATATTTCTGATATCGCCACTCCTCACTCAGTATGCGAGTTTCACCTAAAACGTGATACTGCTGCTTCTAGAGATTGTTAACCACAAGAGTTCTGTTTCTTTTATCCAACCCTTTCAAACTATTAATGACTTAACCATTCCAATACGTACCATGCCGATGGTGTTGGTAGCGCCGATATTTGAAATGGTGAGTGATATTTGCTTGTTGGTGTATTGGTATTTCGGCATGAGTTCGGCGAGGTAAAAATACGGCACTATAAACCAAACAAAAAGCGTTATCGTAGACAAGGACAGCAAGAAAAAGTGGAGCTCTAAGAATAAAGAATAGCCGAACATGCCCTTCACCGAACCAATTATTTCCGTGTACCATTTCTAAAAGCAGGGTTGTGGGTGTTACACAAGGTTCATATGGTCCGGGTAATATCTAATAAGCCAGTCAATAGAGAAGATAATGTTTCTTGACGAACGATCTACCAGAATACGTCAATTGTGGCCCAAACCTATATTCTTCAGCATATACCATATGTGTAATGATGGCGGACAAGTGTGTAAAAAATGTGCAATATACAGGGTGACGCAATCATCTAACAACGGAACGTACGGTGTAATAAGGTAGCTGACAGTGTAAATCATACCTCTCATTTTTTTATCAATATTTTTTTATCAACTGTTGCATAAATTCGAAAGACAAATTTTCAATATTCTCAAGTATACAGGGTGTTCATTATGTAAATATTTCTTATTATATGTTCGGAGCTCAATAAATAGAGAGTAGTTAACTTAAAAAAAAAAAAAATAATATTAGTATGAATGAAAATCACTTTTTTGGAAATATTCATCTTTATGACGACGACCTGTATATTGAGGGATACTCTGACGATATTCCTAATCATAGTGCCAAGTACATGCTAAGTGTGGTCAAAAACTAGTGCTCCGGTATATACAGGTTGTATAGGCCCATATAACGTTAAAAAGGTCGAATTTTTCCATTGTCAGAATTTACAACTAAACACATGCTGGATATATTACTTTGCTACTTGGGTGATCTAATTATTATGCTATCACAATAACAAACAAATGGTAGTGTTGGTGTCACACAAAATTCTCTTTTGATCGGCTTATAAGTTAAAAAAAAATCTTTGCAACTGCTTATCAACCCCACGACAGGTGTTAAAGCGCATCAAACCACGTCCGAACAATGTAAAACTTTTGTTGCAAGTGTAATTTTCAATTGCGTGCTTTACCGGTGCGACACATGTCAAATTAACCCCGAGAGTTTTCATGTAACACGCGACGAACATGGTTCAATCACATTTTTCGAAACCCGCGTGCAGTTGAAAGATCGCCCAGGCGCAGCCTGTAGATACTCACCTCGTCGTCCTTCTCGGGAAGCGTCATCATCGACACCCTGTAGATGTTAGGACAACTGGACGCCTTGAACCTGTACTTGTTTATGTTAAACATGGCCCCGCCCCTATGTATCAACGACTGCCTGTGCAGCTTCAGGTTTTTTAGATAATGAGGCCTTTGTGCCTGTTTCAACCACGGAAACGAAACGTTGGGCCTTACGGGCGGGGGGTTCTTGCCGTTCAGAAGGGGTTCGTGAGCAGCCGTATCTTGTTCAGGTAGAGAATGCTACAAAGCAACACTTGAGTCATCCCTTAAGAACACCCTTTGATATTTACCTGCTGCAGGGGAGGAGATTTAGGCTTTTCGGAGGTCAGTTTGGGTCTTTCCTGTTTCTTCAACTTCAAGGACACGGTGACCGGTATTCTGTCCATGGGTGCGTCGGGCATTTTGTTAAGCTCGTGACCAGCCGAAGAGCTTCGACACAAAATCAAACTCGGGTAGTTCTCCAGAATAACGTTGTACAGTTTTTTGTTCAAGCTAAGTTGTTCCAAAACTTCCAAAGGAACCTGCAACGTATCAGCAGGTGATTAACGTAGATGGCAGTTGGTCTTGCGTTACCTTCTCGTTTTCTTTGACGAAAGTGGGGAGGCTGAGTACCGAATGGACGTATCTCTTCAGTTTGTCTTTGTCTTCGTTGTCCATGGAAGTTTCCAGCTTCTGGAGGAGGAACTCGACGTCCTTGCCGCTCTTCAGGAGGGACTTTAGCTCGTTTATGTCGATGAAATTTGCTGGATTCGCAGATGATACCGACACCAAGCTGGTCTTGCTCGATTTGTCAGACTTCATCGATTTCGACTTGCTGAAATGACGAGGTCGACGAAATTCCCCAACCATGTCGGAGACTTACCAATTTTGTTCCGTGATCCAGTCAGGGTCTCTCATCAGAGCACCCGCCACGCACATGTTTAAAAAGCACCCTCCGAGGATTAACGAGGTACCCCTCCATCCGTATTCGGATATCAAAAATGACGTTAACGGGGAGAAGATGAATGTTCCAAGTCCTGTACCGGAGGCGCCCAGCCCTACCGCCAGAGTTCTCTTTTTGTCGAACCAGAAAGCTATGGATACAACGGCGGTGACGTAGATCAAACCCAACCCCAGCCCCGCTAATACTCCAAACGTTAAATACATAACCCCTATGGATTCCGCTTTGGAGCTGATACAAAACCCAACGGCCGAAATAATACCGCCCACTATGGTCATGGGTCTGCATCCGTATCTATCCACCAAAACGCTCATTATCGGCCCGGTCAGCAGAGGCACGGCTATAAAGAGACTACCGATCCAGGAAGTGACGGAGTTGGAGGCTTCGAACTCCTCCAAGAATTTGACGTGGAGATGGCCGATTGAAAAACTAATACCGTCGGCAATCATCGAGATTAATAAGGAGGCGAACACCACAACCCAACCCCAACCGCCGTCGGGGATTTTCGGTTTGTCCTCGTCAGTCTCGGAGCTCGACGAGGAAGCTGAAGATATCGAATCCGTTTGGAACTTAACCTCCGACTTATCTATAGGCACCACGAAGTCCAAGTCGAGGGATTTCGCGGGGGTGGATTCTAGAGAGGGCACGACCGTCGACAGCGACGCCAAAGGGGCGAGGGTGCGGTCCATGTGGGAAACTCAAAAAGGAAAAAAGGGCCAAAAAGGGTGTCGAAGGGCGCGCTTCAATTAATCGGGATGTAGGTCTTGTAAATTTTCATCCAGCGCTTGGACCAGCCTTGGAGGCTTTGCCTCGGGTCTCTGCCGATTCGGACGTGCGGTGCGGGAGGGTCGAGCGTTTCGTCCCCGTGACCTATCATCAAGGACGGTTTTGGTTAATCAGACGGTTGGTGGAAACTACGTTCGCGTTGCTGCAGAGGGTTATTTAAGCAGCGACTTGATGGCGTTGCATTTTCTGTGACGTATCTGAAACAATTATTGATTGTGTGACATTGGCTGTTTGTGTCAACCACGTTTTGTGTTCAGTTTGACTTTATAATTATTTTTCTTCTAACAACATGCTGATAAGTGAGGAAGTCCGCAATTTTTTGGAAAAAATCTTCAAGTGGGAGTAAATGCCAGTTATTTACAATAAATAAATAATAAAAGAGATTTCCGATTCTGATTTTAATTAATGTTGTTATCAGTGCCTCTGCCCTTATTGCTTAGGACTGAAACGGTAAGATTTGCAAGATAAAAGAGTGCTGCAATTTAGTTAACTCGATTTGGTAGGCGCACTGAATATCATATTACAATAATTTTAATCGTAATGTTCGGCTATTATCTGTTGAGGTTGAAAATTTTTAGGTTCTCTAAATGAGAAAAATATATATTTAGAATGGCGGAAAGAAGCTATAGTGATGTTTTTGTAGAGATCGGTCTTATCAACGATTAACCCGGAGGTACAAACTTTCTGTGCTACGTGGGATTCCTACCAATCCTACCAAATATAATGAGTTATAAGAGAATATGCTAATTCGGAGAAAAAAGCAAAAGCAGATAAAATTTACTCATTCTTCTTTTTCTTCCAGTGCCCTATCAGTTATTTGACGTTGGCAACCAGTTTAAACAGTCCTCCTGCGGCCCGGTATATCCAGTCCAGTCGCGTATGTTACGTAACCAGGACATGGTATTTTTCCCCCTCATTATGTGTTCCAGATATGCTACTTCCCTTCGCTTGACAGTTGTGACGAGCTCACGATGCTCTTCTCAGGACTTCCTCGTTGGTCACTCTTGGCGTCCACGAAATTTTTAAGATTTGCCGAAGGGTCCACATCTCAAATGCTTCCAGACGGTTTAAGCCGTTGATCTTCAAGACTCGACTCCGTATAGATGGATGCACCATATGTAGCATTTAACCATTCGCTGTTATTGCAAAACACTGACCTCATAGAACAGAAACTGGAACGCGCAATCTCAATTCGGTTTTTAATTCCTATATCCGGGTCAAGGTTGTCTGTAATCAGAGACCCTAGGTATTTCAAAATTCAGACTCTTTCTATGTGCGCTTCGTTTAGTTGCAGATGAGTATTTTCATGTGGTGAGCGGCTAAATATTATAAATTTAGTTTTTGTTATATTTATATTCAGTCTCATTTCTCTGTTGATGGTGCTCGCACTATCTAGAAGTCGTTGGAGGTCTTCTATGCTTTCTGCCATGAAAACAGTGTCGCCTGCGTATCTCAAGTTATTTACTGGTACTCCCTTTATCTTAATGCCTATATTCATCCTCTCTAGCGCTATAGTATTACTTATTATCACTACAAATATGACAGAAAAGAGTCTTCAGAAACTTATGAGGTACACTGTGAACTTATTAAATTACTTTAAATTGTTCACATAATATATCAGTATCACTATCGCTATCATCGCCTGTTCTGATTATTATTTGTTCTATATTATTTGCAATATGGATATACGATTGTTATGATTTTTCTATATGTTTAACAGAATTACCCAACTTTGTGGAGGGATGTTAAAAACTTTGGTTTCTATAAGTTTGAGGACATTGGAGTTAACACGGGGAAAAACATTGTTAGGACGAATGGCAGATTTCAGTTGGTGCCAAACATGTTCAATGGAATTAAATATACAGTGGTAAGGTCTTAAAACTGTATGCCCTAGATCTTTTTCATAATTATCACAGACGTATTCCTTTTGTAGGTTCAAACTTTGTAGAAACTCAATTAATTGCTTTTTGGTATAAATTTCGTGAAAATAAATGTTGTTATTATTCATGTAGTTTTGGATTGTTGCTTTTGTGACACATGAACAAGGGGTTTTAGTCAACTGTCTACTGTGATAACTTGCATTGTCCATTACAATTACGGTATTGGGAGGAATGTTTGGAACTAGTTTGTTTTTAAACCAACTTTCAAATAAATCAGCGCTGGTGTCTTTATGGTAATCCAGAGAAGAATCTTTAATATTTTTCGCAGACAGAGAAAGTCCATTTGGAATCCAACCGTCTTTAGAGCCAGCATGCAAAATAGTTATTCTTTTACCTTTTTTTGATGAAGTGTTTGTTTTACACTTATCAGTTGGGTCAACCCAACCCTTATTCCAGTCGCCGTTTCCGAATTCTAAAAGATTCCATTAAAACTTGCCATCTGTCAATTTTTTTAAATCTAAAACCCATGTGTTGAATACACTTCCATAAGGTAGTTCTGCCACATTTAATTCATCTTTTTCAAGCCTCCTAATTAAGATATCTAATACAGGCAAGCTTTGTTCCTCGAATGACTGGTAAATTTTACGCGGTATTATATCTTGATCATTTTCATCTACACTAGAGAAAATGTCAGCATCGCTTCTTTTTTTCCTCGCTGAAATGGAATTATTCACAATTTTCCATACAGTTGATTTTGGAATTTTCGTCAATGTGGCCGTTTCTTCTAAAGATGCTTGCTTGCTGGTAACACGTTCAATGAGAGTCAAATAAACATTGTTTATAACTTCCTGAGTCTCAATAGAATAGTGTTGTCTACATTTAGGCGGGAGCATCTCCTGAGATACACTAGACTCGCACATATTTTGCATAATTCGCACACAATTCAACACACTCTGTATTACACACGAAATAAGAATGATTACTAATAAACTTAAACTAAGTAGTATACCAAACCAAAGAATATTAAACATAGGTAGGTATAAAATTATTTTCTATTACAAAACTTTAGGTAATAATCTTGTTGCATTGTATGTTATTGACCACTCTTGGATAATCCCATTCAAAAGCAATTGCTCAGTTTCTTATATCTATAAATAGACCCTACCTGTAAGTCTAGTTGGATGTTGGTTTCTAAGGAAGAATCATTATTAATATAATTTAACCAATGAGACGACCTATGCCCTAATAAATTCTCAGTTGATTGCCGAAAAAGCAAAAAGACCGGATAAATTCAAAAAAGTGATAATCATTATTTCCAATCATCAGATTTGGCAGAAAATGGTAGATGGTAGACCTAGAGTAGAAATAAACCAAGCAGGAGAAAGCTCGAATTAGATGAAAAAGCAACACAAAAAAAGAAAACTTCTGCTACCATGTTCAGGTTGATAATTATTAAGGTTTCGAGATCAATAAAAAACAAGTCGTCACTATCCTGTCATATATTTTTCTCATTTGGAAAACCTAATAATCATCAATCTCCCTGCTACGCCCGTGGAGTGTACAAAAGCACTTAAACGCAACAATGGACGTCAATTTATGCAAAAAAAATGTTTCGTTAATGGCGATATACAAGGCGATGAAATCACGCGCTCTGTATTTTCCGTTGTTGGCAGTCAGAACAATAATTTGTACAAGGTCTGCAAAAAAAACCGACGGAAGCACTTATGTGAATTGTTTCAGTGCACTTCGATTGGAATATATAAAAATTTTATGGGTTACGTAGGCACGTATGGAGCTAAAAACTCGTAAAGGTTATTTTCGGATTGGCGAACGCTGTTGGCAAGAGTTTGGAACATTTCGGTCAAATATTGCGATTTTAAAAACATTGCGTGATTTGCCAACAAAATAAAAAAAATTACGGAACACTATATAATTGAAATTAAAAATATTAAAATAAATCTTTACAAGTGCGAATTATGCCAATCGTAATTTTTTATCGGACAACAACAAAATGTTTGCCGCAACGACTTACCGAAATTAACAAAATTAACACATTGCGCAACTAAATAAAATAATAATTAACGATCGTTATCGTATACGGGGTGGATCAAATGTGTTTTCGTTGCTTTGAGCAAAAACGTGTAGAATATCCTATCATAGAAACGTCAATTTTTCAAAGGAACTTCCATAGGCTACTTTAATACTTTTCACAAAACTCCTGCGTCTGTTTTTGTTGAGTCAAACTTCTTCAGAGGTTAATTGCCTGTTTATATGTTGTTTGAGGGGGGCAGAGCTAAATGAGGGGCATAAACACCGTCTCAGATGATTGATTCCCACATTGGTGACCCGAGCCGCGGTTAAGATTGCCGAACACAATCACGAAACCGGACATAAAATTTTGTTCGACAAAACTAAAATTCTTCTACCAACGAAAAATCGAGAGTCTATAGAAATCTACAAGCAACCCAACAATCTTACCTGTCATCAATATGGAAATCATCCGAGACTGCGAGCCAGTTTCTATAGCCTGTTTCTGTAGCCAGTTTCTGTTAAGCTCTGAAGAAGCCAACAGGATGATTGGCGAAACGTCAGCAAGTTTGACTCAACAAAAACCGATGCAAGAAGAATCCAGAAGTTTTGTGAAAGGCATGGAAACCTCATCTCGATAGATGGGGCTTCGAAAGCTTTAATTTTGGAAATTATTTACTACACTTTTCTAAAAAGGATTTTTGTTTTAATGAGGTTTTTTGAAAAATGTAACTAACCAAAACTTAAACTTTAACTGTGCAGTGTCCTTTATTAACAATGATTTTGGCAATTCTAAAAGCATGGCCTATTTTTTTGGGATTATGTTCTAAAATGTTCTTGCTTAACAGAGTTTAGTATCAGTTTGAAGCTGTTTCAACCCAACTTATATTAAAACATATAGATGAGGAGATGTGACCCGAAAATGGGATTCGACGTAAGAATATATTTTTTAACCGAGTTGACTGTTTTAGAGCCGGTATTTACCGAACTAAAAATAATCAGACGCGGAAATTTCCTGTCCCCCCACCTTACTAATGTTGACAAGCGTTATCGACCGCGTCAGCGACCATATTTTTTTGGCGCAACTGCGAAAATGTGGCAAGAATGATGAAAATAACGGCCGGAAAATTCGTTAAAAGTTGCGCAAAATGTAAACGGCTTTATCGATCACCTGAAAGAAAAAAGGAAACACGCTGCAGCACAATGCACTTGGAACTCCCGTTCCCGTTCAAAATGTCGACGTTATATTCGATAGGAAATGACGGCGTGGGCGTTCCATTGTGTCCAAATGAATGGACGAGTTAATTGAGTTAAGAAACGATAACAATTCGCTTTTTTCTTAACAAACTTCGCGCGTGCGAACAGAGAGGACCAAAATAAATAAATTAGATTAGTAGTTCATTATTTGAAAGAACCTGCAGCCCAAAAAGCCTGTTAGATATGTAGATACCTTGCCTATGTTGGTACGAGCTCTAACAACTCTACGTCGGAACTTTGGAATAAAATTCCAGTTAACCGATTTTCTTTTCTTCAGTTTTTTTTAAGTCGTAAATATGAAATTAACACATGAAATTACGGTTCAATTATATATTTTATGTTGATTACTGTTTGTTTGTTTGATAATCGGAAAATACTGCCTTTCCTCGCGTTTTTCGAGTTTTCTTGAGCTTTATCAGGCTGATGCGAAGGATACTTTGACCTGAAACATACGAGCAAGTAGTGTGTCGCCAATAAGAATTGTCACACGTCATTTGACTATTAATGATTAACAACTGCTAGTCTTATTACGAGCACCATAAAGAGAAAGCAATGCGTGAAATTTCCAGTGAATTGATTATATATAGCAACACTACTAATAAGGTAACACTGCCAGTACTGATGTCCGCGGTCGTGAAAAAGCTGTTTCTCAAATGAGTGGCATTTAATTGGAATATGTAAATACACAACGAGAAGTAACCGAAATGTTTCTAGAAAATGGTGTCGCAAATATATCCACACGAATTTTTCAAAGGTATGATGGGTATAAATTTTCTATTTTTTGGGTTATGCGAGTAGACAAAAGCAGACGGAAGACGGAAAGACGGAAGTTTGAAAAATAAATTGTTACATTAAAGCAAATGTAAATTTTCCACAGGGCATCATGGAATGGGGTTGTATCTCCCAAAAGGTTGGGAATTTTTAATTTTATTAAAGGCACAATAACTACAGCCATTAAACATTCATTTTTACCAAGTGCATTTTATCTTTCAGACGGGTGGGATAATATATCATTAAAGCATTGGCAAATAATTGTAGCAGTTCAAATCTAAATCCAATAGAGACACTTTGGAACAAAATGATACAACGCTTAAGAAATCATCCTCAGCGCATTTTGCCACAAACTACAGAAAGTCTAGTTGGTACAATGTCTAAAGGAGTTGAGGTTGTTATTCGATCTAAGGGTGACTTCGAGCCTTATTCATTTTTATTTTAATTTTTTAAAAACCATTGGATCCAATATTTTCGGCTACTTATTTAATTTTGCTCGGCTGATTGCGTACTTAATTTTTCAGAAATTTTCTATAAATGTAAGAGGAAAGTTTAAAATTTTATTAGAAAAATTTATCATTAACATCATTTGAGCATTTAGATTGCGGTTATGGTGTTAAGAACCATTTTCCCTTAATTTTTAGGGACTTTGAAATCTACTTTATAGATTACCCAATTCTAAACGAAAAGGGAAACCCACAAAATATACTGAATAAACATTTTGCGCGAAACATGCACAAAATGCAAAAGTTATTCAAAAAAGTCATTGTGAGTTTGAATATTTAAAAATATATCAGTAGGTTCCAGCCACTTTATTATTTATTACAAACTTAATTCGAATCAATGATCGTAATATGCAGGTTGCTTTCCTCGGCTTTTCATTTACAGAGACGAATATATTGACGTCGGAGCGCCGCGATCTCCTGATAGCTACGCCGCTGCCTTTCGATTTTTTCCTGGTAACGATGAATTAAAATGCCCGCGTAGATAATCACTGAATGTGAATAAAACATACCTTTGTTTATTTGTATTTTTCAAAGAAAAACCTCGAGAAAATACAATTTGGCGTGGAAATAACAGTATATTCGCTATTGCGAGTATAGATCCGTGAGGAACAGCCGCAAAAAACAACTCTAATCAAGTGAGTTTGTGTGCCATGCATTCTAAAAAGTTACATATTACAAAAATGGTTAATGCAACATTCATATCAAATTGAACTTGTGGCTGAGAGAAGTCGGGTTAGATCGTTATATTTTGCCTGCAGTTAGTTAGGTAGCATTATGATTTTTAACGCGCCTTTTTACATTATAAAAATTAAAAAATTTAACAAAGTTCTGCGGAACCGCCATATACCAAAATATGCACAGTGAATAGCGAAAATAATACCCAATTTTCGTTGCAGAGCAGTTTCGTTGAATATTAGCACAGAAAAATATGCCGCTTCGCCGCCACTGACATAACCGATTCTAGCGTTGAAGAAAACACCAATGGTCTTCTTACCTGAAAGTTAGGTATCGATTTTCTCGAAGTCGGGGGTCACCCAAACGCGAAAGGCAGAGCAAAATTGTGCAACGGTTCGGCGACAATATCTACTTAATTGACGAGAAATTTCTAACGGTGCCCGCACAGACTTTCCGCGCTGAAAACGTTCTGAACGTACTGAAAATAACGGCCCCCCGTCTCGCTGCCCATTTTTACCTCCGCACCGGGATCCGCCGAACGCGACTGCGCCAGAGGTTCCGAAAATGTTGGCCTAGCGCACACACGCACATGTTCTCGCCGTTAATTAATCCCGATCGGCTATGTGCCAATTTTTATTTGCGTAGGCCCATCCCTAATAACGTCAAGAACCGGTCGAATCTAGGCCGCAAGCGGCTACGTTGTGGGCTGCCGCAAGGCACAGTGTTGGGGCCCTTATATGGTGTGTTTATTAAGTATAGTCTCTCTCAAGCTTCATCGTGTTGGCTTTCGACGAACCCTCCCCAATAAAGCTTTAACGATGTTATTACCTATTGTTATTGGGTAAAACCATTAACAAAAAATTTATTCGTACTTGAGTGACAGAGCAGTTCTGTTCATAGATATAAGAAATATGGTCGAACAGGTCCGTACTAAACAATATTTATTTATTTATGTATGTATTTATTTTTAAATCTAAAATAAAATTAAATATTATTTTTATTACCTACATAAATTACTTAAAATTATTCTCATAATATATCAGTATCACTATAGCTATCATGGCCTGTTCTAATTATTATTTGTTCTATATTATTTGCAATATGGATATACGATTATTCTGCTTTTTCTATATGTTCAATAGAATTTGGGCAAGTTTGTGGAGAGATGTTAAAAACTTCGGTTTCTATAAGTTTGAGGACATTGCAGTTAACACGGGGAAAAACACTGTTACGACGAATGGCAGATTTCAGTTGGTGCCAAACATGTTCAACGGGATTAAATATACAGTGGTACTGTCTACTGTGATAACTTGCATTGTCCATTACAATGACGCTATTAGGAGGAATGTTTTTAAACCAAGTTTCAAATAAATCAGCGGTGGTCTCTTCCACCAAGCTCTTTTTGATGGCGCGTTTGTTTTGCACTTATCGGTTGGGTCAATCCAACCTTTTTCCGAGGTTTCATCCAAGTAAATAATTGGAATTTGTTGTTTTCTGTAAATCCTAATTTTTTCTAGATATTCCAGTCGCCATTTCCGAATTCTAAAAGATAGTCCTGCCACATTTAACACCGGTTTCATCTTTTTCAAGCCTACTAATTAAGATATCTAATGTAGGCACGCTTTGTTCCTCGTATAACTGGTCAATTTTACGCCGTATTATATCTTGATCACGTTCATCTACACTCGAGAAAATGTCATCATCGCTTCTTTTTTTCCTCGCTGAAATGGCATTATTCACAATTTTCCATACAAATTGATGTTGGAATTTTCGTCAATGTGGCCGTTTCTTCTAAAGATGCTTGCTTGCTGGCACCACGTTCAATGAGAGTCAAATAAACATTGTTTATAACTTCCTTAGTCTCAATGGAATAGTGTTTTCTACATTTGGGCGGGGGCATCTCCTGAGATACACTAGACTCGCACATATTTTGCATAATTCGCACACGATGCAACACTTTCAAAAGCAATTGGTCACTTTCTTATATCTATGAACAGACCATACATTTCCTTCCTTCTGATATATTATAAACCTAGTGATTTTCAAACTCAACGGATAGACAATAATGAGCAGGACCTAATAAGAAAGTCTTATCCTGTCTTTATCCTTCCTTCCTTTATCCTACCTTGGATAAACTGAAAAAGAAGCTAGAAGAAGATGAAACCAATATAAATATAAGGCACCCTCCAAGCAATTGGTCACTTTCTTATATCTATGAACAGACCATACATTTCCTTCCTTCTGATATATTATAAACCAAGTGATTTTCAAACTCAACGGATAGACAATAATGAGCAGGACCTAATAAGAACGCCTTATCCTGTTTTTATCCTTCCTTCCTCTATCCTACCTTGGATAAACTGAAAAAGAAGCTAGAAGAAGATGAAACCAATATAAATATAAGCCACCCTCCATAGAGTTGTTTGTACAATTGGATTTAAGTGCCGCAAAAAAGGCAGTAGTTACATAGGTTACGCACTTGGGAGATTTAATTACATTCAATAAATTATAAGATATAGATTAGACAATACATCCATAATCTATGTTGATGAAACATGGTCCGATACACACGACACTGTATCTAAAGGATCCAAGGAGATTGCCCTCAAAACTGTCAGAAGAAAGCACATTTAAATGAATCATTTGAAGGTGCCATCACCATAATACATACTGGGATTTGTGCGCTTGCTGTTGTCTGCAAAGAACATTAAGGATTCTAGCTTGGATTATCATGAGGATATAAGTGGCGAAGTTTTTGAAAATTGGTTTCAAAACAATATTTGAAAAAATATTCAATTATCATGGATAACTTCACAGCCGTCTGTTACGCAATGACCCAGCCTCATCAAGTTCAAAAACTGAATCCAGAAATATTTGTTAGAAAATGATATCTATTTTGAATTTAGTTACAAAAAACCGTAAATTTGGAAGTACTTAATTCATATCCAATTAAAAAACAATATGTATGCGATAATTTGGCTGAACAGGATGGGCATATCATTGCATATTTATTCCCATAGAGCATTTGTCGAACCAAGTAAAATCAAAGCTCAAGGCAGAATATGTTTACTCTCACTTTCAGTCCCAAATTTGTGTAATTAATAACATATCAATTGAGAGCTGGAAAAATTCAGTACAGCACATTATAAAAATTGAGGACTCATTTCTCTATTATTATATTATTATTTCTCTCGTATATTTCTTAATATATTTTTTCTTAGTGTAATTTAATATGATTATCCCACCTAAATAAACAAAAAAAAATATATTCTTACCAGAGAGTCTAATTATTTACTAAATTACCTAGAAAAAATAAATATAGACCATAACAGTTTTAAAAATTTAATAATAATAAAAAATAAATTTAATACATAAAAATAAAATTATTATTAATAAAAAAATAAAATTTTATTATTAATAATAAAATAACTTAATAATAATTTTTGTATTATTCTTTTAAATTATGCCTGATAAAACCCTCAATGCAGTTCGAGGCGCTCGGCGCCCGGCGTGCTGTCATAAATAAATTCATTTTGTTTAAACTAATGACGAGCAGTGAAATTTTCTTCCGGAATCTTAAACTTACATGGTAAAGTATGTGACCGATAAAAAATCATGATTTTTTTTACCAAGAAATCGGTTAAATTTTCATTTGTACTCCTATGGTTGATTTTTAAGCCATTTTTTAGTTCAAAGTGCTTAAAATTTTCATTATAAAAAATATATTGTTAAAATCGTTTGAGGGATCAATTTGCCATCATAAGTACTTACAATATATATATATATATATATATATATATATATATATATATATATATATATATATATATATATATATATATATATATATATATATATATATATATATATATATATATATATATATATATATATATAGATAAATTTTTTATGATCAAGTAGTAAATAGGGGGTCCACTTGACGTGATCTTACTCTTTTGGGAATAGGAAAGTGCCGCCTAAAAAAATCTGAAAACCAGTCTAAAATATCCACGGGCTTATTCAAAAGTTGCCCATTGATTTTGGTAAATCGTTTACCTTTAACAGAATTACAACCAATGAGTTCCTATAGATGTCCATCCAAGAAGTGACATTGGATGAAAATAATGTCTCAACTTTTTTTCGCAACTCTATACTAGCGATCCCAGAGGTAAAAGGAAGAAAAGTCACGATTAAAACAAAAATCTATTACAGATGATACAGATCACGCGTTGACGCTGACAGCGTCCTCCAAAGCCTTGACAAATTGTGGGAATCCCCTGGCCAAAAACGGATGGTGTGGCACCAGCTGAGCGTCGCACATAACTCCCAACTTAACGTGGTCGGCGTATTCGTTCACGCACAGGGAAATGCCTGAAAACGTATCGACGCGTGTTTAAAATCAAACTCAAACTTGCCGCGCTTACTCGTATTCGCTTGAGGGGGTCTCCAGTAGATGACGCTGTCCACCTCTTGACCCCACAAAGTCCTCTGGGTGACGTTCGGGTATCTATTGGTCAGTTCGGTGACGGTCACGACGTACTTTCTGGATAAATATTTGAGGTAAATGCTGGCGAACGTGGACGGCAGGAACATCGTTAGAACCCCCGCCCTGGTCTGCAACGAGGTCAGAAGATGGGACACGCCTTGCTTCTCCAATGCCAGCTTGAATTTTCCTTCGATCAGTTTCAGGTTTTCCAATTGGGTGACGTCAGACTGAGGGTCTACGACGGGCAGGTTGAGGCAAATGATGCCACTCATGGAATCGTAGAATTTGACCTGAGGACCAGTAGCGAAAAGATAATTGGAATTAATGTTGCGCATGGTTATAGGCAGCTCTTTGGGTATGGTATCTTCCACTTGGCTGAAATATTTCGACAGGCACATCGCCACAGACGAGAGAATCACTTCGGTCTCTGACACGCCCAAGTTCTTGGCTAGATTTTTGATCGATTCGAGCTTGACTGGATCGCTCCACGCGACTGCCTTTCTGCCGCATAGGGTGATAGTCTGCATTGATTCTTCTTGCATGAGTATGTCTTGAATTATCGTCCTCGGGGCCAGGAATATAAGCCTGAGGATCCCGAGCACTTCCTTCAGAGAACCAACGAGCAAGGGGACGTAGGTATAAAATACCCCAACCAGAGTATGCGGATAAGGACAGTATTTGAGACTGAAACAATAGTAAAGGGCCATCGATTCGCTGTACAAAAACAACGGGAGGCGAATCGGGAACAGCGTGACCGCAAACCACACGTGTTCGAACAGGACCATCGCTAAATTGCCGGGACTCATAGTTTTAAGAATTGAGAGAAGAAAGTTCTTTGGCGAAACTTGTCGTTTGCTTGTCTCTTTGATCATGGTCAGCGAGAAATACTTGAGCTTGGAGAACGAGTCCGGTTTGACTACCCTGAAGCCCTTGCGACTCTCTCTGATCACGGCGACCAACGTCACGATACAGACGGCCAGAAACAATCGCAACGTGGGCGTGTCTTTGAGCAGTTCGGGCTTCTCCAGCGGATCGTAGCTGCCCACGAACTCGTTCCAATGGTTCGAGATTTCTTCTGTCAATTTCTCTCTCATGGTGGGTAACGCGACCGGTTTTTTGACCACCTCCACCAAAGGGCTTTTCGACACGAATGGCCTGTAAACAACACGTGTCGCTGGGTTCTTTATGATCGAACTGATACGCACCCCGTTGACGGTCGCGTCGGAGGAATAAGGGGTAGCAGGTCGCCGATGTTTACCCCTTCGCTCAACAAGATATGGTGTATCTTCAGTAGGATGTAATGGTGGTCTTCGGAGGTGGGGATGATGATTAGTTGCCACGGGGATATCCCGCTCGGCAAGTATTTCGAGATTATCTCGCTCACGTATTCCTACATTAAGGAGGGAGATTAGGCAAGTCGGGGATGGCGAACCCTACGGATTGGCATACCTGTATGTTAAATTCTGTCACGGCCCTACCTTTGTAGGTAAACTTGGCCAAAGTGACGTGCTGCTCCAGGTCGAACTTGCTGCGTTGCCAAGCGTATATGCCGCATCTCGTCACCAGACTGTGCTGAAGTCGCGGGAACGCCAAGTTGCCGGACTTTTCTCGGCGATTTACCACCTCCTGGAGGATTGCGTGGTTAATAACCCGCCGGTGAGAGTCAAAGGCGCAGTTCTTACGTGCAGGTGGCGCTTGACTGCTTCCGGATGGTCCCTACCACGCACCGACAACAACACCGATACGATCCCCTGGTTTCTGTGGGTGTCGAGTAGGGTGCGTACGGTGGAGTATCGGACGAACTCCACGTCTGGGTGTAGGAACGACGCGCAGCTCAGCCATATGGAGTTGTACGCTTTCAAACCTGCGAAGTGTTTTGGGTAACGCAGGTAGCGCGTAACCAACCTCCTTACCGAAGTAAGTGACGACGAAAAATGGCACTAGTAAGACCGTCGCGTTGAACAGGGTTAGGCTGAGGAGGAAGTCGAACATTTTCGTTCAGCAAACGGCGAAAATAGCACTAGCAACGCGCTGCAGTCGTGGTCGTTTTGAGTGTATTGATAAAGCGAAGTGATAAACGCACATGTTCGATGTTTAATGTAGACTGAACGGTATCTTGGAAGCTCGTTTATCGTGGGACTTATCTGGACGAACTATGACCTCTCCCAATCCGGTGCATATCATTCGGCAGATATCAGAACCGAAAAATATTCCTCTCGTGTGGAGTCAAAATATATTAACGTGAATAACTACTTAAAGTACTTAAACTCGACGCAACGAGTTAATTTATTTATCAGTCGTCGTGGAGTTGTTAGGCTCAGTTCAGTATATGTTCATTTCTTTGCGTGAGAAAACAATTCAGTCGCGCGTTTGTGCAATAAATCGATTATTAGACTGTGACACAGTGCCAATATGACATTTTATAAAAACGATAGTAAGCTCATACATATTTTTAAACAATTGTCGTTGTAACTTCGTCTGGATACATGGTGTAGCTTTCAAAAGTTATAACTTTTTATTTGACTAATTTTTGGAAAATATTTTTTTTAAAGATACAACTCGAAGTTGCTTTGTTTTCATATGAAACATAGTATTTTTCTCCATCAAATTCACTTTAAATGGTTGTGTTAAAGACGTTTCTCAGAAATACAATATTTTTGGTCACGACATATATAACGATATAATAATTTTAATTTATTTTATAAACATGGCACGACATGGGTCATGAATTTGATTTACAATTGTAATTTTCTTGTGCAACTTTGCTTCTTATCTATTAACTCGCAAAGTGAATACAGCAGCTTAAGAAATTCAAAAAGTGTTGAAGAAATTAAAAATTGGATATTAAAAATAAATTTTAACAAAGAATACAGAAATCCGACATAAAACATATTTCCTTAAAACAAAAGAAAATAATAATTATCTTTTTTTTTAGTTTAATTAATACTAGTATAATTTGTTTGTTTTGTATTGATATTGTCACGATTATTGACTTATTTTTCTACATCGTTTATTTATTTGGAGAACATGCTTTATAATAAAGGACGAAAGCTCGGGCTTTGTCAAACCCTTGTTTTTCATTATTGATCACCGTGTTACAAGCATAGATCTTCTTAAACTGTGGCGCAAGCTCCATAAATGGTCAGGTCAGTACCAACCCTCACCGCAAGGGCGTTAAGATTGCTCGGTAGTTTTAAATCAGTGACTTTGGCTGACTCGATCGTATTCGGAAACGTGTGTAACTTATAAGCAATGAAATAAAGTTGCCAAAAAAATATGAATGTCGTCTTCTTTTTGGGGTACATCTCTTTAAGATAACACAGGATGTTCCGAAATTTATGCACGAAACAACAAACAAACGCTTCAATCCTAAGAAAAAATTTTTCAAACCGGTCTAGATATAAAAGAGAAAGACATTTATTGATACGAAATAAGGAAAAAAGTCAATCGAATTTGTTCCAATTCGAATGGGGATTTCAAAAATAATTTTTATTTTAAGCGCACCATTTTATAGTTTATACATTTTTGCATATTTTACGCTTATTATTGACATAGAACACGGTCTTAAAATTTGGTGCGTTAATTCCAAAACACCCTGTATATTAAAAAAATATATCCCTTAATTGCATTGAGCAAGATACTACTTCGATGTTTTAAAAGGAAGGTCAATAATTGGAAATTAGAAACTGATGATTAATTTTGTGTCTAACAACACGGCAAATAATTTCATATTTCAATGAACATATAAACGTTTTTTCAAAATTAACAGAAAATAGGTATCCAATTTGAGCTGCTCTGTATCTCTTACCGTTTTCGAAAGTCCAATTTGAAACATCCGATATACGATTTGAAATAATTCTCTAGATGTTGCATTTTATCATTTCGGGCGGCGTATTTTCCAAACATGGTACCGCGCTCACCTCAACCAATATTTACATACACATAAAAACACGCGTCGCTAATAAAAAATCCCATGGAACCGGGTCAGGCAAACCTCGTGGCAGTCTCCGCGTTAACGTCGAGTAGACAATACGTGTTCGCCTGGATACGATACTGGCTTTATCAGCCCTTCACCGTGACGGGTTACGCTCTGGAGGGGAACGAATAAACACGATAGGAGGCGGGAGGGTGCAAAAGCCGATGAAGCGAGGAAAATTCCTGATTAATCGGCAGGCATCGGGTGGTTTCGTTGCATTTTCAAAAAGGGAACACCACAAAGTGTCGAATGTTCAAAGTGTCGAAAAGTTCGTGTGGGATCGAGTGCGGTCGAACAACGGACCCACCAACAGCTGAGACGTGACGTACAGAGAAAATTATACGTGATAGATAAATAAATATAATGTTTAGGTTAGAACCAGCGATTTTTAAATAATTTTTTTTATTAAGTTAACATTTTATTATTTTTTTAAAGAAGAATTCCGTTAATTTTACGTCGTAAATTCATCGAGTTGACAGATTAAAATGCAGAACAGGAACAAAACCTCTTTCACGACGACTTTATGTATTATACACGCAACAGGTGTAACGGAACGAGGTAACATTGATTTAATATTTTGTATTAGCTCACAAAAACGTCGTATTTTATAACATTATTTATTCCTTTGTAGGTTTGTAGGTTAATAAATATATGTATATTCAAGTTATTGCAAAAAGGTATCTCAGATGTACAGAAACAAAATATCAAGCATCCGGAAAGTTTAAAGATAATGGTGTGTTCATTTTAAGGAAGGGATAATACAATCATGAACACTTGGAGGACCAAATACAAGACATAATTGAAATTTTCTCATAGTTTCGGTGATACAGTGTAATGTACTACACATTTTTACAAATATTTTTAATACTAATAATTTCTCTAGTTGTCAAGTGTACTACATATATCCTTTCCGTCCCCTTCCTGTCTTAGACATGCTTTTAAGAGTTGCAAGCATGTCTAAGACAGGAAGGCGACTGAAAGGATATACGTAATAGACTTGCGACAAGGTAAAAAAATTATTAGTATTAAAAATATATTAGAAATTTATAGTACTTTTCATTGTACAACTGGAACTATATAAATATTAATAAATTTCAATTACGTCTTGTGTTTGGTCGTCCAAGTGTTCATGATTGTATTGTTCCTTCCTTAAAATGAATGCACCAATTCAACAAAAGTTTTGGTGGGACGATCATTGGCAGACATTTCACTAAGCAGTTTGATACACCCCCCTGGGACTCTTGAGTCCAAGAGCCAGATCCACGATGCTTTAGATTTTTAAATATTTTTGTATTATTGTCTTTTATGAGAAATATCTTACCTTAGTAGCAAAATAGGGTAGGAGCTCATAAATCTGTATTACCTGTTCACTCCCAACTGCCTGGAACAAGTTGCAGAGTGAATCTAGCCAACTCATAATCGGTTTCATTCTCATCATCTATTTTACTAAAAAATGAATTTTCACGTATCTGTAACTTGTTATACTTGTTATTTCTATGACAAGGATTAAGAAACGTTAACTGATTGATGCACTCCATAAACTTGAAAATTTTCTTTTAATGATTAATCAAACTTGCTGAGGAATCCAGAAGATTTTTAAATAGGTATTACAGTATCCTGTAAAAATATCTTGGAAAATTCCATACAGAGTGGTCCATAGGGTAAGTAAGTCAGTAAGCTTTAGATTTCAGGTGTAAAAAAGCAAACATACTTTAGTAAGGTGCTTGTTTAAAAGATGAAGTTGTCAATGTTGTCATTCAAAAAATTTATATAAATTCGATTTGGTAGACGTCCACTTTTACCTTAGTTGGAGGCTGTAATAAATAGGGGGCGATAACGACGAAAATATTGAAAAAGACACTTTTGAATGCGATAAAATAAAATTAACCTATATTCGTTTGGATTCGGGTTATACCTATCTAGTACGCGAATATAGAAAAAACATCCTAAACGCAGCACTATCAATTCATAAAGATCGCCCACAACTGAGACACGGAAGACTAAAGTCCAGAAAACCGTTATTATATCTGGCTGAAGCGCTCCAAAATGATGGCTATGATCCCAAAGACCAATGGAAGCGGGACTGGAGTTTGAAAGCAAGTGATCTTCAAAACTAGTTCGCAACTTATAATTGCAACGTCACGGGAACCGACCTAAACCGAAGGCAATGGTCAGCCCTGAACCGGGTACGCACCGGACATGGCAGGTGCGCGGACTCGTTACACCGATGGGGGAAAACAGCATCACCAGAATGTGACTGTGGAGCACCAAGACAGACCATCCAGCATATTCATAGCGAGTGTCCCTTACGCTTATACACGGGAAGCTGGCTTGACTTTTTGGAGGTATCTGCAGCGGCGTTGGAATGGATAACAAACTTTGACATTGAATTATAGCTATTATCTTTTTACATTTGTGTAATTATTCGTGATTGTTCTTAGATCTGTACTTGTACTATACATTGCATGTAATGTCATACGCTAAATAAATAAATAGTACCGACTGTCAAGTTACAAAGTCCCCCTATTTCACCGAGACGGGAGCAAACGCCGTTGGTATTTTTGACACTCTCTCACGAACGTTTCGTCGCTTTAAACATTCGACAATTTGTGGTGTTCCGACTTTGAACATCCGACCCAATGTAACGAAACAACCCGATGCTTGCCGATTAATCGGGCATGCTCTTCGATTCCTGTCTTTGCTACCATCTCATATCTTATATATTTATATCGAAATAGGGAGACTTTGTAATTTATTGGTCGATACTAGATAAGCAAAAAATTAGCAAAACATTGCTTGTTTTAAAGATACAGTACATCGGGTGCTAAATCCGTACAAGACACATAGTTTTGGTTAGGTTAATAATAATTGTAGGTTAATTTTATTGAAGGGCACTGCATCCCGCATTCAAAAGAATATATAACTTTCTTTTGCAGGGCTCACATGGATATGTCAACTTTTTTTGGGAGTAGCATCATTAACGTTGTCTATAGCAATAAAAATTATATAATATATTTCGTTAGGTATAACTTTACCTGGGTGAAATTTTTTCCCATGTTTTCTTAAATTGTAGAGACTGCTAAACATTAATAATAACCCTAATCACCAAGAAAATCTCAATATTAATTTCAACCTGTACATATCACCGAAATCAAGAAGACATTTAAATTTATCAGCTGATCGAAAATCGAAACACCGCGCGCAAGCTATTGTTCCGGTTATTTCACTTGCGCCGAAAATGCTCCCCGCTTCCTGTCCATATCCGTGTTTAAGGGGTGCAGGTAATATTCGCATCGTCACCACGTGCACGGTGGAGTGAATGTGAAGATGGTGTTTCGATCCGACGAACAAATAAACATTTGCTGTTACGTCAGGGCTTTCTGGTTTGGTGTGTATTTTAGTATGTAAATCCCGTCTTGCAGTGTGCGTACAATTGGCCGTGAGTATTTGGCAGGGAACAAACATACATTTCTTAGTTTATCGATGCAAACTCGATGCGTATGTATTAGAAACGCAATAATTTTCTGACGCGACCGCGAATTGCATGATTGAAATTGATCATCACGGATCGATCCGCCTTTATATGTTTAATTACGGCAATGGTTTATAGAATTGTTGTTTATTTAATCTCTTTTAAATTACGGACAACGCGTTGAGTTGAAATGAAATTACTCCGTGACACCTAGTGTGCTTTATACCAAATCCGTTTAGCTAGATAATGAATAATACCAAATCATAATGACGTAAGCCGATTGCAAACACCTCGGAAAGAAAACGGGACGAGGTGAGTGGTTATTCATGATAGAAAAATTCGTCAATTTTGATCAGTCAGCTATGTAACTTAAAAGATACATTTTGAAATCGGTTCTCGCGTGCTGATTGGCGGGAAGTGTAATCGAAGTTGGAAAAGAAAATTGAAAGCTCCGTTAATGAAAAAGTGGCGATATTTATTTATTTGCAACGAGGGTAAGTGTGACAGTCCAAAATATAAGGTTTTTCACTCAACCCGTTCATTATAACTATATGGAGATGTGACTTAGAAAAATAAATAAGAACTAAAAGTTCAGATTTTCACGAAATTATATATTTTGACATGACAATTGTTTCGACAACACAGTGTCTTTATCAAATGTGACATTTGATAAAGACACGTTTCATCAAGTAAAAGCCACCTCAGTTCAATTGTAACTTAGAAAGGCCTTTCAATTTCAGTACCAAGTGTACTGTTTTAAAATATTTTCGACGTAATGTCAACTTGCTTATTTAAATCAGAACACCTCGTATATTATTACATTTTGAGAATCTGCGTGCAATTCTAAACATGCTTTGTGGATACCGTCCTATACGTATGTCTAACCGTTTTTGAAATAGTGGACAATGAAAAAAAAAATGCACCTCTGGCTTACCCAACTTTGAGCATGCACATTTTTGAAATTGTGAAAATTTGACCTCCGCATTTGGCAAAATGTTAAAAAACTTCACATTTTTGTTATTGATGTTGTCTACTTTTATACATTTTCAAAGTCGCTAAATTGTTATTTTTTTTTCAAATGGCACACCCTGTAACTTTAAGTGTTATCAAGTCCAGGACCCATTTCCGCTCCAAACTGCAATAGGGTTATATATACCTATTCTAACCATATTCGAAATAATGAGGTTTTTTTTTGATTAGTATCGTATTTGTTGGGGTGAAAAATTTTCCTTCACGTACTTTTATGTGGAAAACAATTATTACTGTTGTTAATATTATACTAATTATTAATTGTCATGTTTGAAAACGGAACACAATAATTGTTTTCCCATAGCCAAGTACCTGAATGGAAAATGTTCAGCGGAACAAATACGATACTATCAAAAAAACCTAATTATTTCGAATATGGTTATGGATCAAATAAAATTGAAAAGATTGACACCCAAAACAAAAGCGATTTAAATATTTCACTTACTCCCACTTCTTGGAAAACAAAAACAAACAAATGCGTTGAATGTATTTTATTAAATATTAATGTCAATATTTTCTGGAGTCATATTTTCAGCACTGGAAGGTGCTACGGGGAGAAAAACCCGATAGCATTGCCAATTTGTAAAGTAATATGTGTATAGTGTATCAGTTTGAATTATGCGTGATCGCTTTTAACAACAACATAATTGTATTTCCCTTTTTTAGCATCACGTCTGTTGTCAGATGGTCAGATGATCATTCACAGGCATTTTCTATCCATTTTTACGAGATTGATATTCTGACCATCAATTTCGTCTAATTCGGAACTAAAAATTAGATTGCTAATTATTTTTAGAATAATGTTTTCTACATCAAAAAAATTAAACAGTACCAAATCTTCAAAATGTAGTCGCATTTCCTTCAAAAAACTAATTTAATTTGGGGGAATTGAAATCTACCTTTCTTATTAACTTACAATGTTACGTTATATTTAGAAGATGTCAAGATATTCTTCATAGCCCATGAAATAAGCTTTTTTTTGGTCTATGTCAACTTTTTCTAGTGGCTCGTTTTAAAATTTTCTATTAAACATATCTAAAGCTGCTAAATAAAAAATAACTATAATATATTTAATATTTAAATACATTATTTAAATATTTATTTAAATAATGTTTTTGCAATATTTTAAAAACAAATAATAAATATATTTTGGGTTTGTTCTTAGCCTCAATACTTTTTAATTTCGTCGGATAGTAAGATTCAAGAGTCATCATCATCTGCCAGCGTTGTCATAAGGCTTAAGATAAGAATTGCGTGCGTCGCGTTGTCACGTTTGACTACCAATTACTGCCGTATTATTTCAGATAATCCAAGCCAGCATGCATGGCTTCAGCATACGCCTCTCCAAATACCGGAAAAAGATCCTGTTGTTACTATTATTTTCGACGTTGACTGTGGTATTGTTAAAAATGAACACTCCGTGGCCAAACTTCGTTATCAGAATGTACTACTGGGTCAATCCACGGAAAGACGTGGTGTGTCACACTATAAGACTCGAGGACAGTCTTCCCGACGTGTCTGACGCACATCCCAGGAAAGACCGATCAATCTTTTTCCACGAAACTTCGTGTAACTCTTTCTTAGAAGGGAAGATAGTGATCAATCCCAGGCAGGCATGCGCGGTGGAAAGCGCCGCCCGCCTCAACCCCAACATGGATGTCTACTTGCTCTACGCTGCCCCTGGCAATGTCAAAAACCAGACGCGCCAGTCTGACCGCATATTAAAACTGCTACAGGCTTATCCCAACGTAAAAATCCTGCATGTCGACTTAGGGCAATACATGACCGGCACTCCGGTGGAAAATCTGTGGACCACCAGGCAGATGCAACACTCCCAGTACGCTCAATCTCACACCAGCGATGTTCTTAGGTAAATTGGTTGGGTAATAGTTTCGTTATATCGTGGAAAACGGTGATGTATGTGGCGATTGGTTAGGTACCTGACTTTGTGGAAATACGGCGGCATTTACCTGGACCTCGACGTCGTAGTGATCAAAAGTTTAGAGGATCTGGAAGCGAATTATGCTGGGGTCGAGTCCGACGAAGCCGTGGCGGCCGGAATTTTAAGCTTCGACTCCTCCAAAGAGGGTCAGACCTTTGCTAATTTAAGCCTGCTCGACTTGGCCGAGAATTTCAGAGGGTACGACTGGGGTTACAATGGACCGGGAACTATAACCAGGTAAGCGCGAGAGAAAAAATATCCCATTTTGTTATCGATTGTATCATTGCAGATTGGTTAAGAAGCTTTGTAATGTATCCAGCGTGAAGGACATGGTGGGTAAAAAGTGCCAGGGGTTCAAACTCTACCCCGCTTCCAAGTTCTATTCGATACCGTGGTGGAAATGGGAGTGGTTCTTCAACGAGACGTATCTCAATGAGGTGATAGCCCATACCAAAGACAGCTTTATCATTCACGTGTGGAACAAATTCAGCGCGGATCTCAAAATACCTTTGTCGTGCGGTGACGTGCCCTACCTTTATTTTGCCAAAAAGTACTGTCCCCTGGTGGTCGAACAGTGTGATTATTATTTTTAAGGGGGTGGTAAGCGATGCATATTTTAAGGGGCCAATTTTTTTTTGCCTTTTAATGAGAGAAAATCAAATGACCGAAAACACGTTTATGGTGGGTTAACTATGTTTATACATCCTAAATATCCACAACCACATGTTACTATTCCCAAAGAAGTGATACAAATATGCGAAGCTGTTTTTATGTGTAGAATGATTTTTTCAGTTGGATGATTGTAAGTTGTATCCATCAAATACATTTTCGTCAATATATTTTACAAATATCTTTTGTTTTTCGCAATAAAACGATATTTTGTTTTTCAGTTCCACAAACCTCTATTATTCGTCGCTCTTAACACTATAGCTACGTCATCAACACTGGATTCTGTAATAATAATGATAACAATAAAATTGTACTTGTTAATCAATTTCACAGTGAACACAATAATTGTAAAAGGAAAATTCCCGACATTTCGTTTGTTTTTCCTTCCCCAAAACCCCAACATTTTTACGCCACAATAAGCCTTTTTACAGTAAAATTCCTAAACTTACCTTACCAATTGTTTTGTAATGCCAAATAAAATATTGCATAACCTATAAAATTTCCCAAAAATTCGTTAAAGAAATATGAACTCGGTGAGAAAGATTTCGCTGTTTCCGTCCATTACAAGAAAATGTGGCAGTGCTAAGGTAAATCGCAATGCTATCGACACAAAATTCGTTTCACATTTTCCAAAGGTTTCAGTTAGAAGTTACACTCCTAGAAGGGCTCTCATGTACGTTCCAGGAGATGATTTAAAAAAAATCAACAAATCGGTAACTCTTGACGTTGATTGTGTAACTCTAGATTGCGAAGACGGAGTAGCAGTGAATAAAAAGGTGCTGTAGTGAGTAAAATAGGCCACCATTCAGGTTGTGACTGTGTTTATTAAAGGAGCAAGCCAGAGAAGCTATTAGAGGTGTTTTGAATGCCGGTAAACCTACGAAAAATCGGAACTACGACTTGAGCGTGAGAATCAATTCATGCGATACCATTTATTGGCAGGATGACCTCAAGGCTTGTCTCACAGCTAAGTTTCTGCCAGATTCTATATGTTTACCAAAAGTGGAATCTTCAGCCACCATAAGAGCAGTAGCATCCGAAAATTTAATTCCAAGGGGCTTCATGATTAATCTTTCAAGTTTTTAGAAGAAACCAGCAATTATGTTACGAGCACTAAGAAACTAGATCTGATTATGTATATAGAATCAGCCCAAGCATTCATTAATTTAGTAGACATCTGCAAGACAGCGGCAGAATTGTCTAAGGAGAGCCATTTTACGCCTGCGGCGTTAGTTTTCGGCAGTGATGATTTTTGTGCCAATATTGGTACTATTGAAGGTAGGCAACTTAACCTTGCTACACGATTTGCGTTCCAGGGGCTACTCGCACCGAAGATTCTTTGGAAACTTTATATGCTAGACAAAAATTGGTGTTGGTCGCTAAAGCTTTCCACATGCAAGCGATTGATATGGTTTATATTAAATATCAAGGTAGGGTTCCGCGTCTTTACTCGTAGTTTAGCTACTGTCCGATAGGGGTCAGCCGAAAGCTTTTTCTATTTGGTAGATTTTGAGGGTTTAAAGAGACAGTGCGAACAAGGAATGAGGATGGGGTTTACAGGCAAGCAAGTTATTCATCCGGGACAGGTTGCGATAGTTCAAGAATCGTTTGTGCCCACTCAGAGCCAGATTGAGTGGGCCGCGGGGCTTTTAAAATCATTCACAGAGCATCAGAATCGGGGGAAAGTAAGTCCCTTAATGAAATCCGGGAATGTCTCAACAGTATTCTTGTTTTTAGGGGGCGTTTACCTATAAAGGGAGCATGATTGATATGCCCACCATGAAACAGGCGGAGAATGTGATAGAATTAATTAAGCTAGTTAAAAACGCGTAGTATATTTTATTGTAGGATTATAATTAATAAATTTCTTCAAAATTACTGTCTATGACATTGACAGGAACAACCACTTCCTTAAAATGGTAGCCGTCGTTTTCCTGCGCGGAATCGAATTTGTTGTATTTACTTAGATAGGATTTAATTTTATCGTCGGAGACGTAGCCCATAAAAGGCTTTTTGTAAACGTCCAAAACTTTCATACTGGTTCTGGACGACCGGTTTTCCGCGCTTTCGCTACCTAAGAAAAGAAAACTAAGGTAACCTTCTTCAGTTCTTTATTTGCTGTAAGACACAACCTTTAAATGTGCTTTGCAGTACCTGGGTTGGAGGGGTAACGTTCTTTGGTACCGTCCAAGCTCTCGTTGAAATACCTTTCGAACATCCTGGGATTGATGGCGCCCAACACATGACCCAGATCTTGTTGCTTGTTTCCGTTATCTTCGTTTCCATTCTCTCTCATCAGTTCGGATAACTGGGCGTCACTGGCTTGACCCATGAACGGTCGCATGAGGTTTGGTGGAAGGTAGAGACCTACCTGTGGACCTGTGCTTTTCTCTTGTCCTCCTTGTTTGTCTTTTTTATCTGAAAAAAGAAAGAGTTGGTAGAGGTTGCGAGTTATTTTTATTTTCTGTCTCGAATTATTGTTCAGCCAATCTCGTAGTTCGGGCCTACCATTATCGATTCCATATATCGGTCGTTTTACTTCATCCAGTTGTTTTTCCAACTCGCGTTGTTTCTGCGTGGCATACTCTTTCACCAACTCTACGAATTCCTTGAAGCTGGAAGCTCCGAGACTCTTTTTTGCCTGGTTTAGCGACAACACAGTCTCTCCTACCCGCTGCTCCTAAAACGTATTGGTTTTAGGGCCCTTTATTGTTCGACAGCTGTAGCAATACGCACTGCTGTTCTATCTTTTATCCATTTCGAGAAAGCCGCGCCGGATGTTAATTCTTTAGGTTTCTCCCACTTTTGCATTACTCTGAGAGCCTCGGGCTCCAGCACGATCTTTTGTAGCTTCACCTCCGATCGTTGTGGGTTCGAAAGGCCTACCGCGTCCATAAGGTGACCTAAACCCAGAAACCCATTTGGGGGTTGCTCTTGGGCAGAACCTAGTCGGTCCTCGGAGAAGTCTAACACTTTAGGAGCGATCAGCACTGCTTTCTTGCCTAAGCGTTGGTACGTGTTAATATCGGATACGGGTAGTGGAAGTTCGCTTGGAACTATCAACCTTGGTGCTGAGTTGCGAGCTGTGTATAAAACGTTTCTGCAAAATCGTACCTTTTAGTCTTCTTCTTCCTCGCAAGAATACTGCAGTATCTTGCTTTATTACCTTGCGTCAGCTGCCGCGTCATTGATGTGGACCACTGTGTTCTTCCCAGTGTCGACGCTTTCTTTGATAATGTTTCCAAGTTTTTGGAACGTGTCCATAACTCCGAGGGGATCGCTAGGTGCTTCCGGTCTTTCCTCGGTGGGTTTTAAGTTGGTCTTGCTCTCCTCGTCCACCAGTTTGGTGTTAATAGCCCCCAGTTGGGCATCATTCGTTCCCATCTTCGCTATTTCGTATTTGGATGGAATGATAAGATTATTCGGAGGCACCTTCATGGCCGACATCACCGAGTTTTTTGCGTTTCCGATCAAACTTCTCACGTGGAACAAAGGCGCTCTGCTGTTTTCGAGGGCCTGCCTGGTGACAGCGCCAATATGGTCCAGGGTTTTTGGTACGTCAATTTTGGTGCCCGAGTCGCTTACCAACCGCGTCCAGGGAATGTTAGTGGGTTTAAGTACAGCCATTTCCCTTTTTCTTCTCTTCGCAACGGGTCGGTTGCGCCTGTCCCGGAAATCTCTAACCAAACCATCACCGATATAGCCTAAAAAAGTCGAACCTCCTTAACTAGGTTCGTTTAAAGGGCCAGGCCTTTTGGGCGTTTACTTATCATCAGCAGATCTTCGTCATTTTTGGCATTTTCCTTGATGGAACTCAAAATATCTTCATGACGTCCGAGTAGGTCGTCAAAATGCTCCTCTGTCGTCTTCACTGATCGTTTATATTCACGTCGATCATCGAATCTGTGCATAAACCAATCGCTGCGAGCATGCGCTCGGAACAGATTAGGAGATTTAAGGTGTTCAAGTGAACTCCGTTCTATTAAAATACCGCACTTACTGCTATATCTTTGCTGATGCAAGCATGTGTTGTTCTTACCTGACTTGGAATCGTTGATCTCTTCCATCCCTCTAAAAGCTGGATGATTGATCATGGCGTCTCTGACGACATCGAATATAAGATCCATTTCTTTCTGGAAGAAGTCTTCCTTTTGCTCCTTTGTCATGTTTTTCATCTCCTCTTCTAGGCTCGCAAATGCATCAGTCGCGTTGAATACTTTTTCAGGATCTAATTCTGCGCCCAAGTTCTCGCCATCCATGTCCGCGTTGAAGATCGACTGAAGATTTATTTGCTCCTTTTCTGTGCTTTCAGTGAAATTTGTGGTATTAGGGATACTTGTCATCAAGGCACTGTGGAGTGTCGGATCCGTAAGTGGTTCGTTATTGTGCGCGAATGAAGATTCTGTAGAAAGTTGAGGAAGTTGATTATTTAAGACGGCTTGTAATCTTCCATCATTTTCTTCACGCGCGTCTTGAGCTTCTCTGATATTAAATGCTTTTCCGTTATCCACGACAAGAGTAATGTTTTCAGAAGGCCTGTTCAATATGTCGATATTCTTCGGCTCAAAATCTGAAAAGTCCTTTGTATGATCCAACGACGCTTTTGGGCTGTCCGCTTTGCGAGCTTGGTTCTCTTGTTCGGGAGGGCTGAAGTCTTGGCTTGGTCCGTTCCCCTGCTGTTCTTCTAAACCTCCAAAATTCATTTGATCTGCATTTTCGAATAGAATTGTGCCCTCAGGAGGTGCTGGCTCCAGTTCCCTCGGTACCCTGATATGTCTAGCTGGTCCGAAACGTTCAGTGCTGTAAGACGACTCTAAAACCAACGTAGGTATTTAGCTCTCGCTTAAGGAAAATTTAAAGTTATACCTTTATCGTCCTCATTTAAAGCTCTTGAGAATCGACCTCGGTTAGAATCTTCCAATCCCTGCACATCTGGATTAGGATTTGAATCACCTACAAATCCATGTTGATTGAGGAAACCGTGACTCGACACGCCAGCCTGGGCTATTGCTGAAGCCTGAGACTTTGCATACGACTGTCCCGAATGGGCGAAAGCATCCGCTTGTCCATAATTAAGCTGGCTTGAGCCGCCATTGTAACTATGCGCTCCGGCTTGGCTATTAGCGTAAGACTGCTGCTGAGGGTAGGTAGCGGGTAGTACTCCAGTGTTTTGGTTTTGAATGACATGTACGTTGACTCCTGGAGCAACTAATGGAGCCGGATATGGACCTCCAAAGTCCTTTTTCGCATAATGCGTGTGAGAGTGGACGTGTGTGAATCCGTGCTGAGCGTGGTGGGCAGATTTGGGCTGCATAGTTTGATCATCAGTTTCGGCGTTCGTTCGGTAGGAATACGGCAGCGGTTCGGACGGATAAGGATAGGCGGTCGGGTGGCCGTAATAAAGAGGCTCGAAGTGTTCGTCGTGTCCTTTTTTGTCCTTCTTCGATTTCTTGTCCATCTCCTCGCATCTCTCGTCCGCGTCGCGGCCGTGCGGGTGCCTGTAACCCTACTGGTTAGGAACCAAATTGATTATGAACAATTGAAAACTCACCCCTCGTGACGATTTATTTGCTCGTTTTCACCAGCTGGTACGTTGATGTCATTATTCCTGTAGTAGGAATAATAGTTAGAAGGGTAAGGTCGGGGATATTCATCGTGATGGTGTTTGTGTTTGTGTTTGTGGGGTTCCGGGCTCCTCTGGCGGAAACCTTCATTCTCAAGTCTAGGATAATGCCAGAATTAAACTTTTGTAGAGCAGAGTGAATTTTTAATCGATATTGGTTACCTCAAATCGGGAAACGGAGACGAAACTATCTGCTCTGTGATGAAGTCCGGCGAGGTTCCGAGCTGATGCCTATGATAAAAATTACATTTGGCTATTAGGGATGCAAACTATACATTACCATTCATTTTCTGCTTGTCTTAGCATTTGAGAAGCACGTGCATCAAAGTTGTTCATGTTCCACATATTTTCAAGCTGCATGTCGAATTGGTTTAACTCGTCGGGACTCGCACCGACGACGGAATCCATTTCACCCGATGCGAATCTAGGCTAAAATGAGGCGTTAGCTGTTAAAGGACGAGATTGTGTAACTGTTACCGTTTGAAACCCACGAAACTCGTCCGTTGATGGTCTAAATTCTTGTACATCTGCCACTACTGTGTCAGTGCTCAATTCGTCATTGTTGATGTGTTCTGGGAACTTTTTCGGTGGCTCTTGGATGTCGGGCTTTAACAATTTGTTGATCGCTGCGTAGAACGCGGGGTCGTCGTTATCGTGGTGTGCCTGGGCAGCTGCGTATCAAGAACATCCTCAATTTTACCATAGAACGCACTTACCGATTGTAGGTAATGGTGACCATGATGACCCCCGTGCTTTTTGCCGTATTTCTTGTGGAGGGGAGCCTCTGGATCTGCAGATTCCCTGGATACCTCGTCTTGGATCCATCGGCCATCACTGAAATCGACATGGCGATAACTGTATCACCAAAAAATGGAACAGAGGCTTACTATTGAAGTATTGCGGGATGATTTTCTGGTGTCTCGTCTCTGAAGCTCGCACTATCGCTATGGTTTTGGTTAGGTCGAGAGTCTAATATCCTTCCTTGTGGGACGGACTCTAAAAAGGCGGTATTGCTCTGCGGGTTCGCTTTTGACAAATCTTGAATAGACTCGTGGAATGCGAATCTAGGCTAAAATGGGGCGTTAGCTGTTAAAGGACGAGATCGCGTAACCGTTACCGTTTGAAACTCGTCCGTTATCGGTCTAAACTCTTGAATATCTGCCACCACTGTGTCCGTGCTCAATTCATCGTTGTTGATGTGTTCTGGGAATTTTTTCGGTGGCTCTTGGATGTCGGGCTTTATCAATTTGTTGATAGCTGCGTAGAACGCAGGGTCATCGTTATCGTGTTGGGCCTGGGCAGCTGCGAATCAAGAACACCCTTAATTTTACGATAGAACGCACTTACCGACTGTAGGTAATGGTGACCATGATGACCCCCGTGCTTTTTGCCGTGTTTCTTGTGGAGGGACGCCTCTGGATCTGCAGATTCCCTAGATATCTCATCTTGGGTCCATCGGCCATCACTGAAATTGACAGTGCTATATCACTATATCACAAAAAAAAGACTTACTATTGAAGTATCGCGGGATGATTTTCCAGTTGCTCGTCTCTATCGGTTTGGTTTTGGTTGGATTGAGCATCTAATACCATTCCACGTGAGACGGGCTCGAAAAAGGCGTTATTGCTCTGCGGGTTCGCTTTCGATAATTCTAGAATAGCCTTGTGGAACGCCAAGTCTGGGTAGTGCCCATTTTGTGGTTTGTCTGTAATTCCAAGTTCAGCTTTGTAGAGGTGTCCATTGTAATCGGGTGTGGGTCCGGGAATGTTGTGGTTATCTACGTCACGTCTGGAGCGTAAACTGTAGCTATACGGTTTCTTGAATTTGGCCGTAGCTGCCGCCAGCTTGGTCCGGGTGGTTAACGCGTCAGAAATCAGTTTAGCCCTGTTGCTTTGCACCTTTGCGAGTACCATTAGGGTACCAGGCGTCAGAAATATCGATATAATCGGGAGGAGTACGTGAATCCATAGTATGAGAAGTTGTTGAGTACGCTAAAACAAAATAGGATAAATCAATGACGTCCACGGACATGGATAGAGTCGGGGAGCTTTGGGAACATTTTGATTAAAATATGCCTGCGAAAACTAGCCATGGTTTCCACTACATCAGCGTTTGGAACTTGACTGACTTTTCAAGGTTTTTCCTGACATTTAAAGTAAAATTGCAAGATTTTTTCCAAACCGTGCGTCCCAGCGAAAATGAAAAAAAAAGCAAAGTTGTTTGTGTTTTAACCGCTCCACCGCTAAAGTGTTGAAAGTGAGCGCCACTTAAAGTTTTTAAAAATTCAAAAATACGAAATGCTTTAGTATTATATAGTCCTCTACAACATACTACATCCGAGGCGTTTTAACTTTGGGTATGGAAAATATTTGCAATTTTCTCCTCGAAAACAAAACTTACTTCGTTTTTAGCTTTAAAAACAAAAAAATACTTTCGATCGCATTTTTGGTTCTTAACTGAACAGACGGGAGTAGAAAATAGTATATTATGCAACAAGTGTGGTGAACGCCATTTGACTCACGAGTTTATTTGACGCGAGCGGAGCGCAGCGGAGCGAGTTTTTAATAAACGAGTGACTTAAAAGGTTTACCGAACGTGTTGCATACTATACTTTTTATATGACCGTTAGTTTTTGGGTACATTTTTGCAAAACAACACGAATACATTCACTGACATGACCGTCAAAATTGACAAAAGTCAAAATTCAAAGCGTGGGAAATATCTCCGAAAAAATCCGATCGCTCCCAAATCCGTGCGGTAAAATCCCGTAAATGTCCGAAATGGCTCGGATTCGTGGGAAACGAAACTGACGTGGTACTGAATACTGAATTAGCAAAGCCAAACTAAATTAAAAAAACATTTCGTTTAAATTGTAACCGATAACCGGTTTTCCACCTTTTTCTTTTGAAAATCAAGAATTCTGATAATAAATAAAAAAATGACGACAATGGTTAACTAAGCTGACCTTAAAAAATAGTGACACAATTTGCAAAAATGGGCACGACACAATCGACACAAGCGCGCTCGGAAAGTCGCACTTTGCACTTCGTTACTTGTTGAGTACGCTTGATTTTAAAATAGGCAGTAGAAAAAATATCGATTGTGACGTGGCTGTTTTTGGAAATTATGCCACTATTTCTTTTCCTACAAGTAAAACGAAAAAAAAAACTCAGAAATACGTGACTTCAAAGTTTCTTTTTTTCCCTTTGTGGGAATTCTGGATGATCCGAGTTATGTAATGTAATTTGGATCTGAATTTTTTTGTTGCCTTAGTTAAAAGAGAAGAACGATGGACTATTTTTCTAGAAAAATTAATTAAGTGGTTAATTTACTTACCATATTCGTAAGTTCTGGCAACGTGCGTGCACCAAATCACAGCACAACAAGACTGGTGCCAAATTAGCTGATCAGTTTCGGCCTCAAAACTGTTAACGGTCAGCATTTTTTTTGTTTTCGTTACACTTTACCTACATACAACTACTTGCTTATTTTGCAAATTCCGGCACGCCAATGAAACAGCGAACGGTCGACTTTGTCTTTATTTAAAAATACAATACATCCAACAACGCGTTAAAATTATATACAATAAAACTATAGTATTAATATGTATTTTCATCAAAATGGGTTCGAACATTCCTCAGCGGTTAAATTTTAAAATACCACGAAACATTAATCTATTTACAAAAAAAAATGCGCGTCTTATAAAGCGAAAAACAATCGTGTGACATACTCGACACGAACGACGTCAGTTCTCAATGCTCGACTCTTCGAATCTTCCTCTTCCGTTCCTTAAGAGACGGGCCTATAAATCCGACTGATCTGGGCCTAAAAAAATCAAAACATATCAGCAAATCCCAAGTAGGCATCGCCAAGCGACATAGTCCGTTACTTATATACAGAGTGTTTGTTAAATATTTGTAGAGACATTTTTAAAAAGGTGTTTTTCGAAAGGTTGATCATAAACACATGTCACAATAAAAAATACACAATCACTTCAAGCTTTCTAATGTGTTTTTAATATAGGAGATCGACATATCGACTTGAAATTGAGCTACCGCAAGTAAGGACTACTTTAGGGAGATTTATAAAACGCACGGCGCTTCCGCTTTACAACAGGCAGGTCTTAAATTCATTTCAAAATCCATCAAAGGTTGTAAAAACGGTATATCGGTTGGAGAACTCTAATTTCTTACTATTATATTTTTCTTACACTCGGAGAATAAAATAATATACCGGGGGGTTACTATTTAACTTAGCTCGTTTCTAGTTCAAGTTAAAATCGCACTCAATCGTTTTTGTAGTAAAACAAGAAAATAATCAGAAAATCGAAAGAAAATCTTTATAATTTTTTTGCAACCTAAAATTTTCCCTACTAAAATTTAATAAGATTAACATTTTTTTAAATCAAAAATTCTATTTTAAAACAGACAAATTTCTGACCTATAAGATTTGCCTAATAAAAATCAAAAATTGAAATTATATAGAAATTTCAGATTTTTTACTTAAAAATTATAATTGCCCCTATGAAAATCTTATACAACCAGTTCAATTAAAAAAATTTTAAATTTCTTTTTGGATCTTTTTAGAAAGGGGGGTCAAAAACTCCCAGTAAAATTTTTCAAAATCTAAAAAAATTGTGTTTTCAAATAATTAGATCAAATTTACCTTCAAATTGAATTTTTTATATATTTTCTTTAACTAAATTATTTTTTTTTACTATTTAACATATAATAAATAATCCTGTATAATTTGTATCTCTATATATATTATTTATAACAAAATTATATATTATTATTTTAAGTAGTTTTTTTAACGCCCTGTAGAAACCCTTTGTAACCTTCGTCAGAGATTCTTCATTAAGAGTTTGTAAATAACAAACACACTGCATTTCTCACTCCCTCGCTACAAGCGGAACATTTTTATTTGCCTTTAAGATAAACCTTTGTATGCCTCGGTATAATGATTAGATTACACAAAACCAATAGAAGTTACTTGTATCCATGCACTATTAACCAAAACAACAAAATGCGAGACGTGCTGATTAACAATTACCTCTCAGTAGCAAACTACACCTTTTCGTTTTAGTAAAATTAAAACATGGATCATGATCGTTATACACAATGTCAGTCACAGAAAATGAATTTGTGTGGCCGGTTAAACATCGTACAGGGGGTTCTCCGTTAACTCGATTAAGAACGACAAGTTTGCCAAAAATGCGAATAAAAATTGCCGTCAATAAAGGTGGAGTTTACTCCGGAAGAGATTAAAAAAAAAAAAATTGGCACGCGGCGCCCGAATCTACGGAAAAAACACGTAGATTTTCAGCCGCGCTCGGCTACCGAATACCAACAAAAAAAACATCAAGTCTCTAGAAAAAGACGTTCAAAAATTTGCCAAATTTTTTCTACCTCAAACAATTTACCGGAGGGGTCCAACAACAATTTTTTTCGCAAAATTTTGCCGTCGTTCGTCTCATGACGTGTTCGTTACTTCGTTCGAATTTTGGGTTGGGGGGGAGGGGATGCGATCGGAACCGTCCAAAACCTTGGCCGACATTATTCTCGGACACTTGGCCAAGAACCCCTCGATCACGCCCAGCTTGCTCGAGCTTATCCGCTCTTGCAGCAACTTGAACGCTTTCGAAGGTACTATCTCGTTGGTTTCGTCGTACTCCTTACCGGCTTCGTTCCACGACTCGTAGTACTGCTTGTACTCGTTACAGTTCGAGTAAAACTCTTGAGGAGTCTGCGCGGGGGTGCTGTTCTCCGTGCCGCTCCTCAAAGGCGACAAAAGACTGCTGAACTCCTCGGACGGAGTCTCGGTATTGTCGAAATCTTCTTGCAGAATTTTCACCGCTGCCGCGTAGAGCTTCTCTTTGGGCATGTTCTTAAACGCTTGCCCTTTGCGACGCAACAATATGCTCTGAACTAACTCGTCCACGAGTTTCTCATTCACCGCCCCTGCCTCGCACTTGTGGAGCGGCAAACTCAACCTGCTCCTGCCGTCCTGGCTCCGATTTCTCTCGTCTTCCTCTTCTTCGTCGCTGTCGCATTCCTCCTGCAGTAACTTAAACAACCTGGAGTGCGTGGCCGCGCGTTCGTATCTGGTCATCTTGCGCAACTCCGGAAACTCTTCCGAGTCCGAAATGTGCCTCGAAATGTCTGAAATCACCCCCGAGTCGCCCTCCTCCTCTTCGGAGTACTCTTCGAACGACTTGATGCTACTTTTGGTCGAAGCCGTTTTGCTACGAGCCTCGCCCGTCACTTCTATGGCGGATATTTTACTCTTGACGCACACCATTACCTCGTCCTTTTCCTTGATTTTGTTTTGCTTCTGAGCGATGCTGTTTCTGAGCGCCTCGATACGCTCTTTGATCGTTTGAGGTTCGGCGGTATCCGGTTTGATCTCCTCCGACTTTTGCTCTTCGTACGAAGAAGATGACGACGATTCTGAATCCGACGTGTCTTCGTCGACATCGTGCGGGTTACTTTCGGCGATTTGCGTGGCATTTTCGACATCGCTCTCACGTACTACGCTCTCGACAGGGCTGCTAGTTAAAGAGCCAGCGGAACCGGTAACTGTGAGATCTTGTTCGTTGCCAGCAGGTTGATCACCTATGGATTCCTCATCGTAGCCGTAATTCGTAGCGTAGCTACGTCTTCTGGGCAAGAAGTCGTCGTCGTCGTTCTTGATTTGACTCCAGAAATCTATCTCCGATTCTTCCGAGTCGCCGGACTCTTTCGCTTCCTCTACATCTGGAGATTTTTCGTCGGCGATCAAGTCGGTCTCTTCGTAACTCCAGAGGCCAGAGTTTCTCTTAATCTGCTCCAGTTTCTCGACGAAACTTTCCATTTCCATCAGTTTGCCGCTGTCGTTGGTCAACTCGAGCAGGTCCGACTCTTTGAGTTTATCGTAAACGCATTTTGTCGACTTGCTGACTTCGTCCTTTTCGCCCCAAAACTGGCCGGCACGAGCTTCTTTTTTTCTCCTGAGCACGACCGGCTGCTCGAGAGGCACCTGGTCTTCTTCATTTTGCAAACTTACAGGCGACGCATTTCTCGGTGTGAGATTGGGACTTATAAATGTGAACAAAACTTGGGTTTCTTCCTCGAAAGCGTCCATCGCAACATCGAGCTCTTCTCTTTTTCCTTCAGTGACGTGGATACCAAAAACTTTGGACACCATACCGTCGTCCAAGTAGTCGTCTTCGTCGCTTTTGTCCGCGATGGTGGTCGTCTCGCTGATCACGCTGCTTGGTCTCAAAGACCTCGACTCCGTCCGTTCGCTTTCCTCGAATATGATACTCAACTGATGAGGAATCGTTTCTTCCTCTCCTTCCACTATCTGAATTTCTTCGTCTTCGTCTTCAGTCGACTCGTCAGAACCTGACGTTTCTGTATCAGTCAAATCTTCGTCGTCGTACACGTTTATGTTGGGCACCGACTTGATGGACTTTAGCCTGCAAATTTCATTCGGTTTTGCATCAGAAGGTTGGTAATGTTCGTCTTCTTCGCGCGTGTCACGGTTTGTGGCTTGCTTCGGAACTTTTTCCTGTGAACTTGAGGGTGTGACTACGACCCTGGGGGTGGCGGACTTGCTCCTGACTTCGAAATGTTGCCTAAGCGCTTGCACGCTGTTTTCTAGACTATTCCTGCGTTTTAAAGATGGCCGGCGGTTATAACTTGCCATTTCGTCTGCCGACGAATACCCGCTCATCTCCTCACCGTCCGAATAAAAAGGATACGCGGGCATAAATGGTGGATATCCGTAATAGTAACCATAATAGTAAGGGTCAAAGTAAGGAGGGTACATTGGATGAAAATGTGCGGAAGTTCTCGAACTATCCTTAGTCTCACCCTCGCTATCGATCTGCTCGTGAGGTTTCGATGGGTAATACGCGGGCAGGTAACCCCAGAAGGGTGGGCCGTACATGGGCGGCGGCGGAAGCGGAGTATTTCGGCCTTTAGGCAAGGGGGTGGTTCTTCCGTTTGCGTAAGACGCATGCGAGGGTGTGCTTCGTCCGCTTTTAACGCTCGCCTCGTCAGTTTTACACGATTCCGATCTTTGGTCTTGGTAAAACGCGTGCCAGTATGGCGGGGGAGGATAATATGGATAGTTGTACGGGTTAAAGGTCGGGTTGTAGGGTATTTCTTCGTCGTAGTTGGCATTGGCTAGAAGAAAATTTTGATTTTTGAAATTGTCGTCGTGACCGAGACAGTTAGTTTGGATTGATGATTCATGCGGTTTTTTTTGCAGATGAAACTCACCACAACTGTCCGGAGCGGTCATGGCTTGCAAAATTTTGAATGACCTACTCGGAATATTGCTTCCCATGTATTTCTTAGGCTCGGGTACTACTTGTTCGCTTGGATGAACGTACCGTTGCTGCTGGGTATCCGCTAAACCATGGAAATAGCGCTTTGAATTACATTCACAGAGTTAGACTGCACCTACCTTCCGCTGGTACGGTTATTCTAGGGTCCACTCTACCTCCTGGACTTTGAGATACTGAAAAACGCGTTTATTATTTAACGTACGTTACAGGATAGAAGCGTTAGTTTTTAGTTAATCCCCACCACCGAAAAAATTAAATAAAGTATATTGTACCGCTTTCATCGAGCAGCCTGAAAATTTTTGAAGGTATGTATCCCCCTCTATACCTCGGATTTTCGTAGTCGTAACAGTGGTTGATGTCTAAAAAAGTCACGCAAATGAAGACTCAAAATAAAGAGAAAAATGGCCTCCTAATATACGTTGGTTTGTTGGACCCTTACCGAGAACCGAAAATATTTTAAAAATTTAGATAGTGTCAGGTCTGTGCTGTTAATTAAAATATTTCGAATAATGCAATATACCTTATATTAGATTATAGTTTTAAGTTCACTTTTTTGATTTAAGAAATATTAATTAATTTTCTCTTTTTTTTCCCTCGAAAATCTGGATACCTCTAAAACTTAACTTTCGTTGGTTTGAGAAAATTTAATTACTATAATAAACAAAGAGAGAGTGTCAAAACTTGAGTTGTCCCGTATATTACTTAATATTTTGAAAGATAATTAAATTCCCCTTAAAATGATGTAGAATAGTTGAATTTTCGATACTTATAATAATATAATTGAACCGATAGTAAAGCAATTAGCGTTTAAAACAAGGAGTGTTTTGTTTGAGAAAATTACGTTTTGACTCTTTTTGCATGCCACCTCATAATAATTAATCTTAAACGACCATGTATATACTATTATATATTTTGGAGAAAAAACTAATCCAGAATAATACAATCAGAAGAGACTCTTATGTGCGTAAATTTTCAAAAAATAAAACTGTTTTCGGTTCCCCGTAAACCATCGCCCGATAGATAAAGCGCACCTTGTTTGAACCGATCGTTATCATTGATCTTCATCTTCCTGACCTGTTCCGGCATCTGTTGGGTGTACCTGGGGGAATGGTGGGTAACGGGAGTGTCTTCATCTTCATCGTCATCGGTTCGGGTGATTTTCTGGATCACTTTAAAGGAATTCGATTGCGGCGGCTGCGTGCCCCAGCTCAGTTGACGACTCAGGTTTCTAAAGTTAACTCGCTAGAAACCTGACTAATTTAGCGCATCCAACTTACCGTTCAGCGCCTGGTGTAGAAGGCGGAGTTCTTCCTTCAACGTGGATGGGAATTATTCTGGCACCCTGGCTGTCAACTTTTGGCTGAGTTTGTTGCTTTGGTTGCGTTTGCGGAGGAGCTTGTGGTCTTTGCTGCTGCGCGTTAATTCTAGGTCCCGGATGCTGAAGAATAACAGGTTGGGTTACATACACGGCGTTCGGTTTCTTCTCATCTGGCTCCTGGGATTGTGGGGGATAAGGAACTGCGCGGATCTCAATGTGAACGGGGAATACATTCGAGGGATGTTGATCTTGAGTGCTGGGAGATTTTGGAGAATATTGCTGCTGTGGAGGTCGCGCGGGTTGCTGCGGAGGCTGTTGCCATCTCTGCTGTGCATTGTTTGCCGGCGAAGGTTGCGGTCCTTGGTTGATACTCTCTTCCTCTCTTCTAGCCCACGGGGGCAGTTCTTGTTGTGATTGTACTGGTTTAGCTTGCCACGGTTTGGGAGCTTCTTTCAGGGTAGGCGTGCCCGGCGATTGCTCTTGTCTTTCGGGAGGACTCGGCGGCGAAACCACCCTCTTCTGTTGATTTTGCTGGGCCTGTTGATTAATTGGTGGTATATATAAAGAACCGACGTTTGAATTAATGGCACGCTCGGGTTGCCTAGGTGCCGGAGGTTGGCGCTCAATAACGGGTGGTTGAAAGGTTTGAGGTTGAGGTTGATACTGTTGAGGCCTTTGCGATTGCTGGGTAGGAGGTGAGACAGGTGCGGGTCTTTCGATAACCGACGGCTGATATCTTTGCGGTTGAGCCGGAAAACTCGGTTGCTGCTGTGGCTGAACTGGAGGAGACCTTTCAATAACTGGCGGTTGATATCTCTGAGGTTCCGGTTCGTATTGTCGCACCGGCGGAATTTGGTAATTGGGTTGCTGCTGCTGTACCGGAGGCGACCTCTCGATAATCGGAGGTTGGCCAGATTGTAAAGGTTCGTATTGCCTTTGAGGGGGCGACGGCGGAGCCTTGCTTTGCTGCGAATACATCTCATCGACGAACGTTTTCCGCGGAGCCGGACCTCCCGTTTTCCTCAATAATGTCATGGGGTTTTCGGGAATTATTTTCGTCATGTCAGGTCTTTCTACCACCTGGTTGTCGGTCATCGTCACCTTCTGAGTCGGTAGTGGTCCCATCGGCGGGGGAGGCGGTGGAGGCATAGATTTTTGCATCGGTGGCGGCGGGGGAGGTTGAGGGAATACTTGCACCTAAAATTTAAAAATCTAGCTTGCATTTAACAACTTAAAGGTCGCGTACTTGGGTTTGAGGTCTCATGGCGGCCAGAGCGGACGGAGGCAATGGTCCAATGTTTTGCGCCTGCTGGGGCAACTTCGGGACGTCGCCGACTCCTCCCAGATTAGCGTTACGCTCTATCCTTCTTTGCATCCGGGGCGAACGGACTTCGGACAAGTCAATGCCTCCGGGCGTGTAGGTGAAGGGTTTTTTGTCTTTGGTCATCATGGCGTTCTGGACGCACGCTGGAGGATCCATGATTTACGGTAGCGCTGAGTTTGATTTCGCAAGCTGGAGTTTTGATTATAACTGCCTCGATTCTTCGTGTTTAGTTATATCAGAAAGCCGCGTCTGCCTGGAAAATAGAAGCTAATTTTTAGCAAAATTTCGAGTCACATTATGGTTGTTACGGGTCACTTTGTCGGAGAAATTTTATATCGGAAAAATCCCTCGTGTGTAAATGAATTCGCGTCCGCGTAACCAAATCGCGTGCGGCTTTAATAGTTACGCCATTTTGCCTATGATAATCGCTTTAAAATGCTTATAAATAACAAGCAGACATTGAACGTGAATTATTCTCAGCCCGCTGTACATCCAAGCAAAATAGTCTGACGACAACATGGGAACCTGGGTAAGAGCTTTGCAGCGAAAAAGCAGAAGTTATTTGAACGTTTCTCCTCAGGTTTTGGCGAGTGTGTATCTAGGACTGGCCCTGCGGCTTTCCTCCGCAGTAATCGTCACGGATTCGACGTTGGAAGGACCCAGAGGGATTAATGCAGGAGTTATTCCGGAACGCAGCGACACGAAACTGGTTCCCCAGCAAAAAGCCGCTAGGTCGGACTACCACCCTCACGTTGCCTCCGATTATCATGGCTATCAGGTCGACGAATCGCCTGCAGAATTTGGCAGCATTGAACACGACAAGGAATCGTACGGAAGCGTGGACTTGGGCGACCACGCCCTCTTTTTGGATACTTCGGGTTACAACCATTACCAAAGCCATACTAGTTTCAATCTAGAAGGCCCGAAGCAGCTGGAAGTGATAAAGACCGACAGCTATCACAAAGAAGTTCCGTCTTACGACACCGAGAGCTTTCAAAAAATACATCACGGAGGGGAAGAAGAGCACGCCGAGGTTCACTATCATCAGCACAAGCATCTGCACAAGCACAAGCATAAGCAGGAACACTCGCACAACCATAAAGACGAGCACAAACATGACCACGGACACAAGCACCAACATAAACAACATCACCAGCACAAACACGAGCAAGAACATCAACACTATCACTTGAACAAGCATCATCATCAACACAAGAGCGGCCATCTGCACAAACATGAACAGGAGCACAACCACTATCACAAGAGCTCTCATAAACATGATCACAAACATAAAGCCGAACACAAGCATCAAGCATATCAATATCATAAGCACGAACACAAAGACGAGCATAAGCATAAACATGATCAGGATCATAAGCACGGGCATCATCACAGTCACAAGCACTGGAACGAACACAAGCACGAGGAGCATCACAAGCACGATTACAAATCGCATAAATTTTAGTGTATTACTGTTATGTTAATGTTTATTAAACGTTTTGTTTTTTGTATACCCATTTGTTTTTATTTTAACGGTAGTAATAATAATCACGTTGAAGGGACGCAATATCCAAAATAGCGAAATAGCAGCGACAAAAAAATGGCGACGATTTTCTAGAATCAATAAATATAAGAAAAGTTTTCAGTTTGGAACAAAAATTTTTTAACAGTATAATATAAAACATAGTGTTAAGGCAATAACAATTTTCGTAATTTTAATTTTTATAAGCTTTGGAAATTTCATTGTCTGTGCAGTGATTATAACAAAAATGTATTAGAAAGTCGCTTAGTTATAAAATCCGACAAATTTGAAAATTTATTCACACAGATTTTTGGGAAAAGAAAAATTATTAAGCAAAAAAATATATCAACTTTGGATTTTGGTACCCAAACTTACGTTTTCATTGATTTTTTTTTCTGTCTATCAGCAGAAAGCTGAAAATAACAAATAAATTTAAAAATCAAGAGAATTTTGAGAAATCGGTAGATATGTAGACCTACATTGAATTTAAGGCAATTTATCATAAATATTTTAACCTCAGTTGACGTATGAAAGTTACTTAACCTACCCTTCAGAAAAATCCGGGTTTTAAACATTTCCAAAGCTTGCTTCATTTTTAATACTCACAATTATAGAACATAACCCTAAAAAGCACAATCAAATTAAAAAAAAACGACAAACAAATTCAACAGGCCTATCCGAAAATTCATTAAAACGTACATTTAAAAATGTGGTTTTAATAAGTAATTTACTTTTTAAAAATCATACATGGTTTTATTGCCCAACCTTAAAAAAATTAGTTCCACAATTTCATATTTTTACAAATTCATGTAACTTAAACAATGTATTATTCAAAGTCGACAAAGCCATTGGCAATAATTTTTGTTGTAAATTAATAGGCCCACTTCCGACATTTCCAAAATTTAAACGATTTAAATGGAATGGAAGGTTAAAGAACTCGTAAAGAGGAAACACGACAGAACAGAACTGTTCCTCATTCAGCAAAGGTTATCCAACCGATATCTTGTTTCGTTGATATAATAGTCGGCGATTATTAATAATTCATTAAGGCAGTTTTTCACTTTTTGTTCTTGTTTGTTTTCAATTAATCAGCGCCGTTTAATTTCTCTATTAACGGTCGAACAAAATCGATGGACGTTAGTGACACACTGCTCACGAAAAAATGCGATCCCGCGCACATTATTTATATATTTAGATGAAAATAGGTGACGAATCTAAAGGCGTTAATGCTGTCGATGACAATATATTCAAAAGAGATCGAACAAGCAATTTTATAATTTTTAATTGCGAGAAAATTAATACAGTTCTTATTAACCAACAAAAAGTCAGATTGTGAATGTTGCTTTTCACTACAATGAGTAAAAATGTCAACCTGTTTGAAATTTGACATTTGATTTGTTACTTATGATTATATCTATAATTTCAGTGAGTTAAAACTTTTCTAACCTTTACAGGTAATAAATTGGACAACATAAGTTGATGGAATGGGTGGAAACATCTATTTCATTCCATAAATGTAAACCATAGTCTATCACCAAAGGAGCGATTAGGTTATGCTGAGTGCAGCAGATTTTTGTTGAGCAGCGTATTGCGTTACTTTGAATTCTTCCGAAACTTATCGTGCGTGAAACAAGATGCACCGCCGCACGTGATACACGCCGCTGTACTTTTTCTTTAGTATAAATAACAATATCTGTTGATCAAACTTCAGTAATCCTCAGCTTGTGTGCGAAATCATTGAGCACCATGGGAGTCTTGGTAAGGCATTTTATAAAATCGAATTAAAATTTTTCCTCATCAAAAATCCTTCAATTTTGTTTAGGACGTCGCCGCCGCCATTTTGCTTAGCCAGGCAGTCGCGTTGGGGTACGTGATCCTTGATCCAAATTACCTTCAGAACTCGGAAACCGACCTAGAAGATTCGATAGCGTTTGATGCGGATCCTCAAGCCTACTATGTATATTACGACGCCGCGCCTTCTATTACCACCGAAGAACCTTTATTCCAAAATATTTATGTTATGCCAAGGCAGAACTCAGATGCGCCAATCTATGATGGCGGCGAAAGCCACCACCGTCGCACTTACGAAGCGGACGCAGAAGCCAGCGAATACTCCATAGGACCGAAGAAGAAGAAGAATGAAATCCATTATCACCAGCACAAGCATTTACACGAGCACGAGCACCAACAGGAGCATCACCACAAACATTTAGAGCAACACCAGGAGCATCACGGCCACGAGCACGATCACGACCAGCATCATAGGCATTATCACGAAGCCAAGCACGAGCACAAACACGATGGAGAGCATTGGCATAAGCACGAAGGCCAGCACAAGCACCAACACCTTCAAAAGCACCAACACAAGCACGAGAGCGGGCACAAGCACGAACACGATCACGACGAGTGGCATCAGCATCACGAGAAACACCAACATGCTCACGATCATGAGGGTAAACATTACCACGAGCAGTGGAGTAAGCACAATCACGATCATCATCATGATCATAAGGAGGAGGGAAAACATGATCATAAGCATCATCACGGGCATGCGCACAAATCTCACGTTCAAGGGAAGGGTAAGGAGAGGATAAAGATTTACGTGAAGAAGCACAAACATCATTACGATTGAGGGTTGTCGTTGTTCATTAAATTTTTAGATATTTGAGGATTTGTTTCGATTGTTCTCTGGCCCGCCCAATTAGGGCAATGTTAAATATAAAATGGTGAGTCACTGCGATATACGTCTGGCGGGAAGTTTGTTTTAAAATCTAAAAATAAGCTAACGTACGTGACTTGAAATTTCACGTTAAGCAGGGTTAAGTTTAAACGCTAATTTTAACCGGGATGTGGGTCAAGGGAGTCGTAAACTGCTTTAAAAAGGATTTGCAAAAAAATATATTTGAGGTGCGCTGGGTTCGAGAATCTACGGCACACATTAAGGTCGAATTCCGGGAAAATTCAATCTTGGCTAGAAATCGCACTTAAATTGCGTCAAAACACCGACAAAATCCCGATTATATTTAACCAGTTCCAACACAATGGCCCTCGCTTCCTCATGTCGGGGCCAAGTATGCCGGTAGACACGTAGACAAGCCTGTGCGCGAAACGACCAGTACAAATTCCGAACCTAATCTAAAATTTGACATTCTAACATCGGTTTTGGCGCTAAATTTGAAATATGTGTCGTAGAAATTAAAAACGTTATTGAAGTATGCAGTTGAAGTCTTTTATGTATTCTTTAAATTTTTAAAGACGCATGGACGTATTTTAGACGCACCCAGATTAAGCAGAAATCTTATACAGATATCATTAAATATACTACCCAACTAACTAACCAAAACCATGCAAATCAGTTTAATTTTTAAAACATACCAAAATATTTTTTTAAAATTTAATGTTTTCCTGGTGTCAATTTATACTCAATACCCAATACATTTACTGTATTTAATTAACTAAAAAATATAGTATCATCAACGTCACTTAGATATACAATAATATATTTTTTAATATACCAATATTAGCAAGTCAAAAAAACGATGTAATTACAAAAAAATTATTGGTTAGTCTAAAGTCTAGATATAAAAGTAACCAATAAAAATCTCGTCTAATTAAAATAAAAGTAAGATGAGTGTATAAAACAACATGAACAAACAAAATGGTATGAATAAACCAAGTTATAGACAATTCAAATGCAATGAAAAATTTAAAAAACAAAATAATGCGAAATTAATAAAACAAAGACGAAAAATAAATTAAAATCAAACCAAAAAGTATAAGATTCCAGAGTTAAAAACAGAAAAAGATTAAAATATCAATGACTTTCTATTCATCTTCATAAAAGATTCATACTCTTTGAGGGTGTAGAATGTATCGCAAAGAAGAAATTCCTTAAAACTCATGATGATGCTTATTTACAACATGGTATGTTTTATGTTCCTACCTAGTTTACTTTAATTTTTAAAAGTAAAAGGAAATAATTTTAATATAAAAACTGAAGCAAAACTTAAAATTCTATATGTCTTAAAAATTCATGTACACGATTGTCTGTAGGTAATATTATAAAGCAATCTTACCATTCGTTTCTGAATCTGAAAAACTTTCTCAACCTTTCTGGATCCACTCCATAAAAATATATTATAACTAATTATGCTGTGCTATAGTATACGCTCTTTAGCTCATTTGTGCTCAGAGAGTTCTTTAATTGCACTTTTATTAAGTCTTTTACACAGATTTTCGATATCCTCTCTCCAGTCTAAATTCTTATAAATTTTAACTCCCAATTAGCAAAATCAAACATAAAACCGTTAAAAAATCTTCGGAGTGCTGGAGATTGGTAAATGTGATTAATACTACCTCTTATCCCCAGCCTATCCAATGAGGTCAAAAAGTAGAAACATAATGTATTGGATTTTGTCCATACCATTAAAAATGTGCTTAAAAGTGTAATTTTCCGGAACCTCACGTTCTCCTTTCTTAAAAATTGATACAATTTCTTGCTTGTTTAAGCATTTGAGGGAATAGTATGACTAAAAGTTCGACACTGTATTTCCTTACCAAGTTAACAAATATGTTATCTGGTTCCGAATATTTCTTGGTCTGTTGTGAAAAAAAAACATAGTTTCTGTAATAAGTGACCCATCCAGACAATTGATTACTAAAATGCTGGTCTAATTTATTTTCTATAATGCTCGACAAGTACCTGCCAAATTCGTTAACTATAACTTTCTGGTCAGTTATTAATTTGTCAGATATATTTATTTGGGTTATAACGTTCTTCTTTTTTAGATCATTAGGTTTTTTTTTTTGTTTTTAGGTTATCAATTAAGTATCAATTACTAAAATAAGAATTACTATTTCACACCGGTATAGATAATCTAATATTATTAAATTAATAATTTAAATTAATTATATTATATATATTTATTATATTAATTAATATATTTATTATATTAAAACTAAGCACATTTGAATCACGTGTACAGTTTTATTAGGCATTGGAATAAATTACAGTCTTTAACAGAGGCAACATTGTTCAGAATGAAAATTTATCAATTATTTTTTACAGTTATATATACATTACATATATCTGTTAACAAAGATTTTGTCCTTTTGTATGTTTGATTCAAAAATCCTGATAGTGGACACACTTTTTTTATCAGGTATTGGAGTAAATTACAATATTGATAACCGAATTAAATTTAAAAATCGACTCTCAATCAAAAGCAACATAGTTCAGAAATTAAATCAATATAATAAATGTTCTTTTCGTTATATTGATATATTACGTATTAAATAAACAAAAACTTTATTAATTTTTGAAAATGAGGTTTATTCGCCCAGAACCTGAATAAAACAACTGCAAATTTTGAAGTTTCATTGGAAGAACTGGCTCGCGAATTTTAGTACATTATCCAAGCTTCCGACACCTTACCCCTCACCCCAAACGACGTTCTAGTCAAACGTCAGGCAGCTGGCAGGTGGTCCTCGTGCTTCGAAGACCAACCAAAGCAACTAGCGAAATCCTCTACCTAACTCACTTTTCATGGGAACGTATCGCGTCGAAGTTCCCTCACGATTTGGTGCCCGCCCGAAATGATCGAATTTTTGAAATTAGAGACGTAACAGCGTGTGATGAGTACCCGCGAGTACCGGTAGCCTTCGCGAACCATCGACTGCATGGATTCGGTTCGGGTTCTTTTTCTTTAGCAAATGGCAACCGCCTCGCCATATGGTTCGGAGCGAAGTACAAATAAGGAAAATCAATGTCAGATTTAAGCGATAAATAGGCTGGTTTATTGTGTTGAGCGCTGACCTCTCGCTGGTGCCGCGATGCCCGCCATCCAGTCCGGAGGTCTAATGGAGAAAATATTCGCGAAAATTGATCGTTTTTTTGTTGAATCGCGAATGCTAGATCATTTTAGCAATGAAGCAGTTAGACGTGGTGGAGTTTTAAATTGTCCGGAAGGAATTTTAATGCAAAAATAGTTGAAAAAACTCTACAGTATAGTAATCTCATAAATATGAAAAAGTAATGACAGATAATTTGCCAGGTGCCATACTACTAAGTTTGAAAAAGGGCATTTCTTTCCGAATTAAAGCCAAAACATGACAAACGCTTTTAAGAATTTGTAATTCCTGGCCATTATCATTTAATAACCTGTTGTAATGCTTGAACGACTATATTTGTAATTTTTAAAATAAACAGCAACATACAGGTGGCACTTACTACTTTAGACTGTTGACTTGAAGTTTTACATTCCTTAACAGATTTACAATTTACAAAATTTGAGTTATTTTTTACTTGGTTACTAAATAGATCGCTACTAAATTTACTAGGGATCGTGAGATTTGACCTTAGTTTGAACAAACAACATATGCAAATCTCACAACCAGGTTTTGACGCAAGAAGGGTTAAATTTGGACCAAGACAACATTGATAAATAACAAAAGAACAAAACAGCAAAACATTTAAAAAATTCTGTAAAATATAAAACAATTTTCATTGAATTATAATGAAGCTGGTTCAAATGCATATCTAAAAGTAAGGTTATAAATCGTGCATTGTGTGCAGATTTTGACTCTCATTGTATTAATTTAAATGTGTTTTACCTATGTATTCTGGTTTAACTTAACTGAACTAAGTATTCAGCAAAAAGTGTAAAGTCTGACTGATCTATATCAAGCAAAATAAAGAATGTGACAAGTGTTACTAGGATTTTCCACATTTTCCAGGACACTCTGTATAAGAAACATTGGTTGCAATATTTGTAAGATTTTCATAACAGAAAATTAAAAAATGTTTCTGTGGAAATGTTTACAGTGAAGAATGTATTTCAATGTAACTGGATACGCAGAAAAATCGCGGACATTTTTTTTTAAATTTTAATTTTCTTAAAAAAATAAAAATTGTGCAATTTCACTGTAAATTTGTACTTGTTTTTTCTACCATTTATGTTACAATCTTACATTCACTACAGGCCCCTCTACTTACTACCGATCATCCTTCGAATTGTCTCACATAATATAATCCTCACCGAAATTCTGGCCGGATTTTCGTAAAAACTCACGCACCGACGCACACAAAAAAAATCACCGTTTCTTTTTTCCAAAATCGTCGCTAGGCGTCTCCGGCGTTTTATGCAATATCGCGAAAATCAACCGCGTTAACAGTTCCCGAAATTTTATTTATATTTCAATAACGAGTTATATTTAAAGCTGGAAAAGCGCACGCGATACAAAAATAACCGCGTCCGTGTGTAAAACTTATCGCGTCAATTTTTCCGAATGCCATTTTGTCTTCCGATTTCGTTTCTCGACTCCAATTTTAGCGGAGTGGAGCTTAATCACTTACACGATACAAAAAATATTGAATAATAATAATAAATGCACTTCTTGGTAAATACCCTCCAACACTCGAAGACACATTCATCGACAAAACAACATCACTGCAGTGGCTTCATAAGGACTAACTTTATCCTGAAACTGAGAGTTTTATGCTCGCAATGGAAGACAAAGTAATTAGAACTAGAAATTATGAAAAACGTATATTGAAAATCCACACCATTGATAAATGTAGAAAATGTAGCAATACTGGAAAATTAATAGAGCACATCATGGGGGTGTAGCGCACTAGGAGATAATGTTTATTTAGGAAGGCACAATCAACTGGCAAAAGTCATACATCAGCAACTGGGCTTGAAATGGGAACTTTTGTGGAAAGATACGCCTGCATTTTACAAATATGAACCAAAATCAATTCTCGAAAATAGGGCACATCTGCTATACTGGGATGGTCCGGTATTAACAACAACAGTTGTTCACAACACACCAGACATTCTCCTCATAACAACCCCATAAAATGAAGAGAAAAATCATTTATTTGACTGGAGTGGGATAAATAATTTGGAATACTGTTTTTGCTAGAACAAATGTTGGAACCCTTGAAAATCGACCAAGGTTTTTTAGAACTATTTTCTGAAGGAAAATTACCTAAGCGTTCTTAGTTGTTCCAATCATTTATATCATTTGTTGTTTTAAATTTGTGCAACCTACACTATCTCATTAATCCATAAAAAAATTTAAATAATTAGAAAGTCACGGTACTTTAGTTTTTTCAATTCGCAACTTATAAGAGGTGCAAGTCTCTCAAATAAGGTTAAAATAAAGGCACTAAATAATTTAATTTTATTTTAATAAAATACATCATTACAGGGGATCCTCAACATGTCATTTTTAAATAACTCTCAATTAAAAGTTTTAAACGAAAAATACTTAATTAAGTTCTTTATGTTGTTATTTAATAAAAGCATTGGAAATAAAATGAACCACAAATACCCAAAATTATAATAATCTAAATTTATAATAAATGCCCCAAAGATTTATAATTGGAAATATTCAGCTAATGGGTACTACAACAAAGTTTATAAAAATCTGTACAGTGTGGCTAAAAAAAACGATTATTTTTTTTTGGGATCTGACATATGATAGCTAGTTGCAAGTTACCTCTAGAAAGTACTTGCCACGTAAGAGCTCTTAATATTAATGGGAAGATTATCCATCCTCCATCCCATATAAATAATCAATCTTATCACCAATAGATCATTAATCCAATTTTATTGATAATTTTTATAGGAAATTGAACGCTCTACAAAAATAATCCCTTATAATTTTTCGATAAATCAAACCATTTCAAAGATATTCGAGATCAAAGAAAAATAATCTTTTGTTCCAAATTTTGTTATTGATTGAAAAATAATTATCGTGAAATGTTTTCAATTATTCTTATAGAAAATTTAATGCTCTACAAGGAAGGTCTCTTGTGGATTATCGATTACTCGAACCATTTTGAGGACTGGAATTCTTATATTCATAGTTTTGGTTAGTTTTTAAATTATATTTTACCATTTGTTTGCGAGTATATATAATTTTACTTTAATCACAAATGAATTTAAACAAAAAAAAACAAGAGACCTTTTCCGTAGAGTACTAAATTTCCTATAAGAATAATTGAAAACATTTCACGATAAAAATTCAGAGCATAGAGTTGACCTTGAATATCTTTGAAATGGTTCGATTTATCAAAAAAGCATAAGGGACCATTTTTGTAGAGCATCCAATTTCCGAGATTATGACGATAAGGTATTTGTATATGAGACTAAATCGAAAATGGAAAACTGTAATAATGATATTTTTCCCATTAATATTAAGAGCCCATATGTGGAAAGCACTTTCTAGAGGTAACTACCAACTAGTTTTTGCGTATTATCCAAAAAAATCGTTTTTTTTTAACCACCCTAATATTTGCATTAGCCTGCAATAAGTAAAACTTTATTCTGTTTCGGAAATAGATTTAAAGATCTACCTCCTATGACGCTCAAATGACTGCTCGTAAAGGGTTAGCTAGTTAAGATGAAATTGCTGCATATGAACCGCTGTGAATGCTTGGCCGCCCTTTTTCGTCTAGTTCTTGTATATAATTGTTTTGGTAAGGTTATGTTTCCTTATAATGTATTTCCACAAAGTTATTTTATTTTTATTATTATTATATTCATAAACTTCTATTGTAATAAACTTCTTTTATAAATAATCTTCAGAACCAAAACTTAACGAATAAGCCTCTTGCTCGACATCAAAGTCTCCACAAATAAAAAAAAAGTAGACTGAATTTCAAACTTTTCAAGAATCCCTCGTATGCGATTGTCGACTTTCAAATAGTACTTTTACAATTTAAAACAATGAAAACCATCGAATCTGAATCGCCCGGTACATACCAACCTGTTACGCAGGTGTAACAAAACACTATCTGGGACACTATTTTTAACGATCACTTTCTCCGAACACCCGCTATATTTAAATCGAAAAAAATGCTTCTCCCCCCGTTACGCAACCGCATCGATCGAAAATTTCGAAAAGTGGTTCGATAATTTTTAAAGTCGAGGAGAAAACCTGTTGTCGCGTTTAAAAATAACAGCACGGCGCGGCCATTTTGACCGCGACGAATTTATTATCGCGAAGCCAAAACGGCGCGTCGACGACACCAATGACGTAACGTGTCGTCGGGGCGCAAGCCATGCCACACGGAGATAAACCAAAAAGGGTTTTTACTTACTCGGGCCGATCGTGCCAATGCCAAAAATACGAAGAAAACCCAATCTAAAATTGTAGCATTTCGGCGGAAAACTGACAATATTCGCCAGTGAGTCAAACCGTTCGGTTTCCGAAGATTCACGACCTCGCGACGTGGCTAAAAATGGACACGAGTTGGGCGTCGCGACGTCCATAGACGCTAACATGGAATAATATGTTAAAAATTACGGGCACCGGCCAAGAATCATTAATTATTGTCCGAACATGTTGTCTTTACTAAGGGAGTACGGAAAATATAGTGTACCCCACGGATCAATACTCGGGCCCCTACTACAAGAGTCGTTCATCATTTTCATTCTTCTGTGATTTTCGAAGTAATTCAAAAAATTTGTTTCAAATATAGAGTTAAATTTCATTTGTTTTATATTACGAAAGAGGTTAGAAAGCATCTTATGTTTATAAAGTTTGGAGTCTAATCTACGTTGGTTAGTGAATTTGGGAGTAGAATTGCTATTTTTGTGAATACGCCTATATTTGCCGGTGTGTGCTTTTTATTCGAAATCTATTGTTAGCAGGGTTAATTAACGTTTTACTTTTTTTAAAGAATACACTGACTTTCCAAGTTTGTAACTTGTAAACTAGAAACCGATATATAAAAACAAAACACTCAGATCAAGATATCGTTTCTACTACTGAAGGGTACAAAATGACGTATGTGCAAGCAAGACTTCTTTAAACATTGAAACACTTATCATAACTTAATTATAGGGAACTCTACTTTGTATTGTATTGATTTTGAAGAGCTTCTTTCAGCTTGGAAAGCCAGAGAAGTATAGGGGTAAGCTAATGCTTGCATTACTCTAAAAAAATTAACATACTTTGGTGAAAATATAATTTTATAATTATGTATATATAATTATTATATTTCACGATTTGTCTGCGCAGCTAAAAAACGAAGTGTAGTATATACATTCGTAGTTAACATTTCAGCAGTGGGTAAATGTTTTTTAAATAGGTAATATTATCATTAAACAGTATATAATTTTTTTAGGAGCCGTTACGGTAAACTCTGTTGAAACTCACGAGGGCTTGCCTTATTCTGATACAAAGTCCCCTCAAAAATAAAAATCGACAGGTGTAATATCAAGGCACCTCGGAGACTAGGAGGTTCAAAAGGAGTGTTTTTTTTTATCTAGCGCATAGGAAGTTTTTGGTTTAACTATTGACGAATTGTGAATTGATCAACAGGAAAAAGTACATATCCTGTCGCACATTGAGAGTCAGATATTGTATAGCATCCCATAATTCCCATCGACAAATTTAAGTAAACCACCCACATTCATTAAAAAAAAGGACCTATTATTTGATTTCAAAAAATCCTACATTGACATTCTGTGAATATTGATCTTTACAATTTATAACACGGTGGGGATTATCTCTGGCCCAGTATCAACAAGTTGCCATTGCGTTGCCCATTGGTGCTGAAAGTAACGTCATCCGTAAAAATGTTGACGATTCTGATGGTCAACCTTTTTGACATGTGTAATGGGAGCAGATTGTGTCTCCTGTTATACTCTGCACCAACTTGTCTGCCACTACGAACAAAATCAAGTCAGCGTTGTTTTAATTCGGCGATCAGTTGAAATTCTGATACTTATAAAAAAATAGAATTAAGAAAAATAGGAAAAACTAACAATGCGAATTTTGTCATGAAAATTGCTTGTGGATTCGCGATTAAAATTTAAATTTCAGTTGAGCATCTTAAAAAATGTGAATCATGAACCATGTATTTATTTACATTGGGAAAATATAGGGGTGTCTTCATCTTAAATGCGACACACTGTATATAATATTTTATTAGCCTTAAAATTACTGTGTGCTGTCCGCAGTTTTTACTTATGTTTAATTTATTTTTTATCACATTTGTGTCACATTTGAAATCTTATAAATGAAAGTTATAGTTATTTCTTTACTTAGTTATCAAAAATAAGCAAACTAAGCGATCACAATCGTTCACCAATATTAATGTCAAGAAATTAGTGACCGAAACGCGTTCTGATTGGTAAGTACCTTAAGATAATTAACATATGGCATAGTACATGATAGAACTCGCGAACAAGGAGCAGAGGGAAGCAGTGTGTTGAAAAACACAATTTTTTAGGTAATGTTAAAGTGCGTGTATACAGTATGTCCCACTTAAAAACTGTAAACCCTTGTAAAATATTTGTTTACGATTCGATTGTGATTTTTTTGTTGAATAGGTATCTAAAAAAGCACTAAAACCTTGTTTTGCTTAAAATTAAATATGATTAGAGAGGAGACATGAACTAAACAGGATTTCTATAATAACAAAAACATCAAAATTTATTGATGTCGGCATACTGTTTCCTTTGTAAAACCAAGTTTGCCATGGACAAGCGCATGCTCGACCGTCAAATTCACTCTTTAATTCGTATTTTAATTTTGTTTACATCTTTCGAATACTAATTTAATTAATTAATTAAATTTAATTAATTAATTAATTAATTAATTAATTAAAATTAAATTAGATTTAAATTAAAAATAAAAATAATAATTAATAAAATTAATTAATAATCAATTTAATTAATAAAATTAATTAATTAATTAATTTTATTAATGCTGTTGTTTTAAGATGATACTAAAAAATAAATGTCTCTTAAAAAGTCTTTTTTATCATTATTTTTGAAATTTGTAAGATCTTAAAGTCACATACAAAATAATCGTTATATACAATATTTATTTTTTCTAGTCACTTTTAAATAGTCCTAAACACGAATCTGTTGTAATTTTTAATTTGAAAATATCTCTAAAATTACTTCTAGATTTTCGGCTTCGAACAACTGTGTCAGTTAGCTATGACTTTAGTCGATACTATACGAAAAAACCGTTTCATTTCTCTTTATTAAGATCTATTCAGTAAATAAGAATTACCAAAATTGTAATGCTTAAACGAGGCGCCCGCGATATTTCGAACACCCTGTATTGAAACATTATAAAAATGGGTATAGTTGGGTTCTAAGTATTCTTGCCAATTTTTTTTTTAAAGCCCTAATAGCACTTCTTTCTTCTCGCTCTTCTTTTTTGGTAAATAGTCTCAGTTGGCCATGACTTTAAGTTGAAGCAATAAGCGAAACAAGGATTTAATACATTTTTCAGAGACCTATCCAACAAAAAAAATCAAAATTGAACCACAAACAAAGATTTTACAAGGGTGTACAGTTCTTAAGTGGGACGTACTGTATTTTAAACAAACCATTTTAGATGTCGCTTTTGTTAACCCTAGTTTTAAAACTAACATATTAAATAGTTTTAAAGAATACTGAAAGTTCAGTATATCATTAACGGAAAACGGAAAGTACTTAGCGTGTAATATCGAATGCGCACTATTGATAATTACCGAGCAGGCGGAAAAAATAGACGTATGCGTATAATTGAAAACGCGAAACACATGTAAATTGAGTGTCATTAAAATCGCGTACGACCAGAAAACAAACTTTAACCTTAAGGCGCTGAATCAGCCGCAATATCGAATCTCCTTGAATGCTTTCGTATACGCGGCATTCAATACCGAATTTAAGTCGTTTGGATCGAGGCACGCTCGCAGCCTTTTTATGCGAGAAAATTATCATATATGCCTCAACTGACTAATAATATTTAATAACAAAACTCTAATCGATACGGCGACAATCGGGTGACTCATGGTGCCAGTTCTGAATTATATTCGTCGAACCGCTTATAATCTCGGGCGTTACCCCACTCTCCACGAGTTATTTTGCTTTCTATCCGACGAAAATTCCTGCGAGCCAGACGTGTGGAGCCCTGAAATCTGTACCGTTTTGCGCAAGTGTTACACTTGGCGTTAAAGAAAATTTTGCGAAATCTATACCATTCAAACGGCAGACAGTAAGACGCCTGACCCCTAATGAACTATTTCCACACTCTAGTTCCACGTATGTACGTACTGTCTGTTCAACTGCTGTGCTATGGTCGAAGCGCTCATGGAATTTTGTAATTGGGACTTTGGGGGCTTTAATTTCATTCCTGCTTTGGTTAGGCTAAAATTTGTCAGTGTAGTAAAAATTTGCAACGAGCCGCCACTGATAGAAGCCCTGCCTATGCCGATTGTCGATTGTGACTTTATACAACGTGTCCAGCTTGACTTATTTGCGCTCGTACAGTAGAATCTTTAACACCCCACCATATTGAATTCACAATTTAATCTTCAAGCGGCTGCCTCTCCTCCAAAACAGTCCTCTTAGTAGACACACTTGAAAGAAATATTAACGCGAGACAGTACACTATCAAATAAGCTCTCTCGCCTCGGTAGCGTTGTCTTAGGTGCTTTTTTTTTTAATTTAAAACGATAATGGCACTCAAGACGCGGTAATCAAAACACGGGGTCAATCCCACTTCTGATGATGATTTCGTCGCAGGCATACGAAATGAACCACCTCTTGGGCTATTCCATAATTTTATATTTTTTTCTGTAAGTTCTTAATTTTTTAATTACTCTGCAGAACTGCAGCCTATATGCACCAGCCGCCTGGGCTCCATATCTCTAATACCAGCGAAACCGTCTTGACTGCTGAGCGTCATTTTTTACAAATATAATTTTAATTAAATTACTTTGTCTATACGTTAAATACAATGTATTTTTGCTATTCTTGTCCATAATGTATTAGAAGCTTTTCTGCCTCAATGTCCTTGGCTTTGAGTGACCACATAAACTTGAGCTCAAAGAAAAATATTCTGAAAATGCAAGATGTGCTTTTCATTATATAACGCATTTATTTCGTTGTCAGAAATTTATGTTTTCTGGTTAGTTTTGGTTAGTTTTGGTATCCCTACCGAGGAAGCTAAGTTAAAACATCAGGAAAGGTAAGGACTAACGACAATTATTGAAGTTGCTAAAAAAATTG